CTGGACCGGAGGGCCATACGCACGATCTCGTCGCTGATTCTCAAAGACGTAATACACCAGCAGACAGATGAGGAAGAAGGCCCCAAAGGCCAGCCCCGAGATGGCGGCTTTCATGCCGGTCTATTTGACGCATTAGTCAGCATTTCTCCGAAGACTGAGAAGAGGATTGTTCCTGTAAAAGGATAGGGCTTAAACGTACCGGATAATGAGGCTCCTCCGACGAGAGGAAGAACTGCGGCCCGACGATGTTGCCCACACAGTAGGCGATGAACAGCAGCGCGCTCGTGGTGCTCCGCTTCGTGAAACCGGCGACGTTGGAGCTGATGATGCTCAGGGAGAGCGGGATGTTGACGGCGAAGACGGCGCCCAGGGACAGCCCCACGAGGCGGCCCACCTGGTTCGCGTCGTCGAGGCGCCAGACCAGGATCATGCCAACCAGCGAGGTGACCGTGTTCAGGATCATCATCAGGATCCGCGTGTTGGGGACGAAGGTGGCCACGGTGGCGGTCAGGCACAGGAAGACGATCTGTGCGGCACCCAGGGGCATCTGCATCAGGAGGGAGCGGATCTGGGAGAAGCCGAAGCCGTTGATGATGATCGAGGAGAACTGTCGTGCGTTGCTGGTGTTAGTTTACGAGAGGTTCTTTTTAGGTAGGGCTGGAAGAAAGACGAGAGGAAAGGTATGCACATACACTGGTGACACCGCCGTTGCAGAGGTTGACGCAGAAGGTATACAGCACCAGGAACCAGGTCTGCGGATCGCGGATCGCTAGCCATGCTTGGTGCCATTGGAAGGAGCCCTCATCGGCGACACCGGTTTTGTTCGTGAGGGTCCGGTGCACGGCGATGAGGCGTTGCGGTTTGGTGAGGAAGATAGCTTTCTTGGGGGAGTCAGGCAGCAGAACGATGAGGAAGAAGGAGATGAAAGCGGTGATGGCGCCGAGGACGAGGAAGAGGAGCTGCCAGCTGGCGATCGAGTGGACTTTGATGTTGCCGATGCCGTAGGCGACGACGCCGCCTATGACCGTGGCAATGCAATTGCCTAGGAACCAGGCAGATTGCCTAGTATCGATGATGTATCAGTCTCTGGAACATCGTGCTATTTGACTCTTAGATGTTCATACCGAGCCGGCTGTTCATCACGCCGGTAGAACATGCCGGTGATGAGCGAGAAGCCTGGTGCAATGGCTGCTTCGCCTACACCAAGGAAGAACCGAGCGGCCATCAACCCTCCAAAGGTCTTCACGGCCGCATGGCACATCAGGATACCACCCCAGAGGAGTCTAGCGAGTTGTCAGAAAAGCGTTGTAAAGTAGATCGGAGGAAGGAGTGCGACGGACACTGAGACGCTGATGTACTTGGCAATCGGTAAGCGTACGATGAGGTAGGAACTGGGCCAACTCCAGGCGAAGTACCCGAAATAGAAGATGGCGGACGTCCACGTATATTCCGTGCCTTCGAGATGCTGTACGGATTAGTACGGGTGACTCACAGCAAAAGGGCGGACATACCAGGTCTTGTCGAAGGTTGAAAAGCGTGGCCTGGCTTAAAGCAAGCTTGTCCATATACTGCATCATGTAACAGACACCCATCAGCGGTATAAGCCTGATTCTTGTTAATGAATGTGCAATTTCGAGTGCCATAGCAACAACCTACACAAGATCCAGCTTGCGCAGAACCTGTCGGTCCTGCTGCGGCGTAGCCTCGAACTCCAGCATTTGTCCTAGGTCGACATCTCGAGGCAGCATTTTGTCTTCCTTCAATTTCACCCCTTCCAACCCCAGAGTTTCCTCCTGAGGTTGGCTTGTAGGCTTTTTCTCCATGGCGTCACAGTCTGTGGGTAGTGAAATGGGGATGGCCACAAGAACCACGGCATGCTGATAGGGGGCGTCTCTCGCCTAGACTTATATACTCCGCATGCCATCGTGATACTCACGCCGCCACCATAAAGTTAATCTGCGCTAGATAGAGAAATCTCTTCCGCAGTAGATGTCAGCTACTTCCTCGTAAAGTTACCCCTTTGGCACGGGATCAACATTGCTGCTGTTCAGATAGCATCATCTATAGCTCAGACCCCTCTCTCCAGCTGGCCTCTTGCGGGCTCGATCGCCAGTCGCTTTCAGATCCAGTCAGGGAACGACGGGGAAAACTTGTGGGTCAAGCAGGCACACACCAAAGGCCCGGCGCCGAATTCGGCTGCGTTCTGGGACAGCCATTAGGGCTCGGTCGGCAGTTGGACCAATTGCCGGGAGTGGCTCGGCAAGTGTACCAATCCGCGGATAATCCTGGGGCAAAGAGTCTCCACTCAAAAGATTACTCGGTGCCATTTAGCGCGAAAGGAACTGCATTTCCTTTCCAACCTGCTTCCACCGCCCCCTCCACACTGTCCACCGTCCCCGATCTCATGCGGAGAAATGAAGGACAGGGCGCGTGGCACACCAACCTTCTGGCTCGCAAACCTGTCTATCATCCCCGCCCGGGCCCCACTCGGCTACTGTTATCTGCCGAGGCCACCTGATAGACTCGATTGAGTAGGCATACGCCATGCAGCTTATCCTGCATATCTAGACCCTGGTCATGACATTGATAGCGCAATCATTTGTCAATCGCTCAACACTATCTCTTTGATCAAGAACAAACCCCGATAGCGGGAAACCTTGAGTTTCCCGAAAATGCGGGGTGGAAGCGAGACAGCCGACGTCAGACTTTCCGAATGATGACACCCAGCCAATCTTATCACGATAAACTATCTCAAGTATCATCATAATGCGCGGGGCTTAGAAGTACCAGCCGAGGCTACGACCGGATTGCATTGATTGATTGACTAATTAATTGCGGTTTGTAAGATTGAGGGGTTGGCGTAGCAAGAGTGGCGCAGACAACAAATAGGATATATGAACTGCCGTATTCAGCATCCGGGATGCAATGAAGACACCAAAACAACAACCTAACATTCGAAATGGCTATCCTGCAATCATTACCAACAGTAGAGGAAGTGAAGACAGCGGTCGATGCTACACTAGCATCTTTGCAAGGCCCTCTTCGTGAGCTCAATCGCACGGTACGTACGGGCATGGCTCCATATTGTCATTGTCCTCTTGTACTTATACCTTCACAGATCTGGTCCAATCCAGAGACAGCGTACGAAGAGCATCGTGCGCACGATGTGATCTGCGACTTCCTTGAGAAGCAAGGTTTTACCGTAACTCGCCACGCATATGGACTAGATACCTCGTTTGAGGCGATCAGCGGGTCTGGAGGGCGGCTAATCAATTTCAATGCCGAGTATGATGCTTTGCCGGGTATTGGCCATGCCTGCGGCCACAACCTCATCACTACTAGCAGTGTTGCAGCATTTCTTGCCCTGTCCGCCGTGTTGAAGCAGTATGGTCTATCGGGACGGACACAATTGTTGGGTACTCCAGCAGAGGAGAATGGCGGAGGAAAGGCCAAACTGATTGACGCTGGAGCCTATAAAGCCGTGGATGTGTCTTTGATGGCGTACCGTTCTCCCCTTTGTTCCTTGACAGCTTGACCCAACTGACCCATCCAGTCATGCAGGTCCTCGGGAACTCTTCCCAGGTGTGGTGGCAGATGGTGTCGGAGGTGTTCGGATGAACGCGCGCAAGGAGATTCATTGCACCTTCCGAGGCAAGAGTGCCCATGCAGGAGGTAATCCCTGGGAGGGAGTTAACGCATTAGATGCTTTGGTGGCCTCGTACAACAATGTGGCTGTTCTACGCCAGCAGATGTACCCAGACGAGCGGGTCCATGTTGCCTTTTTGGACACACCTAAGGTGGCGAATGTGATACCGGCTTTGACCAGAGCTTACTGGCAGGTGCGCAGTCCGACCCTGAAAGGGTTGAATGTTTTGATGGGCAAAGTGCGGAACTGCATCGAGGCCGGGGCAATGGCTACCGGTTGTGAAGTAGAGATCCTGGAGTAAGGCTATCTCTTTCCTGGGGATTGAAAACATGTTGACAGTGGTAGAAATGAGCTCTACACGGATATCAAGATCAACGACACCTTATGCGACCGATACCAAGCGCACATGGGCCGCTATGAACGAAATGTACTGGCGCAGCATGAGAAGGTCTTAACAGGGTCATCGGATATAGGTTGGTCGCGAATGCTCAAATGCAACATCTGATGCTGACCAGAATGCAGGGAATGTCAGTTATCTTGTGCCAACACTTCACACGATGTTCGGGATTACCGATGAACCTGGCTCCTTTCCTCACCATCCCAGCTTTGCCGCTGCGGCAGGGACGGATACGGCTCACGAAGAGGCTGTGATTGTGGGGAAGTCGCTGGCACTGATCGCGTGGGATATGTTGACTGACGACGAACTATTTGCAGTGGCGCAGCAACAGTGGCGGCAGGCTGTGGAGGAGTAGTTGGTGGCAATAACAACAGGGGGTACGGAGTACTCCGTAGTAATAGTAGAGACAAGAAGACCAGAGGTATCACTTGATGTTGGTGCTAATTCACTGTAAAAGTCGATAAAGTCATCGATCGTCATTAACAGGGAGGCTAGCGAGTCAACTGAAACACCCGCAACGCTATAGTGGTATAGTTATAGGACTGACAAGTATAGACAGCGGGAGCTGGTCTCTTGGGTCTGTCTGGGTTGTGGGGAGAGAATACTGGAGATGATTCTCCCATGGAACCAATTCTTCAGCTGCCCCCCCGACCAAGGAAATAGTCCAACTCCACTTACCTCGTGCTTTTCTTTTCCAGCCTGCTTCTTTCTTGCTCGAGTCGAGGAAAGGGTACACCGCTGACTAAGCCTCCTTCCCCGGTTTCGCTTCTTCAATTTTTTCCTGACATTCCGGACTGACTTTCTCTCTCGCGCCTTAACCGATCGGAAAAAATAACAAGAACAAGCTCAACGTTTCCGATCTGCTTTTCTGGGCTTCTTTTAATCACCCCCGGTCTAACTGATGCCTACCGGTTGATCGGTTCATCTCATCACTGAGTGGACCTTTTGTGCCATTCCATGTCGGGTCGGAACGCGCCTCGCTCGAAGAATGGTATGCGGCATCTGCCGACTCTTCCCTGCTAACCGAACGAACTAACAAATGACCTCGCTTCACAGGCTGCAGCACCTGCCGCCGTCGCAAAGTGAAATGTGGTGAGGAGCGTCCGGTGTGCAAGCGATGCTTTAATTTGCGTCTTACTTGCGAGTGGGGGATTCCTGTTAAACGAGGAGGGAAGACCGGGGAGAATGCGCCCGTCCGTCATCTGCAGCCCCGGTGGCCGCCGCCGCCGCCCACCCGCAGCGATCCGATCACCACCACAACCACCGCTAATGTCGCTCCTACGACTACTGCGATAACCCCTAGCTCTCCCACGCTAATTACTGCGTCAACCACTGCGCCTGTTACTCCTATCGGGGCAACAGCTGGCATCCTTGATGCTCACTATGCCAACACCCTGGCTTCTTTGTGGCCCCCGGCCCCCGGATGTGCCCCGGATTTCTCCCCGGCTTCCCCGGACGGCTTCCTCCCCACGAGTTGGCCGGTATATCACCCGGCTTATACTCAGACGCCCCCCCTCTATCCTTCATTGTCGGGGACTGATTTTCCCTGCTCTAACGCGTTGGTACTTACCGAACATGATCGGAAATACTTCCAGTACTTCCCCTCCTCTTCCGTCGTCTTCTACTATATGAAGAACTGGCAGTGGAGCAGCTTCTGCTACCTCTACCAGGGTCCTGCGTGCGTTAGCAGAGTGATTATGCGCATGATTCTGGCGCTATCTGCGAGTGACATGTATCGCAGTGGTCTGGTTGTGCGCTCTCCAGGACGGCCCACGGCAGAAGACCACGGCCGCTTCCACTATGGCATGGCCGTAAAGGAGTTTCGGCAAATGTTGGAGACTCCCAAACCTCAAGTTTCACTTGCGGAGATGGAAATGATCTTCGCGACAATGTTTCTCATGGTTGCCTACGAATGGCAATTCGGGCATTGTCTGCGTCATCTACAGCTGCATCTTCAAGGAGTACGATCCCTGCTCGAAACACACCCAGAACTGTTTGAGTCCAAGGACTTCGACGAGGTGATGCTGTCAATGGATGCAGATCGCCCAGTTGGGGATGTATCTTCTCGTGTGTCATTCATTCCTGAACAATTTCTTCTTTGGATCATGTAAGTTCTTTCTATCTGGGTACTCATACTCTCTGCTAATTCTACATTCCTCCCAGATATGTCGACATCAACCGGCGCGTTCTCGCGACAACCAACGATTCACTGACCGATTACGTCCTCAACTCCAACAAACCAGCTTTGCACCCAGACCAACTTCACCGAAGCGCACGTCTTTGGAGCCGTTGCTTTTGGGGCAAGCAGTACCCCGACCAGGAAATAGCCGATGATATGGAAAATTACCGGGGCTTAGAGCTGATCCATACTGGCTTCATACTATGGCACAAGGCCTGGAAATGTCTAGGTGATCTTGCAGACTCGGCATACACTCCGGATACGTTATACACTGAGATTCTCTCTGTGCGCGATGTAAGTCTCCCACTGTCTCTGCCTTGCTTCTTTTCTAAAGCCAGACAGCGTTTCTCCGACCTTCTCGTCACTGCCAAAATCTCCGGGGCCGGCTCCACCCGCCGCACTCTAAACACGATCTATATGGCTGTTAGCAACTTCTACGCGCTCATTCTCTTTCACCGCCGTGTACTTAGCCCCACTAAGGCCTCGGCTGCACTCTACCGCCAGGCTCTAACGGGGATTCTCGAAAACACACACAAGCAATTCGCCGTGGACCCACGCCTCCTACGTCGATTACACTGGCCCCTGTTGATGGCATTAATCGAGACCGAGGATCCGCTTCAGCGTGACTGGCTGCGCCAGCGTTTGATAGAATTGCGCGGATTCCACTCAGAGTATCTCTGGGTCAACCAGATCGCAGAAGAGGTATTGGCTCGCCAGGAAGCGAGTCCCGCGGAGGTGATTGATTTGGGGGAATTGCTGCGCAATTTCCACGCCTAGTTCTTATTTTGTGATATACTTTATTCATTGTAATAATTAAACCGTAAATCTTATCTTTTCAAAATCATCTATTTCATTCCACATAAATCATGTGCAAGACCTTCCAAGCTCAAGCTCCGAGCCTGCTAATGCAACGTGATTCAACTAGTTGTTCTCCAGGAAATATGCGTCGTACGCAACCTCCCCCTTCGCGCGCGTCGCCCTCCCCACAATGACCCTGTTGTTCATCCAACGGTACCGCTCGTGACCCGTCTCCAGCTTGATATGCAAATGGAACCAGTACTGGTCGGGGTCAACCTGATCGTCGCCTTCCATGAGAGCTTTCAGGACTTCCGGAGGACCGGAGCGGGTTCCCTCCGTCCTATATTCCAAGTCAGCATCATCAGCCTTTCCATCCAAACCTCCCCCAGCTATCCTCAAGCAGTGCCAGCCCCTATTCCCCAAACCGAACTCTCGCACATCCTCCCCCTGGGCCCCGGAGATATCCCGAAAACTATGAACAAACATACCGAATATAGATAAACGCCCCATCATCACTCTTAATCACGTAGTTGGTATTCACATGCGTGGTTTGATTCTCCTCGACGAGCCTTTTTTTTTTGTGGCCGCAGTCAGTTTCCATAACCCACTAAACTCACTAACACCAGAAAGTTCTGTCGAGCAAAACAGATGTGGTGAAAAAGCAGGCGGAGGCAAAAGCATACATGAAATCCGCCCCGCCGGGGACGACCTCCCCATTGAGGAATTTCCCGCGCACGGTGCCGGATTTGATGGGGACGCAGCGGCGACGGCCGTAGGGGCCGTGGCCGATCTCCATCGGGGGGTCGACGGCGCAGCGGAGGGTGAAGAGGTGGGTGAGTTGCGGGGGTGGAGAGATGGGGTCCATTTTTTGGCCGTTGCGTTGTTGCAAGTATCTTTGTAGGGGAAAATATGCGGAAGTGGAAGGGGCAGAGGGCGGGAGGGCGGATTTATGTTCCTGGGATTGAAGAGACAAGAGTACTACGTGGTTCGGGGCTGGTGTGGAGTCCGTTGGTGCTTCTTGATGAAGTCAAGCATGGGTTCGGATGTCGGCAGTTGGGCGAGGGGGAGGGGGAGGATCCACTGGTTTGCCTAGGCTCTTGTGGTGTGGGTGTTCGGAATTAAAGGGTGGGATGATGACTTTGTTCGAGTACTCTGTCGGTTCCAGGTACTGTGAGTTTGTTGTCGGTGTCTACTTCGTTGGTATGAGATAGGAAATGGGTTTCTGGAAGTGGTGACATCATCCTGCCATTGGTTATCCCCGGGGTGGTTTTGTTTTGGTGTTACGATAGCTCTAGTTTGGGCTTGAATCAATCCAGTAGGGATAAGAACAATTCATTATGAAGTCCTTGTTGGCGAGAATCTATGACTGAGAGATTGCACTGCACATTGGAGCACACCTCACCCCTGAAGAATACCCGCAGGTTTGAAGCGAGCATATACATATAGAAAGACCAAGTTCTCATTAGAGCACCCCATAAACGCCTACCCAGATTGATTATGCACATATGCCGGCCAGCCTGATCTCTCGAAACCGACCGGCTTCCTTTTTCCACCCGTGGAGAAAGCTGCCGCGCAACCCTTCGGTCCAGGCAGCGTTCCCCGGCCCGGCGATAGAAAAGACATCAAGACGCTTGTTGTAAAGTCCAAGACTCGCGCGGTGAGGTATAATACGATAAGATGACCCGTTTCCAACCTTCCCCTTTCTGTTCCGACCACCGATTTCTATTTCCCAAGAGAAGCCCGTAACGACCGTCCGAAGTTCGAGTTCGCAGGTCGGGTCCCATGCCGCTGGGAAGTGATCAGAACAACCACTCAGCAACCAATCCTCAAGGAATAAAATCGCTTAGGCGCCACCGACGAGAACGTTGTTGACGGGGATGTGGACTGCATTCATTCATTAGCTATGCTGCCGGCTTTGGTACTGCCAGTGTCCGACATGGGACCGTGACGCTTGAAAGGCGACACATACTCAGCTTGACGATGTATCCAATGAAACCCATGATGAGGAAACCAGTGCCAACCGCCTGGCTGATCTTGATGAATTCGCGCTTGTCGGCTGTGTTGCGCATTAGCTAGATGTTTTCAAGAAAGAGTCACGGAGGCGAGAGGTCACGAAGGAGCAGGAGACTCACGCTTCTGGCTGCGGTTGACGAATTGCATACCCTCGCGGAGGAACTCGCGGGGCACGTTGAGAAGTTCTTGGACCTGGTCGGACATGATGACTGTGCAAGGAGGATGCTTCGGGGGTGGTGGTGGTGGTGGTGCAATGAGTGGAAAGGGTGGATTGAGGACAGAATGTTGGATGGGGTGGAACGCGAATGGGCCAGCTGTGCTCTTCGGAGATGCGGACTAGTCGGAGGAATTGCCCCCGTTCAGGAGCCGGATTATCGTTTGACCGAGATGATGGCCACGTATCACCTGATTGAGATGATAGGCTTGGTATTTGTGGCTGATGATATTCATGGAAGGTGCTTTATGTGGCTAGTGAGATTGTGGCGTATCTCAAGACATGCTGACCTTGTTATCATACAATGCTTTAGTCGAAAGAAGATACTTAGTTCGCGTTTGAAAAGTTGCCTGATCGATGGGTCTCGCTTATATCAGAAGAACTATAACATGTGCTTTGGCGGCATCAGTGCTAAGTTGCGACTTATCCTGGTACCATCCCGCGCATGTTCTTTCCTCTTTCCGGTCAGTCTTTGCGATAATCGTCTTCCTTCTACTTAACAGGCCTCGAATCAAGCAGGATCAAGAAGCCTGTACATTTCGAGAGGCTCTAAAGCTAAATCCATACCGCATTATGCCGTCCATTTATTCAATCTAAACTTCCTAATTATCATCGGTGAGAACACAACCTACAATGAAAAAGATATAATAATGCCTTCTGACTGACAATGAGCAACTTCATCACAGGCAAGAGACTCGACTGAGACTGGGATAGCATGTGCACTAACCACAACATTATTGCCTGTTCGGGTATGGATGATTCAGAACCCCTAGTTACCCCAGCTGTGGGTGCTGTCTCCGTTAGGGCCCACTCAGTCCACAATTATCCAGGTACCAGAAACCGGTCCATAGCACTGAGCCCACGAAACTTCCAACTGAGCAAACTAGTCTTTCGATCATGCTCAGTCCCTATGATCACCAGAATTGTTTTCTGCTGCAATATTTTTATCTGACGCTCTCATTCAGAATGCTATGTGGACAGAAAGTCCTACGTCTCAAGCGGCGTCGCTGCGTTCATTATTGACGTGAGCATGCAGAGGTAAACTATACCCCACTGCGCTGTGATAAATCATACAAAGTACTCATAGTCTATAGTATGATGGTGGCAGATCTTACTCAATCTGCACGAAGCGAGGCCTCAACTGTGCCTTCTCCACGCCTACCTCCAACTTCACCATCGTCTCCTACCAGCACCGCCTAATATCCAGCGCCCTAGGTGCTTACCGACCTACAAGTGAGTCGTCATACGCCAGTTTCTTTTTCGACCTCGTGGGCTCTGCCACTTCGCCATTCATTCAACTTTTCTCCTTTGAAGCCATTGGGGACCTCTTCCGCGACGATGATTTAGTGCGCAGGGCTGTAACCCTCGTGGGTAAAGCCTATCTAGCTCAAAGTGCTAGTTCGGTCAAATCAAATTCTCGCCTGAAACATCACGCGCGGTCTACGCTTTCAGACTTGCGAGCAAAGGTCCTGATGTCACCCAAGTCCAGCTTAGAGCAGCAGTGTAGGACTAAAATTCTCATCTCCGCCTCTTTGCTAGGACTCGCCGAGGTATGCTATTCGCTGTTCTCATACACGCTCCATCTTCTAATTGGAAAATAACTATAGCTGCTGCTATATACCAGTGAAAGTAGCTGGTGCTCGCTGATCTCCCAAGTTTGGTCGTCATTGTCTCAAGAGGATGGTCCTTATCCTCTATCGTCTTTGCACTTGAAGGTCCGTCGGTTCTTACGAACATGTGGTGCCTTCTGGGCCATATGCTGGGAGGATAACGTTTTCTGGAGGACAGGGGCGCCAACCTTACCCGATGTCTCTACTTATTTGCTACAGAGCATTGATCTACAATGGGGAGTTTTGACGACATATCTAGAGCAGATGGAGCGTTTGCAATACCAGTAAGTCAGTCCCCGATCACAACTCTTTTCAATTATAAATTAATCGGTCTAGCAGGCTACTCATATGGACTGAGGTATCGGCCAAGCAGTCTTTCCATCATACCCAAGTCAGCTCCGAGCATGCCGTGGCCGGGACCGAGCTGGTAAACCAGGCTGTTAGTCTACAGCAGAGAATCATTTCGGGGATCACTTTGTACTCGGACCGGGAGTCTGATTCGGTCTGCCGACCACTATTGCCATATTATCACTGGGCTCTCACTGGCCTGTCGCAAATGTTCCATCGTCCGGCCTGGCTCAACCTGCCTATTCCGCTTCCAGTCATGGATGTCTCGTTGGCCCATCATCAAGCCACCCAGGCTTTTGCATATATAGGAACTCACCTGCCTTCTCTCAAATTGGAATCAATCATGTATGCGTCAGTACTCAACGTTTTTGGATCGCACCTGTCCGACACTTTGGGACGCGACCGAATTCTTGCAGTCATCAAATCGCTACGATACGTAGGATTCTCAGTGGCAGATCTAGTCGAACAGGAAATGCAGATCGAATGGGCCAGGATTGGGGCCTTCGAAGGCGCTGGTCAAAGGGAGCAAACTCACATCAACTCTCGCTTGCTTTTGCACTGTACCTAGCGGATGCATAATCACGGCCGCGCTAGTCGCCCAGCACTTTCCTGCAAGGCATCGGCCATTCATCCCATGCATGTTGTCTTGGCAACCCCTCTTTCATGCACTTGTCTTATCGATTTTCACAGCTCATAGCTGAGCTTGATCTTGTGGAACATTTTCGTCTAAGTCGTGCCAACTGATAAGCCATGTATGTATGATTCGTCACTTGTGCATAACTCATTGTTCTCCCTTCCAAGAGAGCTATAAAGCCCCAGCTCGCGACCTAGCACTTTTCAGCATGCTGTGTCGATCACCGCTGTACAATCAAGCGCCATGTCGGTCCAGGCAGCCTGGGAGAGCTGCTCCAAGATTGATACTCTTTTCATCCTTGTCTGTTCCGTCTTTTGCTGGCTTATCATTCCTGCTGTTGGTCTTGCCTACTCGGGCTATTCGACACGCTTCAACAGCCTCGCATCATTTTACCCTGGTTTGTTGGCGGTTGCTGTCTGTACCATTCAATGGTGGATGATTGGGTACTCTCTCGCCTACAGCGAGGGAAACAGCATCATTGGCGATCTCAGCAAGGCCTTTCACATTGGAGTGCTTGCTAATCCCGTTGGTTCCATCCCCGAGATTTTGTTCTCGGAGTTCCAGCTCATCTTCTGCGCTACTGTGTGTGCAATCGCGATCGGTGGTGCCTGCGAGCGTGGGCGTCTACTTCCCTTAATCCCCTTCATCTTCGTCAGTCACCCTTCCTGGTACTTCTGGATCGCTCCGTTAACACTGCATAGTTATGGTGCACCTTCATCTATGCACCTCTTGCCCATATGGTTTGGTCTGAAACAGGGTTCCTCGCCAACCTTGGCGCCCTCGACTTTGCTGGGGGCACGCCAGTCCATATCTGCAGCGGAGCCACAGCCACCGCTCTGAGTGTGTATCTATCCTATCCTCTATTCCGCTCACGACGCTCCTCGTTACGCACCCCGAACCATCTCGCACTTCACCGCCCACACAATACTCTTTGCCAGCTTCTCGCTCTCATTATCATCTGGAACGCCTGGCTTGCCTTCGACGCGGGCACCACCCTCGCTCTCAATTTCAAGAGCGTCATGGCCGCCTGTGTGACCAACCTGTGTGCTGCCTCAGGGGCCATCACATGGGCTAGTCTGACGTACTACCATACTGGCAAATGGAGTCTAGACAGCACCTTTCTCGGGGCGATTGCGGGACTCGTCCTCATCACTCCAAGCGCCGGTTTTATCGACATGCCGACCGCAATGGGATTTGGTGTTCTCGGCGCAGTCTGTGGCTACCAAGCTCTGCGCATCAAGTTTACGAAACGCGCGAAACACTACCGCTGGGTTGATAATGGCGATACTTTCGCCACGCACTGCCTTGGTGGGTTTCTGGGCACCATAGTCACGGGCCTCTTTGCGCAAAAGGAGGTGGCTGCTTATGACGGTGTCACAGAGATCACGGGTGGGTGTCTGATTGACGGGAATTGGAGACAACTGGGTATCCAAATCGTGGAGGCGCTGATCGGCTTCGTCTGGAGTTTTGGAGGCAGTTATCTGCTTTATGCATTGATTGATTGTGTGCCTGGATTGGAAGTTTTGGCTACAGATGAGTATGTTCTAACAAGTACCGGGAGAGAGAATGATTGCTAACTTATGTGCACAGTGAGGTCATTTCTGGCCTGGATAAGTCTCAGATGGACGAGTCGTTGCACGAAGCTCAATGGGCTGGAGAGGAGGAGTATCATCCATTCCAAGGCTCAGTCCAGATATAGAAGAATATACCGGTGGCTTTTGGATGCATTGGCTCTTTCCTGGCACTGCTTCACTATTCCTGTGGGCTTGGAAGCTGTGCTAAAAAGTGAAAAGGGCGGTCTCTATGCTCACTCAGTTGACAACAACCAACCCTTCAGCACTAGACAACGAAAAGCATTTGACACATTCCATAATTTGCTGCACACTCCGCGGAAGACTTACCCGGAACCCCTGCAATATCTGTCTCACAATCACCGTGGACACAATGGATTCCTTGATTACCTTTTTGTAGAAATGCCCTCTTTAGTCCCTAGGCAGCAAGCAGGAAAAGTAAATTAATACCGACCGCAATAAAGAACGCACTTCCAATTTCACCCATCCCCGGCTCTCCGACTCGCCACTTCTATACCATCGAACTTTAAACCACCTTCCCCTCGGATTCAAAGTTCAACCACAAGTATGGACTGTACGACCCAGGGGAAACACCCGGACCTCGGACCCACGGGCTCGTGCATGAAAAGCTACCATTCGGAGTTGACTGCCGAGTTGCACAGCCTTGCTTCATCTTGAGATCTAGACCCGTTGAGTAGATCTGTAGGCAGTAGCTTTCTACTCGGTCGGCCGGAGGGAAATTCCAACCTGTCCAAGGGCTAACAAGCAGGCCAACAAACTGACTCAGGTATAGATAAGGTCTAAGTGTGAGTCAGCCAAAATTGTTTTCTTCTGAGTCACTGAACCCATAGCTTATGAACTAGACATAATTGAAGCTTTGCCTTTGTGTTGCATGTAGCAGAATCATCGACTAGAATCACGCATATGTATTCAGATTACGTACTCTGGATTCTGCTCTGTGATTATCGATAGCTTGAATGATATTCTAAGCCAAGACACCCGTCAACTATATTATTTTGTCCTGATCTATATGGTTTGTCTAAGAAGCGGCAGTAGCTTATTTGATTACAAACCTTGTACTAGACTAAGTAGCACTGGCATTTTGTTCTAGCGAAGGAGGATTTTCGTCATTGCAAATTGAGCAATAGATGAATGGTGCCAGGGACGAATGTACTGCACTTTGGTAGACACGCAATGTATGGATGCCTGTTCTCTGTGTCAGCGACTGGCGCATCCTGGCTCAGGCAAAGAACAGACTGTTGACAAATGCGCTCCTGATTGGACACTAAGCGCATGTTGGGTAGATTTGTGTGAATGTCGCTTCGCCTCTGCTCGAAATTGAGATGTTTCTGTCTTGCATGTGCATCTAGACAGGATAGGCAGGTGAGTAGATGGATCTACTTTTGTACCTCAACAACCCTAAAAATCGAAAGTCTGTGTCAGGTAAGTGGTACATCGCTGCGAATAGCAAGCTTGTGATTGTGTTAACTGCAAAGGCGGATGCAGTACCAATAAATGGTGGGCTTAATTTCTTATCATAGAGGACCAAACCAAAGTATTAGTATGGTAGAAGGGATTAGGCGATAAGAGGAGATATAGTAGTCGGAAAGATTCTCATAGAGCTGAACAGCAACACTTAATGATACTAGCAATTGTCTAGCTAATACTCAGATGGATGGTAACCTCCTTGTGTTCTATAAGTACAGTGAGATACAACGGCGTAAGCCTGCAACAACTCAAACACCAACCATTTGATAAGTAAAGTGACTAGGTGCGAGTCAATCTGAGAGAGAGGTCACTTGCAATCTCTTAATAGATAGTCAGCTTCGAGCCAAACTCCCCAATGTTCTCCATACCGACGAAAAATAGCAGCGCTAAACCTAGGGCCTGTTTGATTCGCGATCCAATGCCGCCCCCATGAGCAGTTCTATCACCTGAAACAGAATAGTGGGCCTTGCCGCCTGGCACCGCAAGTGGCTATAAATGTCCTCTACGGTCCCTGTAGATATATCGATAATTCTACGGAGTACGAGAATCTCTATGGCAGCCATGAGACAAGGCAATAGAGACTTCGCCCTGCTATCGGGCGAGCCAGGGAGAGCCCCCAAGCGCTTGATATTTTCCTACGTGCTCGACTGGATGCTCATCATGTCTGTAGCGCTGACCCTTGCGCGAGAAGAACCCCCGTCGCTGACACCTTTTCTTTTGCAGTCTTCTCGTCATCGTTGGTGCAATCCTATACAGCATCACCGGCTCCGAACACGTCTTCTCCCTCGACGACCCCAGCATATCGTATCCCTTGAAAGATGACACCGTATCAATCGTCACCGTCGGAATCGTCTGCTGCGCCGTCCCCGCGCTTCTCATCGCCGTCCTCAGTCTCCTCTTTCCGATCCCTTGGAGACTCCGCTTCTGGGAATGGCACGCCGGGTGGCTGGGACTGGGTCTCAGCCTCGCCGGCGCCTTCTTCGTCACCTCCGGCCTCAAGGACGTGGTGGGCAAGCCCCGGCCGGACCTGCTCGCGCGGTGCCAGCCCAACCTGTCCCTCAATCTTACCGCGTACGCCGTCAGCGGGTTGGGCGTGGAGCGTCCGGAAGCCCCTGTGATGGTCACCACGCGCATCTGCCAAACTTCCGACTCCAAGACCCTCCGCGACGGATTCGCCGCGTTTCCGTCCGGCCACTCCTCGTTCTCTTGGTCGGGCCTGCTCTACCTGTCGCTCTGGCTGGGGGCGAAGTTCGCCCGTGCTGTTCCTGCTCACCACGGGAACTCGTACAGCCAGGCGGCTGCTGCTCCACCCGTATATCTACTCTTACTGTCCGCTATACCTATCGGGGGTGCCCTCTATATCTGCGGCACGCGCTATATGGACTATATGCATGCTGGGTGGGATATCATGGGGGGGAGTTTGATTGGGATTACCTTTGCGATCCTGGGCTTCCGCTGGTATCACGCCCCAGCTGGGCAGGGAGATGAGGGCTGGGGCTGGGCGCTGGGTCCGCGGTCAGCGGACCATGCGTTCGGGGTGGGCTTGGTTGCCCCAGGGGAGTTTCGGGGCGATGACCGGAGGCCGGTGGAGAATCGAGAAGGGTTTCTGGATGTCGAGCTCAACACTATCGATGGCTCGCAGAGTGTGTTGCGGGTTGCCAATCCCTAGTCTGTCATGTCCTACCTATGCTGTGTGAATGCTTCTGGCAGTCCGACTTGAGACTCCTGTATGCCGTTGAAAATTCATGCAATCCCAACAATTCAGCAGAATCCCTCTTTCGATGGACAACGCAAAGTACGTATCCATTTGGACCCTTGTTTCGTGAATCTGGCTACGTTCAAGAGGAATGCCGGGCGATGACCCACTGGTGGTCCCCGCATTCAATTTCTTTTACGAAATTCGGAGTGGGTTTGAACCAGACGCAGTGGTCCCAGTGTGCAATCAAAATCTGGGGATTAACCACGTGTACGCTCATGGCTTTGATTTCAGTATCCATCCATGATGAGAGTTCCAAGTCAAGAATCGAGCTGATACACCGTTGCTTGTCTTGGAGGGTAGAGGGGTTTTTTTTTTTGGCTTTCGGACGCCCGAACTTCCGAACAAATTTGGGAACACAAAAATGGATGAAGATACCAGAGCACCAGAACGTACGTATCGTAAGATTGCGACGTAAGAATTGTGGCTTAGACCAGGGCAGGAGCAGGGAGGCTGCATGGTGGGAGTAGCTCGTATTCAGCTGCAAGACTGGTTAACTGTAGCAAAAATAGATTCTGACTGTTGTCTCTGTGAGCTGCTGCTCAGGGTACTCGACAGGAAACCCTATCTTTTACCTACAAGCTAAGCTTTTACCGAACTATACCATAGATGGTCCAACCTTGCAATGTTACAAGATACCATAGTCTCTATGAGCAGGAATTGAGATGATAAGTATACTATTGTTTGTAGGCAGATTACAGCTGTACTCGCGCACCCAGCGATAGCATTGACAGTAAATGCAATAGTGCTGACAGAAGGCTTTGAATCAAGGCTCAGCACCGCCCATACACCTGGCAGTAGCACAGTGTTGTGTCCGGACAGCTGAATTATTGCAACCCAGCTTGATTAGTATAATCCGCTGCCGACAAAGGGCCCTCAAGGCAGGACTTACTACACGGGTTCTTTGCCAAAAATGATGTGCCAGAGATACTCCATCACCCGGCCGCTATGCGCATCGTCAAGGTCCGTATCGATGACCCATTGTCGAATCTTCACGTAGTCAGCCCGGGGTCTTTCCAGCACCCGCTGTCGGGATACCGCGAACTGCGCACAGCACGGTGCAGCAATCCGGGTCGGAATCTGCAGAGCCTTCCCCCCGTCGTCCGGCTGCGGCTTCATGACCCCGGTGTCATCTGCCGGCGGCGTGCTGGTGTTCCTGAAGACCTCCATGAAGATCTGCGGCGTTAGAAGGCCGTTGGGGTATGCGGGCCTCACGCATCCCGGGTTCGCGTTGCATCGCAGGTTGACGTAGCCGCTCTGCTGGACGAACTCTACCCTCAGAGCTCGTATGGACCATACATTGTCGTGCAACGGTGCGTCGACATGCCACGCCCGGAAGAACCCCGAGCGATGCGCGTGGAGGAAGACGATGGTCGATGGCAGGTGCTCGTAGTGCTCGATCAAGTAGGTCAGATAGGCCATGGATTCGTGGCCCTTGTTGAGCGGGGTTTTGAGCTGCTGGTCGTCGGCCACGGCTTCTTTGGAGGGGTTCACGGTGTATAAGGCCCGTTGCCAGCTAGCCATACACACAGGTGGTTCAGCGATGCTAGCTATCTTGCTGGTGATGAGGTTAAGGATAGTATGTCCACTCACTCGGGCAGTTCTTGCTCGATCCAGTCGGTGTTCTCCTCCTGTAGTTTGGCGACTACTATCACCTTGTCACTATAGTCTTCTGTCGCATTCGTCGTCTGTTTTGTTGGGGAGGCCCAAGAATTGAACCAGTCGATGGCATATTGCTTTGCCTGGTACTGATCGCTTAGATCCCTGAGATGGAAGTCCAGGAGAAGCAGGGGGAGGAAGAGTGCTATGCTGAAGCAGAGGAACAGTCGCAAGAGCCATTTCATGGTGAAGTGTACGTCCTTGATGGAACAGAAAGAATAAGTGACTTACAAAGAGTTGATAGGGCTTGGGATCTAGTGGGATGCGCATGCTTGTTTAATACTCATTGAGAGCCTATTTTGTGACTATACCTGGACACCTACGTATGCATGCTTTAGACTTCATCGAATCTTTGATAGGTCTGCAGAGACCAACACACTTGGTACACATTGTACATTACATGGAACTGGCTAAACGTTCTTCATGATACCAGACCCAAGAGTGTGCCTGGCAGTCCCACCTGAGCCGCACCAAGTGGGCACTCTCAAGCTTGAATTTGTAGTAGTAAAATATTCGATTTTTGCCGGCAGTGAATCTGACAAGTGAGCCATTTACACCTATCGAACTGAAGCCTTCTGCTTACTGATCACTTGTCAGCCCCATTCAACAGATACGTCCACATCCTTAGGATGTTTGTCGGTTGGTAGCCATACTTCATAGACACGCGTCTGGGTTACCGTGGCGAATGTTTCGGTCTGGTATTTAAATTCTATCTCCGAAACCCGCGATACCGCATCAAAGAATAAAATACCCACAGTTGGATGAACAAACAAGGCCAACAACATCCACCACCAGTAGGCCGAGTTCTTATCAGATCTGACGGACCTCCATCTCTTACTTCTGCACTTCATCGTGATGACAGTGTCTCGTGCCACGTCCAGCAAGCAGACATTGCCAATTTGGGGCGGATGCTCGGACTTCCGAATATCAATAGCCCGGGGAAAGGAAAAAAGATACCACCACGCCAAGAGTGCGTCGTTGTTGGTGCTTCAATGGCAGAATGGCGTCTCGGGTGATTCTGGAACGATCCGCTGTACGTCTTCTGTCCTAGCATGTTAGTGGCTTGGTGAAACTTTGCATTCTTCCTGTCTCCTCTCCATCCCACAAATCGCGACAAGCGCAGATCTGACACCACGCTGACATCTATCAACAACTTTGATAAGTGCGACCTCTGCCACTCCAGAAAGGTCGGTGACAAGAACCGTGACATAAGTCACTATGCTTTCTTCTCCAACATGTCTCCTAAGATAATGGCTGATATAGGTGAAATGTGACCGGCTTGACCCATGCATGAACTGCGTGGATGCAGAGGCAGAATGTCGAAGAGCTCGGCCACGGCGCAGTATGCGTCCCAGAGTTTCGCGGTAAGTCCCTAGATCTCACATTGAGCAGATCCCTTGCTATGAAAACGTTCTGCTCGTTGGAATGGTTTTGGGTTGTAACAGACCATATTCTAGACTCTCGGGACTGTCAAAGAGGCTGTCAACACTGGAGCAATACATCGTCAATCCCCATGCTCCTGCGGCATCCACGAGACAGGAACCGAGTCACGACCTCCAAGAGCCAAACAATAACAGCAATATGATACTAGAGATTCCCACGACCTCTCAGGCTTCCAACATGAGCACTCCAGATATCAAGGCCACAGGCGACGTTGTGGCTTCCCAACGAACCACAGAATCCCCCGCTGCAGTCGAAGACATAGCAACGCAGCAAGCTTGTGAGGCACGACGCTCCATTCAACAGGAACTACGGCAAAGCAACCACTTATCCTCCAGCCGACGCACCATTCTGGAAAGCGCTCTATCTCTTGTAAACAAGATATCTACGCCATCATTAGAGAAAGGACTGTTCCAAGGGAATACCAAGGAGTCGGAGGACTCCAATCCATCAGGCATAGAGGAGTTCACCTTGGAGACGTACTTCATGATGTCAGAGGGTTCGTGTTCAGGCGCGAAGAGTATCCTACCTTCTCCATCGCTAACATCAAACAGACATAGCACACCGAGACTCTCCCGGGAAGCACCTTCATTGGCCCGATCACGTCTCGGTCAAAAGTCTGGAACATATGAGCCTGTCTCTTGCGGAAGGCCTCGTCGATCGTCAGACATCTCTGCATTATCGTGTCTGCGTCTATACCAAAGCCATATTTTTTCTCGCTCGTCTTCGGCAACGACAAATGAATCCGCGGCTTTACAACCATGTCAAAATGACTCGTCGTAAATATACTCTAGCAGCTTTCAAGGCTCTAAATCAAGTCGATATGAGCGGAACTTATTCTCTTTCCTTTGTTCAAGCTCTATTGTCCGGTGTAGGTTGCATTTTTCTTTTTATCCTTTGCATGTGCCAGTCCTGACTAGACCTCGAAAAGGCATTGCTTCACCAAATGCAAGGGAATTCTACCAAGAGCTGGACGTTGACAGCATTCGCGGCGCGGCTACTCGTCGCTATGAACCATCATAGCATTACCACTGATACACCAGTTCGAACTCAGGAGGAAGAGGATGCCCGCTTCTGTCTTTTCTCCTGCTACTTACTCGATAAGTCACTAAGCATGCTTCTCCTCCGACCACCTTCACTCCCACGCCTGGGAGTAAGTCCTGCCGCACTCATCCCTATGGAAGACGGCGTATCGCTCAGCATGATCGCCAAAACCATGGTTGAGCTAGCGGAAATTCAAGAGGCTGCATTGGAGCTATTTTACAGAGGGGCGGGGCCTGTGGATACAAGCAACCCTGCGACCGAGCTAGATGGGATGATCCAGCAGCTGGATTCGATGAAGGCCGTGATCGAGGAGGCAAGCTGTTTCCTAGGAATTCCCCTGAATGTTTGAGCTGCAATACTGACCTCAATCAGCGCCGAGCAAGCTCCGGGCCGGAATTGCAGTGGGATTGGATGGCGGCAGAATTCCGATATCACGCTATGGTGACAACCATACTACAGTGCAAATCCAGAGTCTGGGGCACGGTCCAAAACCGGGAGCAATGTCTCCAGCATGCGCGGCATGCGCTCGAGGCTTTGAGCCGTCTGCAAACAGTTTTCAATGAGGACAGTGCCTTTGTTGGTGCTTACCCGATGTTCTTGACCTGGTAAGTATAGCCCCTTCCTCTAGTTGTATGCCGTATCCTGACGAACGCTGAACCTTCAAGGACCGTTTTTTCTTACCCCATGACTCCCTTCTACATCTTGTTCTGCAATGTGGTTGGGACGTCGAGAGTGGAAGACTTCCAGCTGATGCGCGACACCACGAAGGGTCTTTATCGGTTCATCGACTTCAACCCTGCAATTGGCAGGCTATACCACCTGTTTACCCAATTTCTCATCCTTTGCAGTCCCCTTGTTGAGAGAGAAGACAGTACCAGTCCCTGCTCTGTCCAGCAAAACATGAACCTCGACCCAGAGGACCCCAGCGTCCCACTAGATGCTGGTATCCCCCTACTGAACACGGACAATCAACTCTACAATGGCGCAGCCCATTTAGGAAGGACTGAGGGTGCCAGCTCATTCGATACGACAATACGACCAGAGATGAATTCGTGGTGGAACAATGCTCAGATGTGGGAACTGTTTGGCACCCAGCCTTCGCTCGAATGGGTGAATTCTGAGATCACCGATTTTGTGGCAGATGGCTATCCGTAAGGTGTTGACGATTAGGAAGTAATGACCTTATAATAGAATTTGGCTACATCGATTCTTCTTTCCCTTCTGGACGGTTATAGTTGATGTGCAATGTCCTCTGTGATGTAGCGTATGTACTGTACTGTACTGTACTGTCCTGTACCTTAGTTAGCATGGCTGCCTAAAGCGGCCAATACCGGCAGCAAACACCTTGACCGACCGACCGACCCAATGGGCTGAGAGTAAAAATACACAATACGGATGCAGTTTAGTTTCCAAGTTCCATCCGTATATGTACTGTATATCCATCCAATCTCTTCCCAAGGGTCTCTTCAGCCAGGCCGCGTCAGCTCCAGGGAAAGACAAGCTTTCGGCACTGAGGCTTGGCTCCGACCCATCGGTGTTGGGAACGTACACACGTCAACGTACCAGAAGAGTGATGGCCTCGCATCGTTTATCCTCTGCTTATCCCCCACCTCCAGATGACCTGCTCAACATGCTCCCTTACTTCCTGTCCGTGAACTGCTACAGATAGTCCCCGGTGATGTCTTTCACCCAACCATATACTCCAGCTTCTTCCTCTAGGGCCATTTCCATCCCACAGTCGCTGGACGTGGTGCCTGAAGAAGACTCGGAGATGGATGACTCCCAGTTCGAGACTCTACCACTAGACAACTTGAAAAAGACGTCAGCCAGTGGCAGGCGATCTATAGGACCTCTTGGACTATTTCGCAGCTTCTACACTCCAAGGACGAGACCTCGACGCTCCTTCCCTGCACGCCCGCTCTCCCGCAAAGCTCGAATCATCCACGCTCTGCGGCGGCTATTCTGTGGCGTGGTGTTCGTTCTGTGAGTGTATTTGGCCTCTGAGATGATGTGTCTGTCCTTGTGACGACTGACACCGAATCCTCCTACAGCGGTACGTTAAAGCTCGCCTCCATCACCTGGACCGGCCTGGTATACCTCTTCCCGGACGACCTCGACGCCCGTCTCGACGCGTGGCTCGTCCCCGGCGGGCGGCCATCGATCTTCTCGCACTGGACCACACACGGGGTGGAGCCCGTCCACTGCCACTCGCACAACGACTACTGGCGCGACGTGCCGCTCTACTCGGCGCTGCGCGCGGGCTGCATCGGCGTGGAGGCCGACATCTGGCCGTCCAACCGCGACCTGCTGGTCGGCCACACGCCGTTCACGCTGCACTCGGACATAACCCTGCGCAGCCTCTACCTCGACCCGCTGCTCGACCTGCTCCAGAAACACAACACGCGCAGCAGCCAGCTCCAGCCCGCCCACCATGACAACCACCATCCGCCCGCGGGGGTCTTCGCCACCAACCCCTCACAGACCCTCGTCCTGCTGATCGACTTCAAAACCGACGGCGAGGAGCTGTGGGACCCCGTGCTGGCGCAGCTGCAGCCCCTGCGCGCCGGCGGGTTTTTGACGCACTACAACGGCACGGCGGTCGTCGAGCGGCCCCTCACCATCGTCGCCACGGGCGATGTCCCCTTCCATCGGGTCGTCGCCAATACGACCTACCGCGATGTCTTCTACGATGCGCCGCTCGACCAGCTGGAAGCGTCGGCAAGCAGCGTCAATGATACCCCTTCAGCGAGGTCCCACGTCGACGACGACTACACCCGCGCGAACAGCTACTACGCCTCCGTGAATTTCCGGCGGACGATCGGGAGCCTCGCCGGCAATCGGTTCTCGGAGGAGCAGTTGGCCCTGGTGCGCGCGCAGGTCGCCGCCGCGCACGCCCGCGGGCTGAAGGTGCGATACTGGGGCACGCCCGGGTGGCCGCGGGGGCTGCGGAACCATGTCTGGCATGTGTTGGTCAGGGAGGGGGTCGACCTGATCAATGTGGACGACTTGTACGAGGCGACGCGGCAGGATTGGCGGAAGCATCGGAGCTGGGGGTTGTAGTCGGGCTTTGGAGAAGGGGAGAGAAAATTGCGTATTTACTAGCTTTGGTTCGGGAGTATATATTGCACATAGGCGATCATTCTGTTCAGGTAGAAACATTCAGCGCAAAACGTCAATAGTGATGGAAGACTTGTCTTGTGGATTAGGACTTGTCATTCATAAAAGATTTTATTCCTGAAATTTTTTCGAGAAATAGAGAAAACGTTGCTCAAGTAACATGTTACAGCTGTTGTATCGTTAAATCATTCATGCAGGACCTCATTTGACGGTCAAGGTATTTCGCTACATTTCTTCAATTTAGAAAAAAAAACAAAAAGAAACTATGATCTGGGGTATCCACAAACGGGATCCAATTGTTTTTCCCTTGCTTGCTTTCTTCTGCCTGCAATCCAATCTTCTGGTCAGCAGACATCCCTCAACTTGTCATGCCCTCGCGCCGAGGATCAGTTTAAACTTTTCTCCTCTAAAGCCGTGTATCGGACCGAAACACCACGTATCGTAACGGTCGTTTCGGCCTTTGCATCAGAACGTTGAGCCCGACCCCGAGATGTGGGCGTTGCCCGATGTCTAGTATACTCGGTCGACCGATCTCATTACGAGCCTTTCCTTATCAGTATTAGCGCATCCGTAGCAGAGGCTGCCGATAATGAACTTACCCGCTACCCAGTCCGACAAAGATGTACATTATCACCAGCACTGGGAAGGGGGGACGTGTTGAGATGACGGCAAAGGCAAGCAAATGACATGCTGGGCCGATAAACGCCACGCCGCGACGACCCAGGCGCTGGTGGAATCAGATTACTCACGACAGCGGAGATGGTGTAGCCCCGAAATGGGGACAGGTAAATAAGGGAAATTATAGTATAGCTCTTGGCGTAGGCGAGCTGGAGCTGGATCATGCCAGCCAGTAGCCTGGATTAGCACTGTACTGTACGTGCTCTCTGGGCGCCGAGAAGGTGGCCAGTACTCTCCAGATCTTAGTCTTGGACCCGTTCCACCGCAGGGGCGACGGTGACCGCGTGGGAGGGCGGAGTGTCATTCTCGGGAGCGGGGCTCGCGGGCACAGATGCAAGGCGAGTGGGATCGAGAATCATGGCCATGGCGACCACCAACTCGGTCTTGGCTAAGAATATCGTCACGACGGGGGGGATTGTGGAATTCGACCATTTTCCCATGATTGCCAGTTGGCGCGGAGTTCACTGGGGTAGGTACGCAGGGCCGTGCCGTGCCGACCAATAACCACCCATCACTACGTACAGATACGGCACGTGACAGTAAGCCGGTTATGCAAGGTGGGGGGGGTTGTTTGCCTTAAAGAAGGCCTGGCAACCTCAGATCTGGCAACAATAAACCAGAAGAGGAACAGCAACACAACAATGGCTGATAACCTGCCACAAGAGGTGAAAGCTTATCTCGAGGAAATAGTACAGCGTCTGGCGGAATACCTGCAACACCAGCTCGTTGGAGTATATCTATTTGGGTCGGCGAGTTATGGCGCCTACGAGTCCGGCCTCAGCGACCTTGACGTACAGGTCGTAGTGAAGGATCGGCTGAGAACCGTCGAGAAGCAGGCAGTTATAAGCCGCCTGACCCACGCCGTCTTACCTTGCCCGGCTACCAAACTCGAGTTCGTGGTGTATGCTCAAAGCGCCGTGTATCCGGCCAGTCGTCACCCTCGCTTCGAACTCAATCTCAACACGGGGCTTCACCAGCCTGATCACATCAGCCTCGATCCCGCCGACGAGTCCAGCCACTGGTTTCTGCTGGATATCGCCATGGGACGTCAGCTTGGCTGCAGCCTGTACGGCCCTGATACGACCCACGCGTTCGGCGCGATCCCTCAACGCTGGGTCCTGGAAGCCATCGCGGACTCACTCGATTGGCACCACGCAAACGAAATCAACTCTCCCAACAGCATTCTCAATGCGTGCCGAGGCTGGCGATTCATTGTCACGGGCGAATTCTCTTCCAAATTGGACGGGGCCAAATGGGCCCTACAACAACAGGACTGTCCAGACGTGGTTCGACGTGCAATTCTCGCGCGCAACACAGACGACAAACTCCCGGCGGCCCAGGCAGAGATGCTCTATGATATTGCTCTGACGGCCAACCGTGCCAAACTCGCGACGGATCTAGATTAACTCGTGCCCCAATCCATGGCCGCAGGGAAGCCATCTGAGTTCTAGAGCAGGCGTGGCAATCAAGATCTTGATTTTCTCTACTCAGATTGAAGCAAGTTCAAGAGAAAGCGAACAAATGACTGGTCGGACTTGAAGGGGATGTGGTGATGTCGAATGGCACGATCTTCCTGCGCATCTAACGACAGGATGGCTCAGGGTGTTCAGCTACCTTTGGCAAGTTCGGATTTCCTGGTTATGGAACAAACATTTGACGTTGGCCGGATCGAAGTTTCTTGCCCATTTGCGATGGATTGGTTTGTTGCTGGTGTCTGGGGAAGCATTCCAATCATAGAACCGTATCGAAGATGTTCGAAGCAGTATCATCAAGGCTCGGAAATACTACATTCGTACTCTGTTCAGTAGATTTGCAGGCTCGCTTGGCTGGCAAATACATTAGTCAACCCCCTTGTGTAGTCAGCCAGCTTCTACACCAATCCCCGACGGGAAGACCATCCATTGCATTGCACCCCAAAACCAGCGATCTCGATCTCGATCGCTAGATCGATGGGCTCGATCGACTCTCTCGATGGCCCAAGATTCCCGATCGATCTTTGCCCCCTTGCCCCCCCCTCTGCCCCTCTGTTTGTCTCTGTGATTGGATCACCGCCCTCAAACGTCAGCAGGCACCGCATAGCACAGCATAGCACAGCAGAAACCGCACGAAGAAATGTGGCGTGGTCGATCGGGATTCCGGTGTAAGATCGAGATGGGCGATCGGATCGATGATCGATCTTCGGCGATGACGATGGTTTCTGGTGCTGGGGTTGGGTTGTGGCGTTGCGTTGGTGGTTCTGCTCGGTGGTTCTGCTCGGTGGTTCTGCTCGGTGATGATTGATTCTTGGGCTTCTGTGGCTGAGGTGTGGTTCGTACCCTTAGGGGTGAGCCTGGAGCCTGAGGAAGTACAGAGTAGGGCTGGAGGGCTGGATGCGATCTCCGGCCTATTGGGGTTTAGTTTTGGGTGTGGTGATGGATCTTATCGTGGTGTGCGGGGCGGATCAACTTACGTAGCAACTGCATACTTTAGTGGGAGGGGTGGGGTTCTCTACTGTCGGTTTTGTGTTGCTCTCGCTCTTGATATTATGATTCTAGTGCTTGGAGTTCAAAGTGTTAGTGCAGCTTATACATCATCGAGTTAGTGGAGCGGTGCATCTAGCGCGGGTGGAGGGAGTGAAGTTGTGTTGTGTTAAGTATACCCTGGTTTTTGTTGTTGACTTTTTTTGTAGTGAAGTTCAACATGACTAGACAAGCAGCACTAGTTTGCTATACACATACTGGTGGATCTGGGTACAAGAGATCTATCCTCTGATTAAACTTTGAATACTGAACTTACCAAGAACACCGCTCTACCCTGAAATGCTTTGACCGCGGTGGTCAATCCGCGTATGTTGACGTTTACAAACTACGAACTAGATGAAGAAGAACTATGATAAACCCAAAAAACATCGGTCGAGAACAGTAGTTCCATTGGACCATCAACATAGAATTAGAGCTGTACCGCTGACCGAGTACATTAGCTACCTTACCTAACATACCCACTTATCCAAGTCGACAAACAACCCAGAAACTGACTAATCCCCCATCCCAGCCATGGATACACCGCACTTCCCTCCCCCCCCCCCCCCCCAGCAGAAACAGATACATCATCATGATCCAAAAGATCTAGAATCTTGAATCTCGCATCGAATCTCAAATCCCGAGAGCGAACGCTGGGTCCGCCCGGCTCCGGCGCCCTCTGGAAACCTTAATTCCAGCCCACGCCAGCACCTTAACTCGCAGCTAACGGCATTCAGCAAGGTCAGTTCCCCACGAGTCAGACCCAGTACGGACTACGGCGTAAATGTGAGGTGTTTCAGCTGCTAATGCGGGTGCTCGTCTCGAGATCACGATCCCCTTTCTTCCCTCGATAATCAGGCCTCATGCAGGAGACTTACTTGAAATCCTACTAGGGACTTGCGCCCTTGCTTGCCGAAGTTTATTCAAAGCTCCCCGCCCCCGGGGAAAGCTGCCGGCCGCTTGGCTGGTTTAGGCAGGTGGTTATTGGTAATCAACTTTGGCGATTATCCATTTTGTGAAGTAGGGACGAGGTGTGTTTGTTAGTGTTAGACCGGTTCATGAACTCTGATTAAATAGACCCAAGTCAAGGACTCTGTAAAAAGCAAGATAATAGTACTGCATAACAAAGGAAAACGTCATAACTTCAGTGGTATATACATCCCATCCCATCCCTTCCCATCCCAAAATACTCATACAACTTCAATTCCCACAGACCAGACAAGTACAACCAAGGGTATAATTCTGTACAGTAGTCGTACATCCAAAAACAAAAAAAAGCTAAACCATACTATGCTCATGACACGAATCATCCCCGGCCGACGAGGTCTGCGTCACCTCGAAGGTACGCTGGATCCCGCCAAAGCCGCCGCCGCCGCCGCCGCCGCCCCCCGCGGATCCTGGATGCGACTCCGGGTCGCGGTCGCGGTTGCGGTCGCGGCGGCCTCGGCTATCTTTGCTGCCGGGCGATCGTTCGCCCGACAGCCCCGCCGTCAGCTGCTCCTCGCTGCTGTTCGACGAGGTCAGCGGCCCCCGCTGGCTGTGGATGGTGGTCACCGTCACCGCCAGCTTGTCCGGTCGGAGGCGCCCTTGCACGGCGGCTTCGTCCAGCGACCCCAACGGCATGGGCCGTTCGTGGGAGCGGGCGTGGTGGTGGTGGTGGGGGTTGTTGCTGGCGCCGCCGCCGATGCGACGCGACCCGGAGGGACCGCCGAAAGGGGAGCGGTCGTAGTAGTTGGGATCGGAGTGGGAGCCCAGCCAGTGGCGGACGAGGGGGCGGAGGGTCGCGAGACTACCGGCCGTGATTCCGAGGCCGGTTTCGATGTTGGACCAGAGAGCGATTTCGACGGTGGCATCTAGAGGGAAACAAGGATTAGCTTGGAAGATTGGCAGACTGGGAGGAGCGGAGAAAACGTACAGAGAAAGTCCGGGTCATCAAAGGTATGCACCCAAGGAATGCGGATGATCGTCGCGGATGAGGCACTAGAATTCGTTGGTCAGTCAGTCTGCCATACCACTCCGACGAAAAACCAAAATTAAACATACATGCAAGCCATGCCCAGAATGGCCACAACGGCCATCTTCGTCTGCTTGCGCATGTGCAGGTTCTTCACGATGAAAAACGGCAAGATGCCCACGGTGAAATCGCACAGCGCCGCAAACGCACTGTACACGTAGGTCATGGCGATGATAATCTCCATGTTGATGCAGACCCCATGGATGCTATCGTCAAATGCCTTGCGCGTCCAGAAATAGGAGACGGGCTTGCACTGCAGCAGCATCAGGAACATGAAGACCAGGGCGGCGACGACGGTCAGGACCATCACGATGCGCAGGATCCAGATGTGCATGCGCTTCACGGTGATGCGCAGCAAGAAGATGCACACGGAGATCTTGCAGCCCATGGCGGAGAAACAGTACGCGATTTCGCAGAACCACCAGTACTGTTGTGGATGGAATGTTAGCACGCACCATCGGCATTCTCGAGCTTGCCCGGGGCGAATCGTACCTTCATGGCTGTCACGCGCTGGTGCGCATCCAGGACACTGAAGTGTCGGCCTGTGCCGTAGATGGCTCCTCCGATCATACATCCGGAGAACATGCAGTAGAATAACTAGGGACGGAGAATATCAGCTTTCTCGTCCCACTCATCACGGCCACCGGTTGATAGGTAGGGACTCACCATAGCAACGACCATAGCCCAATCATCAATCCCAAACGCTCGAACAATCCATCCGCGCACATAGCATCGCAGTATCACCGCAATGCAGGCCACGGACATAAAGACGGCGGCAACCGCCTTAACCTCCGGGCTGCGGTCCTCTGCTGCCATGCTATCGTTGCAAGAAGCAAGGCATAATCCGGAGGACTAAAAATCACAAAGAAAAGAGAGGCGAGAGAGAAGAGAAACAAAACACTAGAGGTAGGGGCCGAAGGGAACCGCAACCGGTATTTGAGTGAACGATGGGGAAAAAGGGAACTCGGGAAGGGAGACGTAAGGGAAAACCTTCAAAGTGTTGCACGTCCGTTTCCACTTCCACACACGGTCTAGAGGGCCGAGGAAGTTGACTTCAGGCACGCTAATCTAGTCGGTCGACCGTCTGGCCCTGGTCAGAGGTGATCATAGCAGGCTAAACTGGTCTAGGGTTGTGTCTGCACATCGCCGCCCTTTTACTCTCTCTCACTCTCTCTCTCTCTCTCTCTCAATGCAGACCGAGATCGACGGTGCGCCGGTCCAAAGTCTAACGCATCCACCCACCAAGTGTATTCTGGGCAGCCCTGGGCTGAAGAGGATCCAGGAAAGCCAAGAGCCCCTTCGCTTAGAGCAACTGGACTCAGTACGAGCAACCATTTCAGGAATGAGATCATCACTAATCAAAAACCAAGATGATTGTTCGTGCGGATGCGTCGTGGCGAAGAGCAATTCCCCCCCACCGAGCCGTTGTGGTCAGAGCGACGACACGATTAGTCTCTGATAGTGTTAAAGGTTATCCTCAGGCTGCCCCGGGGATAATTTCACGTCAATGGCCGGAAACGGGGGTGACTCCACTCGGCCTCGGTTGTATCTCCGCATTGGGTAGACCCCCCGACGGTCGAGTCAGGAGTACGAGTAAGAAAGTAAGAAAAGAACTGGTGAATTGGGAACAAAAGCAAGAAGGCGAAAAAGTTCAATTAAGGAAGTCATGAGGGCGCAAGCCATCCATGGCTCTGGGATCGATTATGGTTCTGATGGTGCTAATGTTGTGCAGAATTGCCAGGACCCATGGATCAAAGCTCGTCATTCGCCGCCATCCGCTCCCACCCCCCGCCGGAGGTGACTCCCCCCAATCCTAGATCAAAATCAATCAGCAACCCACGGATGCCAATGATCACCAGTAGTTTACTATGTAATCCGTCGCCATCAGTCCGAGCATTCCCACGTGCGATTGTCGCCTCTTCTTCGGGATTACCGAGCAGTTATGACGCTGATTCTATGCGACTGGCACTCTAGACGAAACGCCCTTCCCCTCATTCCTGCGGGTTTGGGCTGCCACGCGTGAGTGGATCTCTGGGATCCCGGACTCCTCGGAGGCACAGGGAAAACGGAAACCAGGATCAAAGAAGTAAATGCGTTGTCGGACCTGCAGACTTCTAGAAAGCCAATCCAGGGTGACCTGTCACACGCGACTTGGGACCGGCCTATCAAGTACAATCCCAATTGTCCTAGGAGGCTTAGGCAGGAGTCGAAGGGAGGAAGGAAGGAAGGAAGGAAGGTCCTTCAGGGAATCAGGGGAATGTTTCCTGGGCACTTGGAAGGGCAATAATGGCAATCCTAATGTTCCTCCCCTGCCAGAGCGGGCACGTCCCAACTGGTCGGTTCGCCTATTCCCAATTCAAGCAATGTACAACAGAGCCGGTGCCCACCCTAAAAAATGAACGGGGCAGATCCAACTTGATCCCCCCTCCCCTTCCCGTTAAATTTAGCACCAGACAAAAAGATGGATCATGGATATCCTTTCCGAGTGCCGCGGTGACTATCAATGGGAAACTAAGAGAAAAAAAAAAAAAATCACAGACAGCTGCCAACTCCATATCTGTCAAAAGTGTCAATGTCAAACCCAACCCGACTGGACCAACCCCCATTCCACGGGACTTTTGACGTCTTATTACCGGTGTCGATCCTGCCCACGCCAAACCCACGCGGATCGGGAAACCAGACAATGGTGCGGTGCGGATGGTGTCTCCTTTTGCCGAACATGACAGAACCAGACTTTCTGACTCGCCAGGCAGGGGGGAAACTCTCCGAACCGGGCAAATCGGTGCAGCATGCGAGCGAATGTTGGCCCAATAAACAACCTGATCTACAGCGTGCAGCATCAGAAGGGACCTGGCGGGGTTGGAATCGGCTGCCCTTCTTTGCCGTGTATTCTGAGTGAGTTTCGGTAACTGCCGCTTCACGTGAAGACGGGCGCCCTTTCCGTGCAAACCCAGGCGATGAGATACTCGGTAGAAAAGAGTATGCACAGCACAAGATGAGCAGCAACGAATATTCATTCGCGAGATTGATGTCAAGGACACAGATTGTACACATGCATAGAGGACTGAGCATCTAATGCGAAGTCGCAATCACAAAATACTCATACGGAAGTCTGTGGCTTACGCGCCAAGTGACTAAGTTAGCGTCGTTCGTTGCCCGGTTGCGTGGTGGTGGACCATACAAGCCCGGGATTGACTTGCCCAAGGATGAACCCTAGTGACTGGGACTCCATGCTCGATCACCAGCCTCGGACAGCTGCTTGGTGCAGGGAGCAGATGCTGCATGTTTGCTTCTTTGCCCAGAACTCACCTATTCGCTGGTTCCAACCGTCAGAATCACAACCGCTGAATCCCAGGGCAATGCGACCTTAAGATGGCTGCGCAACCGCCTGCGACCGCTTGCAACTGCCCACACAACCCCTCCTGTGGCTGGGGAGGACAGCGTTGCCCTGCATTGTGCAACGTCTTGAAAACTCTGCTTGCTTTGTTTGAGAGAAATGTCCAGCATTTTCCCCGTGTTTGCGGAGTTAAGTCAAGCCGTGAGCCTGGAGTACATAATGGGCGACAGAGACAGAGGTTGAGGCCAACCCCCACGGGCAGCCAGCATATGCGATATGATGGAGTCGAAATCTGCTCAGGTTCATTCAGGAGACGCAGATGACCCGAACAGCGACCATGTCAATTCTTCAACCGAGGACGTTCGATCCATCTCCCAGCCGACGGTGTGGGCGACCATCAAGCAATCCTATAAGATCTTGGGCTACTGCGTTGCTCTGACTGCCGGCATCCTGCTGTACGGGTATGATATGGTCATTGTGAACAATGTGTCATCCATGCCACAGTTCCAGTAAGAGGTTTCTTGAACCCCGCGGTCTACCTCTTCAATACTCACATTCGCAAGGCGTGACTATGGTCGGGAATTGAAGGGACAACTGATCATTCCCTCTGTCTGGCTGAGCCTGTGGAGCGTGGCCGGCCCGATCGGGGGCTTATTCGGTGCGATTGTGAGCGGCTTTGTCCAGGACCGTATCGGTCGTCGCTTCTCGTTAGCCATCGCCAGCCTGCTTTCCGCCATAGCAGTCGCCGTGTTGTATGTCTCCAATCTTGCGACCGAGATCGACGACCGCAGGGTTATTTTCCTAGCGGGGAAATTGGTTCAGGGATTTGCCGTGTACATGATCGTATGCACGACTGAGACCTATATGTCAGAAGTTCTACCTACCTTATTACGAGGGCCGACTCTCGCCCTGTTTCCCATCTTCACACTCGTGGGCCAGTTGGTAGGCAGCGCGGTGGTCCGGAATGCCCTTTACACTCCCGGCGCGAGAGGTTATCTGAATTGCTTCCTTTCGCAATGGCCCTTCTCAGCTCTGTCCCTTTTAGTGTCCGTCATGGTCCCGGAGAGCCCTACGCATCTTGTTCGCCAGAGCCGACTGGACGAAGCGCTCAAAGCACAGAAACGACTGGATTCCGCCGAGGTGGACTCCATGGCCAAGATCCAGCAGCTGTGCGCATCCGCACAGCTCGGGGAGCAAGAATCCGCGGGATACCGCGAGTGTTTCGTGGGTGTCAACCGGCGGCGCACGATCATCGTCCTCTTCGTGAACATGATCCCGAATATGCTGGGACTCGTGCTGTTGGCCAAAGCTAGCTATTTCTTGCAGATCATTGGCATGGGAGCGAATACAAGCATCATAATGCTGCAAGTCAGCCTTGGGCTGGGGTTAGCAGCCAACATCTTCAGCTTCTGGTCGCTGTCTCGATTTGGCCGGGTGTCGCTCATCATTGCAAGCTTGGGGGTCATCGCACTGTTGTGGCTGGGTATGGGCATTGCCGGCTGTTTTCATGGAGAAGTCACTGTCTGGTTAGTTGTTCTCTCACTCCTCAAGTGTCAGGCTAAGGGGGCACGTCTGCTAATGACCGATAGGTACTCAGCTGTGACTTTCTGTCTGGTCGTCGTCTTCAACGGAGCTGGAGTGTGGCCGGCAACTTACGCCGTGGGCGCGGAGACATCCTCTCTACGGCTCCGCGCCAAGACGCAAGGACTAGGATGGCTCGTGAATTGTCTGGCAACTGGGATTGCCGGTCTGGTACTGCCCTATGCATTCAACTCGGACCAAGGCGCATTGGGCGCTAAAACAGGGTTCCTGTTCTCCGCCTCCAGTATCGTGGCACTGATGATAACATGGTTTCTCGTGCCGGAGATGAGAAACCGAACCCCAACTGAGATCGAATGTATGTTCGAAAACCATCTCCCGACGAAGGAGTTCAGAAAATGGTCACCCGAAATGGATGAGGTGACAGTCAGGTTGGGTGCCTAACTGACTGGTCGGAACATTGGGGATGGTCAGTCATCTCATATCGCGCAGTAGCGTCATGCTTCTCGCTCTGTGTGACGACTTTGATGGTGCTGGTGAACTCTGGCAATGATGTGTTTAAAGCAACGTCATCAAAAAGCGAATTCAGCCAACGAGATTCTTGTTGAATCACATCTCTTCCTTCACCATTATCTAAGCAAAACTTCACTTCCTGAGACAAACCCTTAAGAATGACCTTTCATCCCGAAATTGGTTAGAAGCAATGCATGACTAGTGGTGTTGCTTTGAGTTGTCAATGTGAAACAATCGTCCGTTTGACCACTGAGTGCTGGTTAGTTTGAATCTGACATAGGCACTAAGTATGCATGATAATCAAAATATAGCTAAAATTCGTCATGGTTTCTCAACTAGATACATGAATCATAGAAGAAATTCAACTAGCCTTGTGACTTGCACAGCAGCTGACTTCGGCTGGAGTATATACTGTTGTCCGACGGTCTTGGCTAGAATCTGGGAATATTTTTAGCGTCTGTGAGACGCTAGGCGCAGAATGACCCGGTTTTGTTAATTCGCTTTTCACGGTAGCTGCACTCGGTGCAAGCTGGGTTCGTCGGCCATGGCCTGACAGCTAAGTGGGTTTTTCGATAGGATGGTGCTCCTGAATTCCTTACAGCTGCGGAGTCGGTTCGAGAATGATTGTATGTCCACCTGAGAGATAGGCCACGAGACAGGCCTCAAAGGGCCTCTACGGCGCTCAGAGGGATGGCACGGTACTTGAACATGACAGGAAACAGGTTCAATCAATCCTGAGCTGCCGCTGCAGCTTGGAGGCCCTTCTTTTTGCCTTTCTTGTATACACGCTCGTCGTTGGGGTCAAAGCCACCGTTGCCCCACAAGGCCCACTCGAGCGTTTCACTCATGTAATCCTCGGGTTTGAAGGGGGTGCCGTCTGCCTTCTCCTTCTCCAAAAGTTCGAAGAACCGGTCGTAATCGATCCGCGAGTGCCACTTTCCGTTCACGTAGAAGCGCTCGGATGCGATTAGTGCACAGCAGCTGTGAGCATGCTCCGCAGCGAGACCATACTTGAGACCGCGACGCTCCAGCTCCTTGTTAAGGGAGGTTACAAACTCCTGGATTTCCTCGTAGAAAGGCACGTTCTGCATAGTCAGCCCAGCTCCTGCACTGGTGCTAGTACCGCAGTAAGTGACGCCCTTGATCTCGATGAAGCAAGGCAGTGCCTTCTCAACCAGGTTCGCATATCCAATGACCTCATCGTCCACATTGAATCCCTTCACCAGCGTAAGACGGAAGACAGTGCGCTGCATGTGACGCTTCTCGCGAAGAATGTCCAGACAACGCTGGAAACGCTCCCAGAAGTCGCGGTGAAGAGGGCGGTCGATCTTTCTCAGACTTTCCCGGTTGCTCGCGTCAATGGAAACGTACAACTGAGTCACTCGGTTGAGGGTCTCGAGCTGATCGGGGTGTTGAGCATTGCAGACAAGGAAGCTAGAGATGTGCTCACTGTGCAGCATGTCCAAAAACTGATTGATGTGAGGATAAAAGATCGGTTCGCCCACCAAGCTGAGAGCGCAGTGGCGGATGCGCATGGCCTCCGCGAATCGTTCAGCACGCACACCGGGGACACCACGCATCATCTTGATCTTTTTGTAATGACCCTCCTTGATACCATTGAAAATCAGGTCAGGAGAATCCACCTTCCAACGCCAAGTTGTGCCAACCGGGTTAGTGCCATGTCTCCAGCAGAAGATACATTTGTTGCTGCAGGAAAGGGACGGGGTAGCTTCCATGCAAAGGTGCGAGCGGATACCATAGAACGAGAATTTGTAACAGGAGCCACGGCCACGCAACGCGGACTTAGTCCAGCGACAGATCTTGACACCTGAGTGAGAACCCACGATAGTGTAGCCCTGTTTGGTAAGAGCTGCGTAGGTGGGCGATGTCTTCGGGACCATTTCCTTCTCAGTGGGTTGAATAGCGGACGCAGGCGAAGCGCCCGCGGTAGTGAAGTCAACGGGAATGGGGGTCCCCGATCCGCTATCAGCGCTGAACTTGATGTCTTCCAGGTCAACCACGTCTTGAGCCTTGTTACGTTTCCGGTTCTTCTTAGAACTGTCATCAGAGCCTTCTTCGTCCAGGTCCTCCTCGTCACTTTCGAGAGGGTCACCGCTGCCAGGAACACCTTCACCCAATCCACCATTCTCCAAGATGTCACCCAGGATATCTTGAAGACCATGAGACCATTCTTTCAGGGCAGCTTCCGGATCCCCCTTGACATCACCAAATCCAAGGGGATACGCCCGCTTCCGACCCGTAAGCTTCGCCATCCACCGATCGAGTTCCTTAGCCTGGTAGCAGTATCCCTCCTCCTCGGTCGGCCATCCTTCCTTGTCACCGAAACCAAAGACAGCGTAGCCAGCCAGAGACGAAAGCGGCGCAGTATCGATGCGGAAGTCATTGTGGGTTTCGTCAAGGTGGCCAAGGAAAGTGTTCAAAATAGTATCAATGTTGTACGAGGGGATCAGCAAGCAGTAAACGTAGCGCGTTCCGGGCGAGTTGGACGGAGGCTTGGGTGCAGCGGCGAAGTAATCATCGAAGTCGACGTAGGAGAGGTCTTGGATCTGAGGAGGAAGAATTGCCCGCTCACGGTTCTCCGGATCGGCTCGTAGTTGGGCGGCGGCGCGCAGGTCTTCAAGCAATACCTGCGCATATTTCTCAGTTGTAGCGGTCAACGAGGCGTAGAAGATGATGGGCTGGATGAAGGACAAAGGCTGTTGATTCTGGTCGGAACCGGTACGTCGGCCAGCGACCTTTGAGGGCTTCTTTCCGGACACTCTCTTAGGACCGGATGCAGACTTGGGCGCTTTCTCCCTCTCGGCGATAGTTTGGATGGCCGACTTCTCGACCTTGGTGATTTCTTTGTCGTATCCGATCGCGAGCTTTTCACTCTTCTCCGGAGAAAGGCTTCGAGGGGACGGTGGGATCGAGGAGGCAGTGGCCGTTCTAGACTTGGGCTGAAGTGTACGAAAGAAGCGAATGAAAGTAAACGCGGCGACGAGAGCGAGGAGCAGCGGCAGACGATAGGTATGCCAGAAGGCCAGCAGACCTGAACCAGGGCGAATAATCAGCACGAGGACGGTGCGCGAGCACGAGTGTAACGCTTACCTTCGTCTACAGCAAATTCTGCCATGATTGGAAGAACGAGATAGCCGAGCCCCTGGGTTCTGCTTCTCGCCTATTCTCCGTTTGCCTTTGAGGATCAAAGCAGACGGCCTTGCCTTGGTGACAAACGATGAAAAGAAAGAGCCGAGAAATGGCGGGTCGGATTAAGTGGGCGGAAACACTTTATTTTGGGAGGGGTTGATTGGGCCCAGAGATCCTCGTAGCATTACAATTACCACCACAACGCGGGGAGGGGGGAGTTTTGAAACAGTATAATCAAACTGTATTTCTCGAGTTTCGAAGCGAATACATATCGATACTATAAATCCCAAGAATGAAAATAAAGAAGGCCTACAAGGAAGATCCACGCAGTGTAAAGCGGCATCTCGGCGTTTCTCAAGGATTTTTTTTGGATAAGCGATGATTGGCTCCCGCATTTACCCTTCCTTATCGGGTAATCGTGGTGATTTGTCATCCATTTCCCTTGTCGGCGCTGATAACGTCTAGCTAAGAATAAATGGAGAGCAGTATGGCGACGATCTCGTTGGATCTGATGTGATGACACTGGCTTTCTTTTCTTCCAGAAAGTATATATGAGCTCTTGCTGCCTTTAGATTGTACAGAAAAGTCTGATTGCTGGTCTCGACGAGTCACCGATCGATTGGCTTCTTCAGGTCGACAATTTGCTGTGCTGAAAGATAAGCATGCAGGAACGCATTGCTTTTTCGTACTGAGTAACACCGCATCACCTCCTCATTCATGACCTCTTCCCTCAAAATCCTCACAGAATATCAAGTGGAAACAGAGAAAGCTGCTGTATAACTATCGTTCCAACCCCCTACCTTTGAACAATGGACACCAAGCTTGATCCTGAATCGGGAGTGCATCTATCAGATGCCGCACATCATACAGAGGCCCGATCTTTCTACGCACGCAACAAGAGTCGCTTGGCCCTCACTCTTATTGCTGCGTGCCTCCTGGCTGTCTTGAGCAACACTCGTATGATTGGTGCTCGTAAATGCAGTCTCCAACTCTCCATCGAGCAGCGAGTGGAGAGGATCTTGACGGAAACACCTCTCATAGGTAAGACTATTCTCAACAACTCGTTCGTGTCTGATACATAACTGACATGTGCTCGTAACAGACGGCCATGATGACCTTCCGATTTTCATCCGAGAAAGATTTCAGAATCACATCTACGACGACAACTTCAAAACTCCATTTACCGAAGGCGACTTGGTAGGCCATGTGGATCTACCCAGACTAGCCAAAGGCAGGGTCGGTGGCACTTTCTGGAGTGTCTTCGTCCAGTGTCCCGCCAACTGGACCGATTTCTCCGATGCGAACTACGCGATCAGTGAGTTGTCGCCCGATTTACTTCTACTTGCAGGTAAAGGTGACTAACTGCGTCTGTTAGGCGTCCGCCAGACAATTGAGCAGGTAGACGTTATGTTGCGCCTACAGCAGTCTTACCCCGATACTTTCTCCGCGCCTCCAAATGGCACGACTGCTCTCCAAGCTTTCCGGGACGGGAAGATCATCTCCCCACTTGGGATGGAAGGGCTACACTCGATCGGTAACTCATTGGCCCAATTGCGAGACTTGCATGCGCGTGGTGTTTCGTATGCCACACTCACCCATAACTGCCACAACCGGTATGCCGATGCGGCCCTCGTTGAGATCCCAGGTGGAATCAAGAAAGCGGACCCTTTCTGGCACGGAGTTAGCGAAGCGGGTAAAACGCTCGTCCACGAGATGAACCGACTCGGCATGATTGTCGACTTGTCCCACGTGAGCACAGACACGATGCGCGATATCCTAGGGGCTGGAAAAGATGACTGGGCCGGCAGCCGCGCGCCAGTCATCTTCAGTCACAGCTCTGCATATGCCGTCTGTCCTCACCCACGCAATGTCCCTGACGATATTTTGGAGCTGGTCAGAGTGCGCAGGTCGCTGGTTATGGTCAACTTCTCTCCGGATTTTGTTTCGTGCACAGCCTCGGAAGATCCCAACGGGCTCCCCCATTTCGAGCCCGAGACTGCCACCCTGGCGCACGTTGTGGATCACATTGTGCATATCGGCGAACTGATTGGCTTCGATCATGTTGGCCTAGGAAGCGACTTTGACGGTATACCCACCGTTCCCCGGGGTCTTGAGGATGTGTCCAAGTACCCGGGTTTGATCGCGGAGTTGTTGAAGCGAGGTGTAAGTGATGAGGATGCAGGAAAGGTAGCTGGAGGCAATTTGTTGCGGGTGTGGAAGGAAGTCGATGACGTTGCTCTCCAATTGCAGGCCGGGGGAGCACTTCCAGCTGAGGATGACTTGTCTCATACCTGAAGCCAATTTGTCAAATTACTCGACGCGTATGTCTCGCCTCCCATTGGACCGGGAACCATGCCATACCGGACAAATTTGGTAGCATTCGACCTCCACCTGCTCAATCACAGCTTAAGTAGACGCAGCTTTCATGACGTACCAGCAAGGCTTGTTTGATTCTGAAACGCTCATCTGGAACTGTGACAGTTCCTTTCGGCTTGAGGTGGAAGCACACCTGCCGACCTACCATAGACCACACATTCACATTTGTGATCCCATTTTCGCTCGAAAGTCGCCAATGAATTCCTTGCTCAAACAACAGTCGAAGATCATAAGTTCGGATTGGTCAGGCCATGGTTTGTATGTATGCGTATACGTAAACCGATCAGTGGCCGACTGACCACTGTGCTTCAAATTCAGGCAGGCTGGTGGAGGCATTGATGCTAAGCACAACACACCTAGCATCGCCTAGATTCTTGCTCACACTGTACAACTTCCAAGTTGGAAGGACGCGCGTCTTCCAGCATTGCGGGGTCGACAGTAGTCATGAACTGGGATATCTAGGACTACAATCCGAAGGGAGATTGGCAGGTCCTACATGAACATCGGACGATCAAGACGAGCTTGGTGTATACATTTGTCCCACCTTCAAGCGGAATCGCGATTGAAGGCAGGCGGGCATGGAGCCTTCCTACTGGTGATCGAGAAAAGCGGCAGAAGAGACCGACCAGCCACACCCACCTGGGATGTAGATCTCACAATGTCAATGACGCGCTAGTTCTTGCGCACGTCAAAAGAGTCTGATGGGATATCGCCACTTATTGACATACGTCTGTCTTCCGGTGGCACGCACATGCTTTCCTACATGATTCAGCTCCATGAGTTTCTATTTTGAGCCGGTCTTATCGACAATTTTCAAAAGCTTGTCGGGCGCCATCGACATCATCATTCTAGAGGGATTCTTGCAAAGATAAGCATCGGTAGTCTTATCAGATTCATCATCTGGGTTTTGGTGCTGTTGTCCGCTCAGAATACTCGATTTCTGTGTCAGCAAATTAGGCTGTTGACTTGAACGGCCGTTCCTCAATTGCTCGCGAGGGTGTTCCTGGAGGGCAACACAGATCTGCATGCTACTCGGTAGGAGATCCAGCACGATGATGTCATGAGACGCGCAAAGAAAGGTACGCTTATGAAACAGACCTCTCATCTATGCTTTGTGCCCACTCAGAGGATGATGGATGATTCATGGCGCAAAGGGTCGGAGATCAGGTGCCGGCCCAGCTCCCATCCCCAAACACACAAGAGCCTATTCTCCTCACCCGATTCATAGCAGCATACAATGTTTCATGAATCCAATCAACTTATCCTTCTGTTGATCAGCTCTTCCAGCAAAGCAAGGGATACCGCTCTATTCGGGCGATGATGTGCAACAACCACTGGAGATAGCAGCATTCTTCATCTTCCATACCAGAGGTATTCCACAAGAGGCAAGATAGACACCTGAAACCTCGGCCCCTTCGTCGCATTGCGCAAGCGCTACACCTCCCTTGCAATCTGGAGGATCCCCAAAATCAGGAATCATGTCGTCTGAGGTCCGAACGTTTGGCTATGAAGCTTCCCTTCGGGGCGGCTTCTTCCAATTTTGGTAACGGGCACATTCCAGCCCTGTGGAGTAGGTTGTTCTGCGTGTTCGGTGCGGAGAATTTTGGATGCAGAATGTCGTCGGCGGTGTTTTTTTCTGTCCTTTCCTCTGGGAAGCAAGCTTTTGACAAGAGCTTCGGATGCTCGTGCTATTTAATTCTCCGCACCGCTGTTTTCTTTGTGGGAGTTTCATGATGTACTGTACATCGGACAGGGATTCCGTGATAGTTTGTGCTGTGTTTCACCAAAATGGATTCAATGCAGGAGAAGCAGATCAAGCATCTAGGTGGCGGATCGGATGATGCACAACATGAAGATACTGATCGCCAAAGCCAAGAGTCGACAGTGAAGCAGGATATGACCGTTGAGCATGGACAGCCAGCTCCCGATGGCGGATATGGGTGGGTGGTCGTGGCTTGCGTGTTCTGGCTGCAAGTCAATACGTGGGGTATCAATGGGGTGAGTCCATGGATCATCATGTCATGAGTCTTCTATGCTGCAGTCAGGAGATTAACCCACGTTCAGAGCTATGGGATATTTCTGTCCCACTACATGACCAACGATGTTTTTCCCGGGACCAGTTCCTTCGCCTACTCCATGGTGGGCGGCTTATCAATTGGCTGCGCATACCTGATGGCCCCATTCACCGTCTACTTGATCCGAACGCACGGCACTCATGCCACCCTGATTGGGGGAATCATCGTCCAGAGCGGAGGCTTGATTGCAGCCTCTTTCGCCACGAGAATTTGGCAGCTTTTCCTGGCGCAGGGAGTCTGTTTCGGAACCGGCATGGGCGTCATCTATATGACGTACCTGGGCATCCCGGCACAGTGGTTTGAGCGCAAACGCAGCATCGCAAACGCGATCCCCGCCGCCGGAGCCGGGACCGGCGGGATCATCTACTCGCTGGCGATCCAGTCGATGATCGAGAACATCGGGCTGGGGTGGACGTACCGCACGCTGGCGCTGGTGTCGCTGACGGCGAACCTAGTGAGTGCGGCGTTCCTGCGCGACCGCCACAAGGCGACGGCGAGCCGGCACACGGCGTTCCAGTTCCCCTTGCTCCGGCGGGCGGAGTTCGTGCTGCTGCTGGGGTGGGCGATCTTCAGCACGCTCGGGTTCGTCGCGGTCAACTTTAGCCTGCCGAACTTCGCCGTCTCGATCGGGCTGTCGTCGCACCAGAGCAGTGTGGTCGGCGCGCTGCATAACCTGGGCCAGGGGGTCGGGCGGCCGCTGATTGGGCTGCTGAGCGATCGCTGGGGCCGGCTGAACGTCGCGTCGGTGCTGTCATTGGTCTGCGCGGGTTTCTGCTTCGCGATCTGGATTCCCGCCCAGGATATGGCGGTCGTCTCTGTCTTCGCAACGATCGGGGGCATGGTGTCGGGTACCTTTTTCGCCACGGTGGCCCCCGTGATCGTCGAGGTGATTGGGCTGCAAGACCTGCCGGGCGCGCTGAGCATCCTCTGGCTCGTTCTGATCTCGCCCGGGGCGTTTGGCGAGGCGATCGCGCAGGCACTGCGGCGGCCGGCATGGGGCACGGCGGCCTACCAGCCGGTGCAGGTCTTCTCGGGGATCCTCTACATCGCGGCGGCGCTGTGCTTGTGGTTTGTGCGAGGGTGGAAGGTCCAACAAAAGCTGCGGGAGGAAAGTGAACAGGCGAGTCGACACAAGGATCTCACCGATGTGGTGGTATGTGCCAAAGAGGGAGAGGGAGAAGAAGTGGTGAGGAAGTCGGTGTGGAGGGATCCCGTTGGGCTGGGAAGGGAAATGGTGCGTTGGTATCGTGTGTGAGGTGAGGAAAGGGAACCGAAAATCCAAAAATGATAAAAAAGAAAACCAGGACAAAGGAAACGAAAGCACGGGAGAAACGGAAACAAATTAGGGCACAAAGCCTTGTTTCTGTTATTGTTGTTGTTGTGGTTGATGATGGTGGTGGTGGTGTTGGACCAAAAGATTGGGCATACCTGAGTGGAATTACAGACAACCCCATTTCGATAGATCAATTGAAAGGGGAAGGGAGGAATGGACATGGAATATAACATAGGTCAATAACCTAGCAATCTTATTTTATTTTATTTTTTCTGCATTTACTTTTTCTTTTTCCTCTTCTTTTCTTTTCTGTCACTGTCACTTGTCACACCTTAATTTAATTTTTCGAATCTTATTTTCTGAATTTTAAGACTGGTGCATTGGATGAAGTGAGATCCATCAGATCGGCCTAAAATTAGCTGAATCCTTTGTGATGGGAAAAAGGGAAGGGAGAATCTTTCTTGACCGCCAGATTGTGAAAAGCAACAACTGGTGGTTTCTTACTTTTTTGTGATGCACACCGAAAGAATCGAGACGAAGAGGAGGTGAGAAGGAAAAGTTTATCAACACTGACAATGCCAGGTCTATTTCTTGTAGTTTATGAATCTGTTTCTTTTTTACTTTTACTTTCTACATCTACATTTACTTTTTACATTAGAGTCTTAAAACTTATTTAATGTCTTTATCTTGCACCGGGTTTTGAAGTATAGCTAAAGTCATCAACAACAACAACAACAATACCCGCAAACTACTATACCACCACAAAATGCTCCCCGCGCAACAACAACTGCCAATCCCATACATTGTGCCTCCCCATCTGGAGGAATACAACATCCCGCTGTCCGCTTTCGCGGCCGCCCGTCCTCAGTTCCACAACATCGTCGGCGGTGCGTTCATCTTCTCGACCACCGTGCCGGACGCCGTGACTTCGATCACCACATCTGCTTCTGTTCCGACAACTACAAAGGGAACAGCACAGGGAACGACAGCGCACATATTCCCATTAGCGTCTACACCTCCACCTGTACCTGTCTCTGCATCGTCATCCCCATCCCCATCCTTATCGCCCTCATCGCCCTCATCGCCCTCATCGCCCACCCCAACAGCAGCAGCACAATCCCCACAAACCCCAACCTCCTCCGCAACCTCCACCCCCGCAACAACCCCAGGCACGATCCCAGACGACCACCCCCACAGTCTCGCACCCGATGATGATCTTCGGATGCCCGAACCCAAAACCCTCCTCCTCCAACGCAGCATCACAGACTCCTACCCGTGCCACTGGGAGAACCCCGGCGGCCTGATCGACCCCGTCCGCGACGCCACCGTGCTGGCGGGCGTGGCGCGCGAGGTCCGCGAGGAGACGGGGTTCCACGTCTCCCGGTTCGTGGATCTCGTGTGCGTCGACGAGTGGACCAAGATGAAGCGCGGGGTGCTGCTGCAGGAGACCAAGGTGACGTTTCTAGTGGAGGTGAGGGAGGCGGCGGCGGTGGGCTGGGAGGAGAGGGTCAAATTGGCCGAGGGGGAGCATCAGGCTTTTGTGTGGGTGGGCGAGGAGGAGGTGCGTGGGATGGTGAGGGATAAGGGCAAGAAGCGGAAAGCCAGTGGCAGGTTGGGAGTGGGGTTTATTAATGAGCAAGGGGGGAATTTGCTGAGGGGGTTTGAGGTGGTGAGGGGGTCGAGAGGGTGTTGAGTTTCTGGATATTGGGGTTGTGGTGATGGAGTTGGAGTTTGATGGGAGGGAGGTTTGGTGGGTTTTGTATGGTAGATTGAAAGGGACTATTTGCGGCTGCGTTTTCGTTTTCGTTTTCGTTTTAGAATGGTTCGTGTATGGTATAACATGTGCATTGTAGGTATTGTGGATGAGGTTATGGTACAGGTTTATCATCATGGAATCGTCAGAGATCTTATAACTTGCTTTCTGGCACAGAGTTCGGGTGTTCTTGGGGTAGTAAGCATCCTGAGAAGAATTGGCCGATCTGGCGATAATCGTCGAGACTGAGCACTGTCGATACATCTAGATCTGTGTCAATGCCAGATCTCATTGATTGAATAGGTAGGGAACTCACATTGATCAGGGCGGACGATGATAATTACTCCTCTCTCGGGGTTTATCCCCAGATGCTCATAAACATGTCCATGGCCCTTGTTGTAGCTCTCGTCGTCGAAGAAGATTTTATGAATGTCTTCCCTGTTGTTAGCAAGCATATACTAAAGGAGCCAGAAGACTCACCTCTTGTCTGGTTCTTGCCGGTAACAGGGTAAAAGCATGAAGGAATCTCTTCCAGTTCAACACTGTGTCGCCGGCCATATCCAACCAATATCGGTTCAATCAAGCTGTCTGCGTCGCCTCCCTCCAGACGGAAAGTCCGCAAAGGACTGTCGCTCGAGCTAAGATAGCTTCCTAGCTGTATGGGGATCAATTTCATGCTCGATCCGGTAAACAGGCACGTCACTTACAGCATCCAATCTAGTTTTGTTCTGGGCAATACTGAGATCACCAACAAAGGCGATGACCCTCCACCTGCCGTCAGACTTCAAAGTCGTGGCTAGTTGCAAGGGTTTAGAATCGCAGAAGCGCACCACCTGTGCGCTAGGCAGCCTCATCCCCACGACGACATTCGTCGAAAGCTCTTTCGACACACCCGTGTCGGAGGTGATAGGCGATTCGTCATACTTGGCCGTAAGGCCAGCAGTATACTTCCCAGACTTGATGAACCCCTCCTGGAACTCCTGGGGCGATGCGTCCCCCTTGGATGAAAAGAGCTTCGCAAAGTATCGATCGAAGTTGATCAGATCAATAGCCACCTTCTGCCGCTCCAGCACGTACGTCTCCAGCAGAGACGGAGGGGCCAGCCCCTTCAGGATCGACGCCAACTTCCAGCCCATATTGTACCCATCCTGGAGACTGACATTCATGCCCTGCCCGGCTTTGGGGGAGTGGGTATGGCAGGCGTCTCCCGCAAGGAAGACGCGGTAGTCCTTGTGGAAGCAGTCCGCATGACGCTGGCCGATCGCATAAGCCGACCACCACACCGTCTCCACGAACTCGATCCGATACTGACTCAGGATCTTCTTCGCTGCCTGCTGCAGATCCTCCAGCTTAACATCCTTGGCCTTGGTCCCCGCAGGAAGCTCGATGTAGAACCGCGTCAGGTTGTCGCTGTCCCCTTCTCTAGGGATGATCAGCAGGTTACCTGCTTTCGAGCGAATCGTCGACTTCTTCCGGATATCCGGATAATCCGTGCGGGGGACCATATCCATCACGCCCCAGACGGCGTCCGTACTATCCCCGACCATATTGTACCCGAGTACCTTCCGCACGGTACTATGCGCTCCATCGCATGCCTGGTTCATTCCCAATCAGCCACTCCCAACCACCTCAACAATGTAACAACACGTTAACAAACATACCATAACATACTTGGCCTCAAACCTCTCCACCGTCCCCGCCTTCTCCGCCGTCACCGTCACCGGATACGCCTCGGGATCCGCCACCTTGGTCCGATCCACCTCGACCCCCTGCACGGTATACCCATAATCGATCTCCTGTCCATTGAACCGCCGCATCGCCTCGATCAACAGCATGTTGATCCGCGCCTGGTTCAAGATGACGTGCGGCTGATGCGACAGGCCCGGCTGCGTGTCCGCCGTCCTGCCCGTGCGCCGAATCGCCCCGGACCCATCCTCGTCCGCCCAGAACACCACCTCCAGCACGTGGTACGATTCGCGCAGCAGCTCGTCGCCGATCCCAAAGCTCTCGAAGATCTCGACCGTCCGGCACTGCACTCCGTCCGCCTGACCCATCGTCATCGGGCCCGAGCGCCGCTCCAGCACCTTGCACCGCAGGCCGTAGCGCGCCAGCCAGGTCGCCGCGCAGAGGCCGGCCGAGCCGCTGCCGCAGATGAGGACGTCGACTTGTTGGGTCATCGTTTTTGCTGTGATTGGGAATGAGAATGAGTCAGAGTATTAGTGTGGTGAGCGGAGGAAGGAATTCTCGGTTGGAGCTCATTGTTCCTGTTGATATATGCCTCGTGGCCGGAATGCGTCCCGATGAGAGTATAGAGTGCTTGACAGTGCTGTACCCCGGAATCCATTCCGGGGCTCGGTTGAGAAGCCGGGGCCCTCGGTCGCGCTGTGCTCCAATCAGGTGGAGCCCGCTGTCGGCCTCCGCAATTTTGCGGGCGCTGGACTCTTTTCGATAAACTGCAGCAAGATGAAGGAGTAAAAGTGACAATGCTACGGTCTGTGCACTCATAGGAATGACACACCAGGTCATCGTCCAAGTCATGGTCTAGGAAGGAGTCTGTATAGTCGCCAAAGATAATCCAATTCATCCCATCTCAGAGTATCCTAGAAACAAAAATCTTTAGAGAATTGGTAATAATGACTTCATTAAGGTCCCTCGGTCGTTATGTATGCAGTCCATCACTTTGCCCATACCCAACTTGAGCGTGAGCACCATCCTGTAATTCACTCCCAACGCCAGCGCCGGTGCGGTTAAACCCTGGAGATATCCACGGAGATCAAGCAAGCCCCATAAAAACAAATAGCAACGTCATAATTTTACAGAAAGTATTCGCTGCGGCCCGGCCGCGATGTCGGAACATGTCGTTGATCGTCGCTCACTGCACTGAAGAGCTTGAACGTCGGCTTGAGGTCGTCGTTGATCTCGCAAACCGAGGCGAGGTTCCCGCAGCGGTAGCAGTAGTTGGGCGCACTCCATACCGTAACCACGTTCTGGTTGGTGAAGTGGTACTTGTAGCCCTCGTTCACCAACTGATGCGCTCGCGCGATTAGGGTCAGGTCGTTGACGTGGCAGAATTCGTCGGCAACTTTGTCGCCGAAGAGCCAGCCTAGATCAACGGTCAGCACGGGGTTTGGGTAGGATTTAGAGGGTGCTTGCTTACCGGCTCCTCGTGGACTGACAGCCCAAGTTTCAACATCATCCGGGTCCGACCAGACCAGATCACAGAAGGCACCCTCGTGGGGGATCTCTTGCGCTCGGGCGACAACACGGACTTGATCAAGCGTTCGAATTTCCGGGCTCAGTCCTCCGTGTACACACAGCACCCTGCCGTCAATGATGGCGCCTAGCGTCATGAAGTCGAAGACTTGGCAGCAAGCCTTCCACACAGAGGCGTTGCCATACTTCTGGAAGCACTCCTCGTAGAAGCCGTATACCTGGGTGATCTGGCGGGATTCGTGATTACCACGCACCAACGTAACTCGGTCAGGGTATCTAGACAAGGTAAAAGCCGTTAGGATCCGAAGGTTGTCGATACAGACAGACACATGACACTCACTTAGCCTTGAGGCAGAGTAGGAGCGTCAGGGTCTCCAAGCTGAAATAACCCCGGTCGACGTAGTCGCCGAGGAAAACGAAATTGCGGTTCAGAGTTACTTCATTCGAGCCTGCGCTCGAAGAACGACCCCGTTGACTGCTGACCGAGGCTGTATCGTCGCCGCCTTCCCCGCCTCCTGAATTTCTGAGCTTCTTCCGTAGTTTAGGATCACTGATGGTGGACGGGGGCTCAATATCGTCGGACGTGATGACTGAGGGAAATGTCTTGGGCGGTTCGACTTCCGATTCATTAGGCATTCCGCCGGAGACCCTGAATAGTTCAAGCAGATCGTAGAATTGCCCGTGAATATCTCCACAGATTGTGACCGGGGTTGATACGGGCTGGATGTTCGATTCTAAAGACAGACGGTTGCGTCAATCTCTGCCTCCAGAAACGTAGCCGATCTCGGACGGGGCCTACCTTCCATCATGAACTCCTTCACGATCTCGCAAAGTTGTTTCATGTGGGCCTCGGAAAGGTACTTGCAGTCCTTTGCCGCCTCAAGCCACTCGTCGGGGCCTGCATTGCGCTTCAACTTGGCCGGTCCCGGCTGAGGGACCTTACTGTCAACCATGATGCTGCTAACGCCACGCTGCGGGTTAGAGGGTCGCGATAGAGATAGGTTACTAGGTGGGAGGGGTAAGGACGAAAGGATAAACGAGGGGCAGCTTGTGAAGGTATAATGAGCGAACAACGAGGAGGTCTAAAGGAAAGTGGCTCGCATACACCGGGACACACCAAGTATGCTGAGCTGGATGCGCATTAGCGGGTTCTTCCCCGCAGGGTGAATAAGATGTGATTGATGTTGGGCATGGCCGCCGGTCACGTGCACTCGCTGTCCGGATCTCGCCATCCGATGGTTATCAGCTTAACATTTCCACACGACAACAACACTGCTTATATCTGGAGCTGGTACCCAAGGGTGTGGTATCTCGAGACTCCACATCCCTCAACATATCACCAGCGTACGAATTGTGTCCTCAATCAATACTCCTTGTCCCACAACAAGAACTACTCTCCCGGTCGCACTCTTGGTCAGGGCGGGGGTCGCTCAGACCGAAAGAGTCTGTATATCCACCATGACGCAGACCCCGAACGGCAAATCTGCAGGAGGCGTCCTGCAAATACCAGTGGCTGCGACTCAAAAGAATGCTTCTGCGACAAGTAAAAAAGCTCCCAAGCCTCCGGCGCCGCGACTAAAGCTCCTCATCAGACGGCTTCCGCCAGGGTTGACCAAAGCCGAATTCGAGACAGCTCTCGGCCCCGAATGGAAGACCGGAGCTGGAAAGGTCGATTGGTTTCTCTACAAGCCGGGCAAGGTGTCCAAAGAGTAAGGTTTCTTTTTCTGTGGGCTCGTTCTTTGGCTAACTTGACTGTTGCAAACAGTCCAGCCAAACCTTCTCGGCCCTCGCGAGCCTACGTCCACGTCGTTTCGAACGATTACACTCTGCCGCTTTCCACTCAGGTTCGCCAGACGTCCTTTCAAGATGCGCGCAACACTTTCAATGACCCTGTGCTCTTGGGACCACCCTCGTTGGAGTTTGCGCCATTCGCCAAGATCCCCGGGAGTCGTTCGCGCAAGGATGCTCGCCAGGGAACTATTGATCAGGATCCCGATTTCATCGCCTTCCTCGAGAGTCTTACCCAGCCCATAACGAAGCCAGCTGCGATTGACTCGGCCGCCGATGCGGAGGACAAGAAAGACTCGGTGACAATCACGCCCTTGGTTCAATACATCAAAGATAAGAAGGCCAACAAAGCTAAGGAGTCCAGCAAGTCTTCCCGCCACAAGTCAGACAAGGACTCGAAGTCGGAGAAGGTCCAGGCAAAGAAGCTGCTTCAACGGCCAGATAAAGACTCTACTCAGCCGGCCGCTGCAGAGAAGTCGGATAGGAAGAGCAGGTCGGATAGAGCTACCAAGGAAGCTGTGAAGGTGGCGAACAAGCAAGCCGCTAGTGTCGCATCCAAGCAGGCCGCAAAGTCGTCCGCTTCCAAGGACTCTCCCAAAGACGCACCCCAGCCATCGACGGAACGGAAAAGGGAACGTGGTAATATCTCTGCTGCTGCCAAGATTCTCCAGCGCGATCTTGGATTGGCTCCATCCGGCGGTCGTCGACGCGGCGGGAAGGGTGCCTCTGTGGATTCCGACGCCTCGAAGAACGAACAAGTCAACGCCGCAACCCCCGAACCGCCAAAGAAGGAGGTCTCCAGCAGGTCGTCGAAGGGTGCCAATTCCTCGCAGAACTCCAGGGGTCGAGATCGTAGCCACACTCAACAACCATCTAGCGAGCCATTGGAAGCGGGCACCCCTCCCGCCAGCACAACACCGAAACCTCCCAAGCCCGCCAAAGGAAAACAAGCACCGGCCGGCCTAGCAGTCACCGCCACCCAAGCCTTCCTAAAGCACGCCAACCCGTCCCAAGGTGTCACTGAGCCGTTGTTGGAAACTGCCTTCGCTCCTTTCGGTAAAGTCCTGAAGGTGGAAATCGACAAGAAAAAGGGCTTCGGCTATGTCGATTTTGCTGAGCCAGACGGACTTCAGAAAGCCATTGCTGCAAGCCCTGTCACAGTCGCTCAGAGTCAGGTAGTTGTGTTGGAGAGAAAGGCCAACCCCGGAGGTGAGAAGGGTCGCGGAAAAGGTCGTGGAGGTGAATCGCAGCCATCCACTGCGGGAGGCAACGCCAACAACAATCGGGGCGACAAGTCCACCGAGGGCAAATCCGGAGGAAACTCATCCCGAGGACCGCGTGGTGGTCGAGGCTCTAAAGGCAAAGGCGGCTCGAAGGCTAACAGCGGCGGCAATGCGAATGCGAATACCAACGCCGGCGAGAACAAGGGAAATGCGGACGGCAAGTAAGAGGCTAGGGGTGTGCTGTACTCAATTGCAAAGATCATCTAGAGCGATAGCGTCTCGATGTTGGGTAACGCGCATGAGTCTCCCAGATCACGCATGCAGCGAAATCACGCATGGACGACTCACTTTCTGGGCGGGATATTCAACCTGTTCACATGCACAGAGCATCTGGCGCCAGGCATCTATCATCCCTGATCCGTTAGGCTGGGATACCGGAGCCCCCTCTGCTTGCACACACACACACACACGGCATAGTCTTTGCCGGCCTTGGGACGTGAGAAGTTGCTGTTTACAGCCATGATATCCGCCTACCAGAAGCTATCTACTCGGTAAGCTGCAGTGGTTACAATGAACACAGCCTCTCCTGGCTAAGCTTGTTCTATACGAGCAATCTACTTTGGTTCAGGGAGCAACGATCCGATGTAACATCAACATACTGCAGTGTTCTTATTAGCTACATATCTATGAATAATGAAAGAAAATATCGAGTATGCAGACGCAAGGTACACGCAACTTTCACATTCTTCCATAGTAAGTAAGCATCAAGAGCGTATGAGCGGGTGTTGTCTTCGTGTGGCTCAAGACAGGAAACCTCGCGGTTATAAACGTAGAGGTTCGGGATCTTAAGACAATAATAATTCTATGATGATGGCTACGATTGCGACCGAATTAGAAGATGGTCACGACGCTACAAGTAGAAAGAAGCAAATTTAATCACAAATAGTAATTTGATTCAAATTCATAATACGAGAAAAGTTTGAGCAAAAAAACCTCTCAGGAAACACCAACATCAAAGTGTAAGAGGGGTAAAACACCTTTCAGACCTCCTCGACGCCCACCAAGTCAGACCGACCGAAGTCAAGACGTCACGACAAGGTAAAGATCATCACCACTCCCTGGACCACAGCAAGACCAATCGCCCGAAACAAGCCCGTCCGAGGACAGGTCGTAACAGAGCGCGGCAACAAGCAGAGTCGAGTCGGAAGTAAAACGGCTTCACTTTAGGGCATCGAGGACATAGAAGTCATCAGCAAGGGTGAGGATTCTGTGGCTCTTTAGAAGAGCTCAGAGGTGGGACGTCTACTCTAAAGTGATTCTTTGAACTGTTGCAGAGAGGATGGTTAGTGAGACGGTTCTTCATGATCGTGATGGTTGCTTGAGAATTCGGAAAGGAATTCTCAAGGTATGGGGGGGATCACTCACGTAGAGTCGCTTGATTTTCAAAATAGCTGGGGGTCTGGGAGGCTTTTATATTGCGGTTGTCGGGGGTGCGGCCGCGCTAGCCACAAGCGAGGTCAGGTGGGTTTGCTGTGTTTGCTGGGAGAAACTTTTTATTGGGCCAATGGGGGACCAGGAAATTTGCGTGTTCCCGCTGCTTCTGGCTTTGATCTCGCTTGTGTACCTGAATTTCCTCGCCGGTGAGTCGTGGATTTCTTTTTCATTAGGTAATGGGATATGGCTGGCCCCGTCTGTGGTTGTTGCCTGGCTATCTAAGGCATATCCTGTCGCCTGAGGCAGTGAGGCTGGAAGGCACTCTACTTACTAGTGAGTTACTGTACAGTACACTGCAGTACTTTGGACGATGGTCTGCCCACTCACTTTGGCGCAAGTCCTCAGCCCTGCAATGAGATGGATCTACATTTGAAGTTCTATGTCACACCTGGAAGTCTTCCTAAGTGGCCTTAAGTCTCCCTAGCCTCGGTACAGATGAGCACTGTTGTTAGCGCAAGGCCACTCTTGATCTGTCGCCCGCTTGGTGTTTCGAAAGCTGCCAGTGAGGTTCTAGGAAATGGGCACGGATTGCCCTGCTGTCTCCTGAGAGATTGAGGCCGGCTCTTAGAGTCGGCTATGGACCTTTTTGGCCATGATTTATGTTTCAGGTACTGGATCACGACGGAGCACCTCGGTCATTGGACCCTGTGCGCACGGTTGGGGGCTCGGCCACTTCGGCACCTGATGTGTCGATTTATACCAGCAACCCAGCACAATGTCATCAATATCCGACACGGACTGATGATCTCTGGTTTCGTGTGCCGGTCGGAGTGGTGCAGATTGCATCAGGGCTGAAGGTCGGCCTGGCTGAATCTCGGCCTATGTCAGAGGATTTCCTAACTTTCAGTGATCTCCCATCGAATCGTCGCAGAACCCTGAGAGAAAATCAAAAGAACCAACTGTGCCTCGGTTCATGCAAAGTATGATCTCATTTGAAACGATCTCGCCCAGCGGTCAAATCAACCGTCCAGACATAGCAGGTTCGCTGGAATATTCCCGTCATCTTCAAGTTTCGGTCGAAACGTCGATCAGCCGCTTCCTCCTCGCCAGTTTCACCGCATGGCGTAGAAGAACGGGCCCGGGCTACCCCTGGTGGCTGTTTGTTCCGATCAGGGTCGACCCATTTTTGGGGTTTTGTGGAGCAGACTTCGGACTGATCCGCGATGCTTGGACTTACACCAGCCATCATGCTTGGTAGTGCTGAGAGATTGCAGGTTGAAACAAACCCTCAAACAACAAGAAAAATTCAATCCGGCTTCGGATCCCATGCAGATGTGTGTAGCATGATGGAGGACACTCTACCTTGTATGACCTCGGGGTAGGCTTATGGCCGTGGAAGACATATAAGAACCCTCTCTGCTGACCTTCAGGACATCATCGACAAGCATCAAATCCAATTCAATCGTCCCAATAGTCTCTAGCAAACCAATTCTTCTACAAGTCTTTTTCGACCTCCACCTGCCAAAATGAAGCTCATCAGTGCCTCGTCCGTCGTGGTGGCTGCCACCGTCATCTCGGCCGCCAACGCCGCTGCTTTTCCCTCTCTGCCCAGCATTCCGGAAAGCTGCTTGGAGATCCCCAAGGTCCTGGGCAACAAGCCTCTGCAGCTCCTGCAGTACTTCCACAAGGAAGTGTGTGAGCAGAACTGCACCGCCACCATCAACCAGCACAACGCCTACGTCCAAAACCAAGTTCTCCCGCAGCTCATCCAGGACCTGGACCAGAAGCTGGGTATCTCTGCCACTGAGCAAGCGCAATTCAAGCAGCTCCACACCCAGGCCGTTGCCGCCGTCGAGAAGAGTTGCTCTGCCAAGGGCAACAAGCCCCTCTGCAACGATATTCAAGGGCTGGTTGATTATGGATTCTGCGCCTTCCAGGCCACTGAGCCTATCTTCAAGAGCCACCTCAGTCAGTTGCAGTCGGGCTCCCTCAACATCACCGAGGCCAAATGCGACAAGATTAAAGAGCTGGACTCGGACGCGACCGTCTGGCAGAAGACCCTTCCGAGCTACATTGACAAGTTCGCTCAGGAGTGCGCGAATGAGAAATAGAGGAAGTGTGAGGATTTTTTAAATCAGGCAAGATGGCCTAGATGGCTCGAGCCGATGTCGAAGCACCATCCACACCGACTGAAAGCAGCGTTGCTGCGTCGCAGGACGAGGAAGGACCGTTGCAGTCTTGTTTGTTATTTGATTGACTCTGCGCTTCGATTTGAGATCTCGCAAATTGTCACTCTCTTGAGAATATATCTGGTATATGAGATTTAGTTACTTATGAATTCATCTGTTGACCAGTTTGAATCGTTCGATGTTGGGACTGAATTTTTTTCAATCAAGTAGGAGGTAGTGTACGTACTGTCAAGCAAAGACAGCATGCTTATCGGGCTTATCGCAGTGTGGGGTCAGCCATTGCCGTTAACCCGAACTCCTGACCACTCAACTAGCGGTGGGTGGAGATGGGCTCCTTGGTCTAGATAGACACTCAAACACACTTCCTGGGGAAGTGTCAACTATCGCTCACGACAATCCCAGAACCACATGCCACACCATCACGGTGAGATGTATGGCGGTGTCTCTCTGCATTCACTTACTCAGGTCAAGCCTAAGCCAGATGTCAGAGCAGGTTCCTCTGAAACAGCAGCTTCGAACGAGTCTCTGAACACACCTCATTCCTCCTTGTCACATGTGATGCCGCGACCGAAGGTAAACCCTGAGGATCGACTGCGGGCCTATGAGGCTTGTCGAGTATGTCGGGCTACTAAGAAACGATGCAGTGGCACATTTCCATGTGCAAAGTGCATCCGGCTTGGTCGCGCCGATACCTGTGTTCCGGCTCCTCGTGGTAGTGCTCGGCGGCCAAATGGGGACAGTAACGCATATCCTTCGGGATTGATCTCTGCCAATCGAAACTCTGCTTCTCTGGACCTAGCATCGTCCGGAAGTCAAATAAATGACCTCCCACCTTCTCCGTCTTCTGGACCAGCTGTGTCTACTCTAGAACCAGGGCCTCTCTCTCCGGAAACGCCGCACAGGACCCACCCTCGCATGCTGCGCAACCTTCGGGGTGAACGAGGTAAGCATTACCTGACTGTATTCGGACAGGGTCAGGCGCTCATGAGTCTTATTCTAGTGTATATCGGGAAGGCTGCGTCCTTGTCTTTCCTGCAGCTAGTTCGAGATACCGTTACACAATGCATTGGACCATCGCAATTCTCCCACAATATGAAAAGCGAAGACATGCTGGAAACCGAGTCACCAGATGATATTCCCCTTGAGTTAGGCGATGAATTCGACGTGCGTCAGCAGCAATACTATGTTCAAGCCTACAGTGCAGCAACGAGCGGCTTCATGCATGTTCTGTTAGAAGAGGAAGCGATGCAGCTCCTGAAAGCACCAATTAGCTCAAGCGCTGAGACCACTGGTAATCGGGATCAAACCAGATCAGCTCTGATGAATATCGTTATCGCTATTGGAGCGCAAGCGTCGAAGCACCATCCCTTAGCAGAGCGTGCTGGAAAGTTCTTCTTCGCTTGTGCTCAGCGCAGCGCATTTGCAGGGATGCTCGAAAATCCAAGCCTGGATCTAGTGCGTCTCTTTCTTCTGATGTCATACTACATGCTCGGTGCGTGTCGCAGAAACGCCGCGTTCATGTATCTAGGGGTAGCTGTCCGGGCAGCAGTGGCACTGGGTCTACAGCTTACCGACCTCGGGGAGACCGTTCCCACGAAGGAACAAGATATCAGAGCACGGGTGTGGATGAGTCTTTGCGTACTGGATTTACTAGTGAGTTCTATTCTCGGCAGAGCAGCTGCGACAACCTCAATACGTTCCCACTCAGAAGACACCTCTTTCTCATCGTCACACACCGAGAACCAGGCAGAAAAGAGCCTGGTGGCGTCTTTCAAGTTGTCAAAGATCTTGGATGATATCATCACTGGGCTTTACGTAAAGCAGGCAGCCTCAGTCGAGGTGGCTGATGTCCTCTTAACGAAGCTGAAGGACTGGAGTGATGATCTACCCGAGTCACTACTGGCGCCCCCTGGGACTGACTATGAACAGCCTGCGGCTCACCAGCATATTATCGGGAACCTACATGTCGCGTGCACTTATCACTTCGCCGTTATCATAGTGACACGTCCCTTCTTGATATCAGCACTGGGCTTTCAGCTTGCACAGTTAAATCGCAGTCCCATGGGCGGCGGCAATAGTGAACACAATGAGGAATTGGCATATTCCAAACTAGCAACGGCATGCGTCGACTCGGCAGTGTATATGATCCAGACATGCTCAGAGGTCTTCCAAACGCGTCTCTTGCTAGGAAACATGTGCATCCTCAAGGCTTTTATCTTTGCGGCTGGACTAGTGCTAGGTTTCTCCATGTTCTCCCAGAAAGAAGCAGACCCGTTGCAGGAGGAAACTTACGATGACGCTCTCGACATCCTGCGCATGCTTTCTGAGCGATCTGCTCAAGCTGCCCACTACCTTGAAATTCTCAGTCTGCTCAAGAATGCCGTCTATGAGCAGCGCCAGCGACTCGCACAGCACGCGCAACAAACCAGAACTCGATACGTCAGTAAGCTTTTCAGTCTAAATGACCGCCGCCTTTCAACACAAACCCAAACTGAGACAGTCGCCTCTGCCGGCGAGGATGTTTCTGATCCTTCGCAACTAGGATTATTTGAGCCGTGGCCAAGTGTGAATAGTTTCTCTGCCGTGGATCCTGCCGAGTACAGTGCTGCGCTCACGGGATGGGGTGGGATGGAATTGCCACTGTGGGATAGTTTCCCATTCAATGGTCCAGCTATGTGATGGCAGGAAGAGGTCTAGATACGACGGACAGACGCACGACAAACTACTGCTGGCGAAATTCATCTTGTATGAATTACACGGATGTATGATATTTTTCCGCCAGATATGTCTTAATATATGGGCATTATAAGTTGTTCCTGGAGTTGTTAGGCAATCTAAAAATAAATGCTGCTGCCATATCCATAGGGATGGTGTTGCCACGGCTAAAAGGGGACTAGTGCGTGCCGGCGATAGACTTCCCGGTCGCTGTTGACGGATCTCACTTTCTGGTTGTTACTTCGACCAATTCATCAGCACAGTCCCACGTATCCACGTATTATATGTTCATGGGTACCAAGTTGGTTTGACCCTTGTTCCTCGAAAGACAATCAACTTGCCCAGTCAGTCTCATGGCCTCTCGCGATGGCAACTCCGCAGGTGCGACAGATAGTATATAGGACACGGACCAAGTCGGGATGTCTGACATGCAAGTAAGCTATCCGCACCACCGCTCGAAGCCAGGCAGCTCAGCTAACATAAAATTGTAGGAGTGAGTTTATACTCCAAACCACAATATGATTGTTCCTGGGCTAGTCGGTTGATTCTTCTCTCTCAACACAGAGCGACGCATTAAATGCGACGAGACCAGACCGAGCTGCTTGAGATGTACTTCCACCGGTCGCAAGTGTGACGGCTACCATACAATCTCCCCGTCCTCGATGGGCCTTTCTCTTCCGCGGCCTTCTCTATCTCCTGTAGCCTTTAAGTATGCGAGAAGCGAGCGCGAAATTCGATCTTTCCAGTTCTTCTGCGAGAGGACCGTATTCTCCTTAGCGGGCTACTGCGGATCGGAACTCTGGAGTCGGTCAGTGTTGCAGGTCAGTCAGCACGAGAAGCCTATTTGGCACGCGCTGGTCGCCCTCGGTGCCTTACATGAGAACTTTGAGAATGACCGGCAGATTCCCGGCTTTTGGTTCAGTCGTGAGGGGCACGATACATTTGCAGTGAAGGAGTACCTAGCGGCGATCAGAGCTCTCTTAGGTCCCTCAGATTCGGGCAGCAGCCCACACCTCCATGTTGGTGGCAGCCACGATAGGAGGCTCACCGTGGATGTGTGTTTGATTTCATGCGTTCTTTTTATTTGCTATGAGGTATGTTTTCGGGAGGTGGCTGTTGCTTGGGTTTCGGTGGTTGACCAGCAGCAAAGATCATGTCCAGCCATTACATCGCCGCGGTCAATCATATTCGCAATGGGGTCAGGATACTCGGGCAGGTCACCTATGATCCAAGGACCGGAACGTATCATCATCCTTTTCTGAAGCCGTCTACCGTGCCGAGTCTTGAGATTGAGAACCTGCGGATGCTCCTCGTTAGATTGCATGGACAGGCCTTCACCTTGGTAGGTCAGATTTGTTTTCCGTGATTTACATATACTCTCGAGTTTCGAGTGGATGTTGATTCTATGATCAGACACGAGCCGAGGAGGATAATCCGTCTTTCACCTCACCGCAGTTAACAGGATACGGATCTGTCGACATCCCACAGTGCTTTTCCTCCCTTGCAGAGGCCCGCGATGTATATGAGCATTACGACGGCATGTTTAGGCGCGAATATCATCTTATGGTCAATGTTATGGCGAGATTTGGCACGGTGGATGAGCCTGAAACCTTGGTACAGCGCTATACGGGCATACTGCAGAAGTGGTCCGGGGCCTTGGACTGCTTCGAACACGTTCGTGGTCCTTCATTGACAGTGAGGGAGCAAGCGGGCTTGAAGATATTGCAGATCCATCGTCTCAGGCACAATCTGTTATTAGAGCAGTATATGTCTGGCTCGTCGGAGTCGACCGTCTGGGATAGATACAATGCGATCTTCAGGGAGATCACCGCTTTGGCTGCCTCCGTCGTGGAACTTACGAGCAGTGTTGGTTCTCCACCTATCTCACCAGCCCAGTCAATCGGCTCTTTATGGGACCAGCCGCGACTGAGTCCTTGTTTCTCACTCGACTTGGGCATCATCAGTCCCCTCTATGATGTCGCTACTCTCTGTCGTGACCCGGTGATCCGCCGTGGGGCCGTGGGTGTTTTGCGGTCGGCATCCCGCCAGGAAGGCGTCTTCAATAGCCATGTTTGCGCAGTTGTTGCGGAGAAGGTCATTTCTCTGGAGGAGAAGGTCGCTCTTGAGGGCGGCTTGGATTATGGTCGCGATTCTGCCACTCTTGTGGAGCTTATTTCAGATCCCGGCGTCGGTCAGCAGGGGCTTATCTCCCGGTGCTCGGAAGTGCCTGGATATGCACGACTAACATATGCATATCCAGAATTTGATACTGCTGGGAGGCGGGTCTTCTTGACAATTGGTCAGGATATCGGTGTGCATGCCAATATTCCGTTGCGGGCTATGACGGCGATATTGAACACCGAAGGTCGTTGGTCCGGTGAAGATATATAGATTTAGATTACCCGGGACACATACACGTGGAATTGATGTAAGTGGTAGACCATTCTTCATCGGAACCATGGAACCTAGGTTCGAAAACGGAAACACCCTTTTGCATAGCACATAGCCACCAGTTAATTATTCTTCATCTTTCTTCTGCTGGAAATCTCCCCCGATTCACTTCGAGAGGAGCCATGGGAGATGGGGAATTCCCGTGCTTTCTACTAGTAACTTGTTAGGTATAAAGCAGTAGCTACATCATAGTTACAACAGCAAGGCCTGCTGGCCCAATGGTAAGGCGCTTGACTACGAATCAAGAGATTGCAGGTTCGAGCCCTGCGTAGGTCATTCTTTTTTGCACCCCTAGAGAGTCTCTCTCCTTCCGTATATGAACATCCCCGTCATTCCCCTCTCACACTTCCATCATCAACCATCCATCAAAATCCCCAAAATCCCCAAACCACCAAGTAATAGACTAACCTCCTCCCCGAAACTCAATTTATACATCACATCGTATCATTAAACGTCGCCCCGACCTCGTGCGATAGATGCGCATCTCCAAGCACCGCCAGTGGTCTGTTAGCGCTTCCGTCTACACCTTACGCTGCAGCTCTTCAGCTTGGATCCTTGTCACCAACCCCGCCTCGGTCTGAGTATGACACCTCCATGGGGTTTCCCCTGAGAATTGATCAGTATCTGTCAAATCACTGCCTCTCAATTTAACGCTTATCCACCAGACCCCTCCAAAGATCACCCACCCCTCTTCTCCGCTCGAGAGGCAAGACGAAGCGAGAAAGCTGCCACTGTCTCACATGCGAAGCTAGCAAAATCCCTAGCCTAGGATCATGCATACCACTAGGTGACAGTCAATATCCAAACCGTGGGATATGCAAAAGTTCCAGTGCTCAGCTCGTACTTTTCTACCCACCCCGTGGACCGACGCCCACCCATCTCGCTAGCTGCCAGACCCTCAACCAATGCGACCCCTGTCACTCATGGTTCCCGTGCAGCCGGTGCTTTGCGCCGCGGTGTGACTGTTTCCTAGTCGAGGCCACACTCCACAAATCTAGACAGTACGCAGCTGAAATTGAGTGCTGCCACAGTGCTCCTCGACCCTCACGAAACCCCGCTGTAAAGAGATCGCCATGACGACCGATGATGCTAAGGGCTCTGACAGGACCTTCACTTCTCGAGCCATAAGAGCAGCAGCTAGCCCCCCTCCCTCCGATAGATTCGCAAGACCTTGCACACGCCTGGTTGAAATCTCACTCAGCACGGTACCATGCTTCACATATTGGAAATTCTCGCCACGCTCGTTGGCGCGTACCTAATCAGAGTCATTCTGACTCGCAGGAAACTGCCCGCGCCACTCCCTCCGGGACCTAGACAGAAACCCCTCATCGGGAATCTCCTAGATCTTCCTCCCACTGGTGGACAAGATTGGGTACATTGGTTCAAGTTCAAGGAGCTATACGGTGAGCAGCCGCGATATGAGCGTCGTGAGAAACGACTAACAATCTGCGCAGGTCCTATCAGCTCAGTTCAAGTTCTTGGTGAGACATTTATTATCATCAACGATGCGCAGATCGCAGTGGATTTGCTGGAAAAGCGCTCGGCTATACATTCCAGCCGGCCACAGGGACAGTTCAACCACTTGTAAGCCTACAACCGACAATGTACTACAAAGACGAAGGCTAACAGGCGATATAGGTCCGGCTACAACGAAGTGACCAGTGCTATGGCGTATACAGACACCCTACGTGTCCATAGAAAGCTGTTCCACAAGCAAATTGGGTCTGTGAACTCTGTTGCTCGCTACAATAACTTTCAGGAGGCCGAAGTAGGGCGGTTCATGCTGCGATCGCTCGAAGCACCGCAAGACTTGATACCTCATATTCGAAAGTAGGTCAAGCCTGGACCTTCCTGCACTTTTGGGAGTGCGCAAGATGGACTGACAAAATTAGACTGGCTGGAGGTGTGATCCTGAAAGTCGCGTATGGATACAACATAGAACGAGACGGAGAGGATCCTCTCGTCGAGATCGCAAATGATAGCGTAGAGAAATTTGTCCGGTCCATCACTCCAGGCATGTGGCTGGTGGATTTCATCCCGGCTCGTACGTACCTTCGCATCTTCCAATGGCGCGATTACTGACATGGCAAATGTAGTGAAACATATACCTGCGTGGTTCCCTGGGGGTGGATTTCACCAGGCAGTGAAGGAATTTCGCGTGGCTGCGGACAATCTTAGTGCCAAGCCATATGCATTTGTTCTCAACCAGATGTCACGCAACGCTCACGCGCCGTCTTTCCTATCTGGGCTGTTCGAGAAGAACGGTATCCCCAAGCCTGGGAGCGAGCAGGAGACGACTTTCAAATGGACCGCAGCGACATTATACGGAGGAGGAGCTGACACGGTAAGTACTCATCGAATACCGGCGACAAGGGGCATTAACTGATCTTTGATAGACTGTGTCCACACTGACAAGCTTCTTTCTCGCCATGGCCTTGTTTCCAGAAGTTCAAAAGAAGGCACAAGAAGAGATAGATCGGGTAGTGGGCACCTCTCGTCTTCCTGGGTTCGCTGACCGCGAGGATCTCCCATACATCGAAGCTGTTGTCAAAGAAGCCTTCCGATGGCACCCGGTCGTGCCAATGGGCGTTGTGCATCAGTCTACAGAGGAGGATACGTGGGGTGGATATCATATTCCTAAAGGGTCTCAGATCTTGTCTAACATCTGGTGAGTTTTCGTTCGGCCTTCTTGATCATTCTTGATTCTGACAAGCGCAGGGCTTTCTTGCACGACCCAGCCACGTATCCTGCGCCAGGCACTTTTAAGCCGGAGCGATTTATCGCAAGTGCTAAGCACACTCCGGAGCGTAATCCGCATTTCCTAGCCTTTGGATTTGGGCGACGCGTGTGTCCTGGCCGGACCATCGCAGATGCAACCGCTTATTTGACCATCGCGCAGTCCCTGGCGGTGTTCAACTTCAGCAAATCCATCAAAGACGGCAAGGAGGTTGATTTGAAGCCGCACTTTCTGCCTGGAGTGATCAGCCATCCGGCACCGTACGAGATCAGCATCAAGCCCCGGAGCGAGCAGCATGAGGCGCTCATCCGGGCCGTGGAGGTGAATTATCCTTGGGAGAAGAGTCATGCAGAGGAGTTGCATCGCGTAGTCTCATAGTATGGATAGATGAAGTGATGCACGGATATGTAAAGGGATTCTCGCGTCATTATCACCATACGACGTAACCAACAACGTCACTTTGACTAAAGTCTTAGAGTCCTGTGACTCAAATTGAATAGGGACATATTTGTTTGTTTGGTTTTTTTTTTGTTTTCGCTTTGCGCAACCTATCTCTTTGTTTACAATCTGTAGACCAAGTTTGATAAAAGGAGAACCTGATATTAGGGGGACTCTTTTGTCTCCAAAACCCATCCCACCCACCGAAAAAGGAAAGAACCCATCATCTCAACTCCAAACCATCACCACAACAATACAGTACTGTGCCTAACCTTGCAAACATTCCCCCGAGATCCCAAGACAGCCTACAAGGGATGTCCATGTCATGTCATCTTTATTCTCAAGCAGCTTCCCCGCTTTCCTCAGACCTCGCGATGGACGGAATCATCTCAGCTATGCTCCCATCGATCCGTTCGATCCTCCGGGCAGTATGAGCCAAGAAGCCACGACCACCGCCATCACCACCATCACCACCCCAGCATCCTCTTCCATCGCCAGCAATATCACAACCAAAGCAAACCGAACACCAACTCCAACAGCATCGGCATCTGCAACAGCCCGATTCGATGACCCTTACGATCCAAAGCTCCCCATCCTCGAGCCCCCGCCCACCGACCCCTGGAAAGACATCGCCCTCCCTCCATCGCTGCCCCCGGAGGATATTCTGACGAGAATGTATGGTCCCCAGGGACCGGAGTGGTTGCAGCAGCCGCAGCCGCAGCCGCAGCCGCAGTGTCCACTGGGGCAGACGCAGGCGCAGATCCCGCAGGCGCAGCCGCAGCAGTGGTATGAGCCGCGCGCGCAATCGTTGGTGCAGTTTCATCCTCTGGGGCTTTCGGGTCGTCGGCAGCAGTCGCAGCAGCACTATTACCAACAGCACGAGCAGCACGAGCAGCAGCCGCAGCCGCAGCAGCGGGAGGTAGACGGGCACGGGCACGGGCACCACCACTATCATTATCAGCACCAGCACGAGCATGAGCACGCACCACATATGCGTTACGATCATCTTCATGCTGTTGGGTTTGGGTTTGAGACTGGGTCGGGGGCGGGGTCTGCGGTGGGATCTGCGGCGGGAACGAGGCCGGCGTCGGCGGCGGCGGCGGCGGCGGCGGCGGCGGGTGGTGGGGGTGGTGGTGGTGGTGGTGGGGATTCTGTGCGTGGGGGTCGGTTTTGTCTTCGGTGTTGTGGGAGGGTATGAGTCTACAGTGGATTGGGATTGTGGTGTGGGGGTTGATGTTCTCTGGTTGGGGTGGGAGTAGGGGATGGGTTTGAGGTTTGAGGGTAGGGTGCTGTGGCTACGCTGGCCTGTGTTGTCTGGTGAGGGTATGCAGCTAACCTGGAGAGATGGGAGTGCTTGAGCTTAGCGTGGGGATGGAGTTAGAGGTTTCTTTTTGTGAGGGCTTTTGTCAGGGTTACTGGGTGTTGGTGTGGGAGAGGTGGTTATTATTTTTTTATTTTTATGGGAATTGTTTGGGGTTCTGTGATACGGTCTTCTGAAGGTGCTAGGTGCTAGGTGCTAGGAATGGGAATGAAACGTGGTTTCTACAGGGAAGAATCAAATTCCTGGATTGGTTGTATCTGTTGTTTTAAGTGCAGGATGTTGAGGATGCGAGTATAGGTAAGATTATAGTCCGTCGGCCAGCGAGGATAGCCCGCATTCAGGAGGCGCTTCTCTTGCTCCAGGTGAGGGAAAGGTATTAGATGTTGCTAGTTTTGTGAAATGGTAGTTGCAGCTAGCTGCTGGTGAGGGATACGGAGTCAAAATCGCCGCGATAGCAGACAGAGGATCAGATCAAGGTGAGCGAAGGAAAGCCGCGGGTCGAATGTCGACATCCGCGAGTAGAAGCAGCCTAGCCGAGCCCGTCAGTCCCAATCACCAGCTGCAAGAATAGATCACAGCCCACATACCTTCCACACATATACCACAGCAAGTTTAGAACGAGGAACAGCATCCCAGTCACAAACACTACAAGCCAATCATTAGTCCCTGCAACCGCCCCATTGCAGACCCGCGAGACTAACCTTCATACCCCCAAGACCGCGCCCTCTGCAACCGTCCCCGTTTCTTCAACCAGGTCGGAACCAGATCCTTCTGACAGGTCTCCCCGTTGATGACGAAGCAGCCGCCGGGGGACCGCAGGCACTCGAGGTGTCGGCGCCGGCGCTCCATGATCCGGCGCACCCGCGCATTGCAGAATGACTCGTCTGTGCGGAACGAGCACTTCTCCATCGGACACTCCAGCTTGCGCTCGAAGCGCTCCACCAGCCAGTCAACCTTGAGGTGGACGCCCGTGTAGACCAGCGGATAGAACTGGCGGCAGCTGTGTTTCAGGGCCAGCGCGTCCGGGTACGGGAGGTAGGTTGCGATGTGGAGGTGGAGCTCGGTGGGGAGGCCCATGAGGTTGTAGGATGTGTCGGGCTGGGTGTCGGGGATGTGCGAGTCTGTGGCCATGGTGGATTGCATTTTCTGGTGGATGGTGGGGCACAGAGTGTGGTTGATGCTCCGCTGGGATTCTGGAGATGTTAACAATCGTTATCTGCTTGAAGTGGGTGGTTAATGAGTTGTGGAATGGTGGCTGCGTGTCGCTGTTGTATGAACAACCACATGTACAGTGCGAATGCCAATTATCTCTTATGTGTGGCTTGTGGTCATGCTTGTTGCTTGGAAGCACGAAGAAATGACCTGTACGGCGTCGCTGATACGGGCGAAGAGTACTCCGTAGGCAACAGGGGTAACGGTAGATGTCTCAACTAATCCGAGCAACTGGGACATAAAGGATGCTTTAAGCGATTTATTAGGCACGGAAGAGCAAGTATAGATTAGCGCATAACAAGTGATCTTGAAGCCTTGCTTAGTTCCCAGCACGGCACTTCGGTCAGAAGACATGAAGGTGATTTGATTGAAAACCAGCAAGCATCAGGCTGCTACTATGTACCTCGCGCCCCCGCGCCTATCGATAGCGAAGGTGGAGAGGCTAATCGATAAGTGAGGCTGAGTCCTCACCAGTGAGGCAACAACAACCAAACAGACCAAACACAGCAAACAAGCTTCTCGCCCCACTCGAGAACATCCTGCCTACCGCCTACCGCTTTCAATACGTTAGCATCCATTTGCCTCAGCAACTATCTACTCTATCGTCAACCTGACTACAACTCACGACCTCTCTCTCCATAAACCCCAACAACTCAATCCCTCCTCACGAACCAACCACATACAACCCACACGACCTCCAACCCTCTCGCTACACGCCCCATTCTTAGAACCACACCGCTCCCCCCAGAATGAGCAACAAAGACTCCGCCTACGGCGGCGCGCCCGCCTCGGACACGGCGTTCCGCAAGACCTGGGACCGGGACGAGTACGCCCGAAAGGCGGAGGCGGAGGAGACGCGCCGGAAGGAGGAGGCCAAGGCGCGATACGAGGCGAAGCTGCTGGGCAAGAAATGGCACGCCCCCGTGGACTACAGCACGCTCGAGGCGACGACGTCGCGCACGCAGCGGCTGGACGTCGCCTCGATGGTCGGCAAGACGACGATGGTGGCGGCGGGCGCGGCGGTGGGGAAGCGCGGCCGCGGCGCCGGCTTTTACTGCGCCGACTGCGACCTCACCTTCAAGGATAACCTGCAGCTCGTCGAGCACCTGAACAGCAAGCAGCATCTGCTGGCGACCGGCCAGAGCGGCGAGGTTGCCGTCGCGACGGTGGCGGATGTGCGGCTGCGGCTGCGCATGCTGGCGCGTCGGAGGCGGGAGCGCGAGGAGGAGGAGCGTCGCGCCTGGCAGTTGGATCTCGGGGAGAGGCTGAAGGAGCGCGAGGAACTGGATGCTAAGGAGCGCGAGGAGAAGCGGAGGAGGCGGAATGAGAAGCGGCGGAAGGGGGGCGAGAATGGCGTCAAACAGGAGGAGGACAGCTGGGAGGGTCGATTGGGGATCATTGCATAGACGGAAGGGAGGTGGGGGGGAGGGGGGAAGCACGTCAGGATGGTTCCTTGTTGGCAAGGGATTGGAGGATAGATTCGGCGGTTCATGCTGCTTCAAAAGCTCGAGTATACCCACGGCGTTTCGGTTTGCAGGTTTTTACGGCTCTGTATCTTCTCTCTACAAGATTGATTTCCTTTATCCAGGCGCATGTATAAATCATTGACAGTATCAATATCAGAAACAACTTAAGCATAATCATGTACCGACCGCATTCCTATTTGCCAATATCGCTGAGAGATTATCCCAGAAGCAGAAAGAAGAAATTTCGCAGAAACCGATTATCCAATGCTCTTCGCCCGACCCAATGACTCCTGACCGATTATACCCATGAGACCTCAATCCATACACTCGATACCTTCCAATACGCGCATCGCCCGAGCACCTTCCTGCTCAAATTGACTAACCAAGCGCTCGCATTCACGTTTAAGTCTCTCCTCGCCATTCTTTGCATTCCACCTGATCCATTCTTCAACAGTCATCTTCTTCTCCGGGCTACTCAACTCGCCCTTGGTGCTGTTCAGGATATCGGAGAAATCGATGTTCTCCTTGTCGCTCGTGCCCGCCAGAAAGATAGAATCGATATCCACTGGGGTCCAGGGGTGCGTACTGTTGAGAGACCCGGTGTTTGCAGCCCGCTTAGACGGCGATGGCGTACTGGCTGCAAATGGGATCCGAGCTGACTGCTGCTTGGAAGGGGAAGGGACAAGCAATCGAGAAGTAGGCGGTTTCAGCGTCGGCTTCAAGGAAGGAGGGTGGTTTTCAGCATCAGACGACTGCGGCGATAGCGAAGGAGTGGTCTTGGACGGCGAGGGCAATGGCGAGACGGTTTCTGGTTCTTGTTCATCTTCATCGTCTGAATTGGCATTTCCTGAGATCGAGCGACCACCTGAGGTCCGAGACTCGACAAGCGATGTCGCATACTGCTTCTCTTTGGGAATGTCACTGTATCTCTCAACAGTCTTTGGAGGTACTCGGGATGACCTGCGACTAGCAGTTTGCTGCACAGGTGTCTGCACCTGTGGTTCTTGCTCACTCGGTTCCAACAGCGTCTGACCATCCATGTCAAGAACCGTCTCTTCAATCTCGGACCCAGCACGATCTTCTTGTACAGCATCGGCAGGCTCTTCGGCAGATTTCCTAGACTTCTTCTGCTTCTCGGTGGACTCCTTTCTTTTGAGCTTCCTCTTCCCATTCTTCTCCCCAACCTCTGCTTCGGGTTCCCTGCTTGGCGCCCTAGTCGTGATCTCCACGGACACAAACGACTCGTGCTTTTTTGTGTCGACTTGCTCGCGGCTGGGAGCAGCGGGCTCTGGAAGCTGGTCTTCTACTGGTTCGCTCTGAGCTACTTCTTCTTGGGGTTCAGTTTTGACAGTAGTCGAGTTTCTCGCGCTTTGTCGCTTGCTTGAACGTCTTGTTTGTCGTGGCTCTTGAACCTGTGGCTGAGGCTCTGGTGACTGATGTGGCTCTGGTTCCTCAACCGGCTGAGGCTCAACCTCCACGCTGTGCTCTTCTGTGTCATTCCATGGCTCTAGGGCCTGTGCGGTTTTCTTCTTGGCTTTCGATTTTTTCGATGGCTTCGGTGCCGGCTCTTCGCTGGGCTCCTTGATGCTAGCCCCTTCTAGCTCGATATCATCCTCGACCACTGCTTCAGGCTCCGGATCTCGAGGCGCCTCGGGCAAAGCAGGAGCCTTAGATGTAGATGAATCATTCGCTGTGTTTTGGCCTTTGGAAGCAGTCTTCTTCTTGCTCGTACCACGGCTCTTCTTCGGCTTCAATTCGTGAACTTCCTCCATGGGCGCGTCCTCTGTGACTGCCTCAGGCTGTTCCTCGTGTTCCGGTTGCTGGGCACTAACACGAGTTTTAGTAGCTCGTTTTTTGGATGGAGGTTCGGGTTTCTCGTTGCTCTCTGCATCCAAATCCGTATCATCCTTGGCTATATCCTCACTTGTCCTCTTCTTGCCTCTGGTTCGTTTCGCTTTCGGCGGTTCTGGTTGTGTCTGATAGGTGCTGTCCACATCTATTTGGCTGCCCACCTCAACCTGCTCATCCTTCTTCTTGCTTTTGGACTTAGACTTGGTTGACTTCTTCGACGACTTCGATTTCGTGGTTGATTGGGACATAGTGCTTTGGTCCATTGAGTCGTCGACTTCCTGCATAGGTGCCTCTGAAACAGTGGATTGGGTGGAGAGACGGGCCGCCTTGGAGACGCGACCTTTCTTCGAGCGGGAATTCTTTGCTTTCTTTGTGGTAGGAGGCTGAGCAAAAACGAAGAAAGAGCAGTCTGAGGACCGTCGGTAATGCTCGTCGCTTTTAGGCAAAGGGGTCAGTCACGTCGAAGACAGAAAGAGCGACAGAGACATACAATGGGTCATCTTTTGGCTCCCAGCCATCGAGCGACAATTTACAGTACGCACAGGTGGCCAGGTCATTGCTCTCTTCGTTTGGGCAAAAATACCATCCGCCTTCGACCATCTATTAAACAGCAATGGTCAGAGCTGTTGATCACAAGGTGATGTTACAGTCGCCGTGCTCAGATATTCAATCTCACCTTGTCCGATTGACAAGTCCAGCCGCGCTTTCCATCGTGAGGCCATGCTTCGCCAAAGGTAGCCTGTCTGGCCTGTACGATGCGCTCACTGGTCGGGTCTTCGATCTCGGCGGGATTAGAGCTGTGCTGTTGAATGTCCATCATGACAGCCCACCCACAGTCCGGCGCATGCTTCAAGTGTTCCGTGATCGGGTTGTCTTCTTCCTCCCACCCATCTAGCGCTCTGCGGCACAGGAAACATATCGTGTTGTCTGGATTCGTCTCGTAGGGGTGGTAGAAGAATCCTGCATGAGCAAGCTATGAGAAGCGCAAGTCAGCGATTGAATTGCTGCAGGGGAACATTGTTGAAATACCTCCGCGGGTGAAGGCCTACTGTGAGGCCAAGCGATAGGCTCTGCGGGCGTAATTGATGACCTCCGTCCCCCAGGGTACAAGACCCGGTCGAAACTAGCGAGACGAGCGGCAAAGGTGTCCATTTCCTGGGCCATGGCTGAGAATAATTACGACATTGAGACTGACCGTCATGCAAGGTTGTAAAAGTGCGACGCTCAACAAGCGCCCTCTTGTTTACAGCCTTGTTTGGGTTGGCGGGAACGCGCCGCGGAGAAGTGCAGCCACGTGATTCCGATCCAAACTTGTGGCTGATGCCATGTCAATTGTGGCTAGTGTCCGCCCCGAAGTCGGGCAGTTTCCTCATCCGGGGCCCAAATGGAAAGGGCCGAGAACATCAGCCGAAGGGAAGGCCGGAGTACGTCAGACAGTAACTATTGATTAGTCCCTCTCCTTCCTCCCTCCCGTCCGTCCGTCCGCAATTTGTCGTCGGCTCTCGATTATTGAAGTGTTATTGTTGTTGCCCGCCGTGTATACTTTTCTTTCCACTTGTCCCCCCACACTTCCTCATATCAGCCTCTCACTAACCTGACCTCATCCTCCATTTCTTCCCTCTTCTTCGACCATGATTTGAGATCTTAACTCTGATGCTCCTTGAACTGTGCGACAATTACAGCCACCGCTGTGCTCTTTCCACCCCTTGCCGGGAATCGCGACAATGCGCGCTACTGTAAGCACTGTCCGACTGACAAGCAACTAAGGAATCCAGCGTGGATGTCTAATCATCCGTTCCTAGACTCTCTTTCTGAACAACGGTTCGGGCTCCTACGTGCGCCTGCGCTCAATCAGCCCAGCAATTCCGGGTTCCCTCCGTTCCTTCTCCAATGACTCCCACCCAACACTATCTCCCAGTAGTGTTCCATCGCCCTTGAGCCGATACGCCCCTCGGAGGAGTAATGACCAATACACAAATACGACTGACAATGGGCTCTTGCTACCTTCGTCGGCTGCCTCGTTCTCTACCTCGTCACAGCGACACGACCCCGGCGACTGGGACATCAACCCAAATCTAGCGATTTCAGACTTTGCTGAGCTGCCGTCCAAGGATTTCGGCGTCAATCAACATATGATCATCAATCAGGAATTCAAGGAAGCTTTGCGACAGATTCTGTGGCAGTTCCGGGCTCCGATTCGGTATGCTTTTGCCTATGGGTCGGGCGTCTTTCAGCAGACAGGAAGTGCTCCTGGCTCCGGCAAGTGCCATCCGTCAGCCCCAGCAGCTATCAAGAACATGCAACAGGGCAATGGCAAGATGATCGATTTCATTTTTGGCGTATCATATTCACAGCATTGGCACTCGCTGAATTTGGCTCAACACCGGGATCACTATTCCGGACTGGGCTCCTTGGGCTCGTATGCGGTGTCGCAGGTGCAAGACCGATTTGGAGCGGGTGTCTACTTCAATCCCTTCGTTACGGTCAATGGAACTTTGATCAAGTACGGTGTGGTCAATATCGACACACTTTGCCGGGATCTGAGCCAGTGGGACACACTATACATCGCTGGCCGCCTACAGAAGCCTGTCAAGATCCTGCGCGACCACCCGAAGGTGCGGCTGGCAAATCAAATGAACTTGCTGTCTGCGGTCCGGGTGGCTCTTCTGTTGTTACCCGCCGAATTCACCGAGTTCCAATTGTACAGCACCATCGCAGGAATCAGCTATATGGGAGACCTTCGCATGTCACTGCCGGCAGAGGATCCTCGCAAGGTCAACAATATTGTTTCTTCGCAAATGGCAAACTTCAGACGGCTCTATGCCCCACTCATCGACAATCTTCCCAATGTGACGTTCAATGATCCCCGTTGTACCCAGGACGACTGGATCGATGACCCGGAGACGAACGTGCGGCTCACTCAGGATATGGACCCTGTCAAGCGTGGCAACATGGTTCGCCGTCTCCCGGATGCTTTCCGCGAGAAGCTGTACTTCCAGTTCCAGTCACTCTATCAGATCCCGCGAGCGGAATTCAACACAATGATGAAGGAGCACAACGACACAGATGAAAACCTTCGCCGGAGACAGGGTGGTCCATTTGAGCAGCGCATTGCTGCTGATAAAGAGCTTCCGAAGAAAGTGCAGGCTGCAATCAGCAAGACGATCCGTTGGCCCAGTACCGTTCAGTCGATCAAGGGCCTGTTCACTTCCGGATTCAGCCGGACCATGCATTACCTATGGGAGAAGATAGAAAAGTACCGCAAGTCGGGCAAAAAGAGTGCCTCGTCGGACGCGCCTTCGGCGGACGCTTCCAAAAAAGAAGAGTAAAAAGTGGATGTCACGAATTGCATCGCACTGTGCCCATATCCCTCCATCTTCTTCAAAGCGCGGGTAACGTTTGATAGACACATTGGGGATATGGTTGAGGGCATAGTGAGGCGTTGATGAATTTACAAGGATCTTGGTCGGGACATGTGTATTTAGTATATCCTCCAGGGTCCCCAACACCGAAGAACAGGGCTACTCAGGATGCTGTATAGAAAAACAATATGCAATAAAACATAAACTTAGACTATAGTCATTGTGTGCTGATGCATTGGCACATTCTACATTGGGATTCTTTTCCATTGACGCATGTGTCCAGCACTGGTTAGATTAGCGAGTCAATATGAGACAATCAAGGAGAAGCTGAATAAGAAAGATGAGGTACCTACCTAGTAGTAGTCTCAGTGAGTCATTAAACAACCGCACGACCATGAATCAGTAACCAGGAGTATAGTTGAAGGGAGGAAGGAGTCATACATATAAAGGAAGGGCATGGAGCGGTACCTGAACCCGCTTCCGACACCGGTTCCGACGATTGACTCCCCCGCCGCCACTCCCCCTCCCCGTCCGTCTTCTTCCTTCCATTCTAGAAAAGAATTTCTGCTTTGTCGCAATAACCAATCCAACAAGATGACTTCACGAAACTCCCCTTTCGACCTCCAGAAATGCGCGCGCCCCAATATTCTTAGGCTGCAGCCTTATCGCTGCGCCCGAGAGTGTGTTCTGCCCCTCCCTCCCCCACAAGCAATCCTCGACCGGGACCGGACTAATGAGTCAGTGACTACAAGGACGACGGAACGAACATCTTGCTCGACGCCAACGAGAACGCCTACGGTCCGGGCCTCGCCTTGGACTCTGAAGGTGCCCTTCAGCACACGACCGGATCGTCCAAGCCCGAAATCGATCTTCTGGGATTGAACCGCTACCCCGACCCGTAAGTCTCCGCCGGAGATGACTCCGTCCGAATCACACTCCCTCATTACCACGCATCAATTGCAAAGATCTCAGTCACTGAGCGAATACATGTAATAGACACCAGATTGAACTGAAGCAGCTCTTCTGCAACCTCCGCAACACCCACCACCACACTCAGAAGACTCTCCGCCCGGAAAGCCTCTTCGTCGGCGTCGGATCCGACGAGGTGATCGATGCGCTCCTGCGCTGCTTCTGCGTACCGGGCAAGGACAAGGTCCTGACGTGCCCCCCTACGTATGGCATGTACAGTGTCAGCGCACAGACCAATGATGTCGAGATCGTACAGGTACCACTGGACGTGAACAACGACTTCCAGCTGCAGCCGGACAAGATCAACGAGGCCCTGTCGGCCGACCCCTCGATCAAGCTGGTGTACATCTGCTCCCCCGGCAACCCCACCGCCAACCTGATCAAGAAGGCGGACATCCAGAAGGTGCTGGAGCACCCGACGTGGAACGGTGTAGTGGTGGTTGACGAGGCGTACATCGACTTCGCGCCGGAAGGCTCGAGTCTGGCCGAGTGGGTCAACGACTGGCCCAACCTGGCGGTCATGCAGACGCTGAGCAAGGCCTTCGGTCTGGCGGGCATCCGATTGGGCGTGTGCTTCACGAGCCCTCCGATCGCGACGCTGCTGAACAGCCTCAAGGCGCCCTACAACATCTCCAGCCCCACGAGTGCACTTGCGACCGCGGCGCTCTCCCCCACCCACCAGGCCGTGATGCAGAAGTACCGCGACCTGATTGTCGCCCAGCGCGACCGCCTGGTCCAGGAACTGCCGCAGATTCCCGGTATCGGGCGCTTCCGTGGCGGCAAGGAGTCCAACTTCCTTCTGGTGGAGATCCTGGACAAGCCGGCCAGCGAAGGTGGCAAGCCCAGCAATGTGATCGCTCAGGCGGCTTATGAGGCCATGGCCGAGAAGCGTGGTGTTGTGGTGCGCTTCCGGGGTAAGGAACTCGGGTGTGAGGGCTGTCTCCGCATCACGGTGGGCACGGAAGAGGAAGTCAGCAGATTCCTCCGGGAGATTCGAATCGTTCTCGGTGGTCTCCACAAAGGGGAGAGCATTGGCTCTGTGAGAGGGCAAGTGAGCCAGAACTGAAGTCGGGGGAGGTAGGCTTGCTTGTCTTGGCGATATCCTCGGGGAAATCTAGATTCTTTGGGTTGTTGTGTAATATCGGGCAATTTCCTGGAGCCTAACCTAACTCACTGAACTAACTGAACTTAACTTACACTAAGTTAGTCAGAGACAGACCATGCATAGATAGAAATTCGATTTTCAACGCAGCGCAATGCAAACACCGGCTCCACCTCTACCTAGCGTAACGTATGCTGCCGGTAGTTCCTTGAAAGCTGGACCTACCCCTGACCAGCTTGCAGACCACGTATACGTACGTATACGAGCAGGGGAGATAGAAGGTAGGAACCGGCGTCTATGCTATGGCTCAACACTTATCTGTCCCTGGCTCGCAAACAAAACCCATGGATACAATATCCCTTCCGTATATTACTCCGGAGATTATAGAACGAATCAAACCAAAGTGCTGTATCTATACTTTTTTTTTTTTCTCTTCCGCTAGTATCCAGGATAGTGCTCATATGATTGATTGCTGGCAGAGCACCTCGGGTGTCCACGGTATCGAGGCAACCGACCAGGATTCATTTCGAATAAAGGACGCCTGACTCGCGTATGGGGACTTTTGGCTATCGGGTAATTGGGGAGGGACTCGTGTGCGCTCCGTTTTTTTTTTTTTTGCGTAAAGAAGGTTTGGATAGTAGAGGTTGGTGAGTGTTTCTTGTATGTAGTCGAGTCCGTGATAGACTATCTTCCCTGAGCTTGGAGATAATGTGATGTGATGTGATTATGTCTGTCCGGATGTGCAAACAAATCGGGGATCGGCCTCTCCCTCGTGTTGGTAGATCGGCTTATCTCCACTCCCTCACCCACCCTCGAAGGTGAGTGATACAATGACTTTATCGCATGTTAAAGAGGCGGGCAATTGGATTGCTTGCATACGAAACCTAATCTGGTGTCCCTTTCACCCGCACGTGTAATAACTCTTGTTGAAAGGTCTCTCATATGTCAAGTTTCTCTCCCTCCGTGTTTTCCAGCAGCTCCAGCTCCTCCAGCTCCAGCTCACATGCAGCAAACGAAGGAAAGAAAAGCAAATCCAAACCAAACCAAGAGTCCGGTGGCAAATGGACAAATGAGCATATCACACTTGCAACCCATCTGCTGCTGGGCTTCGTATCCGACCAGCCTGTCTTATCCCAACCCATTGGCTGACTTAAACGCCATGGTGCAATCCTGGCTCTATCGCTTCTCTCTGGCTGGTCCATTGCCTCGACTCCTTCTGGTCCAAATTTCCCCGACTTCCGTCAAATCCAGCCTTGACCAAGATAAGGCCCAGGCGCCTTCGTGCCCCCCCTAAATTCCCGTCGGCCAGCGTTATCTCCTCACCGGCCAGCGAAGTTTATCGGAACGCCTTGACCCCAACAGTCAGATCCTGGCTCGCCATGAGTCCCACTGAGAATATAACATGGTTCACCAGCCGGGCTGACCATCACGATGGTGACAGCGACCTCGGGCTATCGTCTTCCTAAACCATACCCTTGCTGGCTCTGGTTCGACGCGGCGCTCATCGCGCAACTCGGTCGCAACCGGAACCTCGCCTAGCAGATCTCCCCCCCAAACACGCCTCTCGGTTGACCGCGGACCTTGATATAATACCTTCGACGTCACAACGGCGGTGAATCCGGATGAGTTTCGCGCTTCCCTCCACTGTTGACAAGTTGACAACCTCTGCTCCTCTCTCGTCGCTCGTGAGAAAGTAGTGTCATGTTCAACCTCTTCCGGGATCTTACTCAAAGGGGTATCTCCCGCCATCTTCCTTTCTTAGCAGTTACGCAGACAATCACACGCTTAACGTCTTCTCCACCCACCGAGAACCTCTGTTTGGAAGTCCGACTGTTGTTATTCTCCGGGGCTCCTCTTCTTGGCCCCGGCTCCCCCACACGAACCCCAGTCCGAGGGCACGTGCTCATCGATGACATTTCCCCCGATTTGAGACATTCGAATGCGAAGCGAAGTACCATTAGAGTATACCATAATCCACTTCCAGGCGTGCAAAGCACGCCATCACCTATAGATCGAGATCGCCCTTCCATAGCGTCCACTGGCCCCTCTTCGGAGGTGGCTCGGCGGCCATGAGTATACAATGGATGCTGGATTCTCGTGGGCTTTTCGACAGCACACCCCCAAACCCTCGAACGAAGTTGGACAACAACTCTACCCTTCTTGTTAGCTGGTGGGCGACTGGCTTTTCCCTTGCAATCATTGTCACTCGAGTCTGCGGGCGCTACGTCCGGACCGAGCGTTTCTTCATGGAGGACAAGGTTATGCTAGCCGGCGTGATTCCGCTCCTGATCCGCATGGCCTGCGTGCATGTCATTTTGATATGGGGAACAAATAACACGACGACTGCCGGCCTGTCCATCGAAAACATCAATCATAGGGTTGTTGGCAGCAAGCTGGTATTGGTCGCTCGGATCTTCTATGCTGTCTTGTGAGCGATCGAATCTCTCTGCTGATTTCGTGATTTGACACATGCGCTAATACAGCCATATGAGGAGCAGTATCTGGACGGCGAAGTTCACCGTGTGCGAGTTTTTGAAACGTGTCTCGGGCATGATCTGGCGACGGTCCCTCGATATCTTCCGCAAATCCCTCTACTATTTCTTGGCCTCGACCCTGCTCGCGGTCGTCATTGCTACTCTCGCGGAGTGCTCTCCGTTTGACCATTACTGGCAAGTCGTGCCGGATCCAGGGCCGAAGTGCCGTCTTGGGTATGCGAATCTGATCGTGATGGGCACCTGCGACGTGATCACAGATTTGCTTCTGGTTGCATTTCCGATCCCGTTCATCATGATGACTCACATGCCTTTGAAGCGCAAAGCCTCTCTTGTTATTCTGTTCGCCTTATCTCTGATTCTCGTGGCAATCACTCTCTACCGGGTGCCGTCCGTCATCTGGCACGATGGAGAGCAACAGTACCGATCGCTTCTGGCGTCGCTGGAGATACTGGTCGCCACAGCAGTGTCCAATGCTGTTGTGATCGGTTCCTTCGTGCGCGACAAGGGCGTCAAGAAGAACAAATTCAAAAAGGCCCTGGCATCCGCTTCGGTCAGTGAGAACATGGACTATAGCTCCTTCCGCCGCCAGACCATCACCCACCATCAATGGGGCAGCGATTCAGACCTGGCTGCAGGCCTGGGAATCCGTCTGAAACCGGAACTATACTCTTCAGACAAGGATTTACCCCGCCCTGCGCCGGTCGCGGCCCCTTATCACACCCTCACAGGCCGTCCCAGCGGCCTACTGAGTCCGAACTGGTCTTTCCCTCAACGACCGGGGGGCATGGACGATGACCACACGTCTACCACAGGCAGTCTCGACATCAAAGTCAGTCCCCATGAATATATACCGACCAACATTTCTCCTCCGCACAGGATGCCCCGAGAGGTTTCATCCCCCACTCAGCTCTCTATCTTCGACGTAGGCGGCCTGCTCAACGCGCCTACTCCCACAACTGCACATCCGTCCCACTACCCCGATCACCAACCGCGCCACTCCAGTGGCAGTAGTAAATCCGCCATTTATGACTTCGGGGCTGCCGTCTCTCCCTCCGGCTCGCCGGACCTGAACCCGGATCCCAATGCGACCTACCCTCATCACGCACTCCCCTCATCTCCAGCGGCCCCGAATTCTTCTCTCCGCCCTGGCGGCCTTCGCCGTAGCTCTCTTGCTTCGAACCGTCGCAGGGGATCGAGCGTTCACTTCAGCGATTCGCCGGAGTCGCCTGTGCCGTCCTACCGCTCCCTACCCGAAGTATCGACTCCGATCCCAGAGGGCGATGATGTCGAGCTCCAGGATGTGGGAGGATTGCTGTCGCGGCGGGGATGACCGCTGCGGACTGTGCATGACGGCTGACCTGCGGATTGTGCCTGTATCATTATCAGTTTTGTGTCTTTGATTTGAGCTTAGCGTGTTTCACTGGGACTGGCCCGGGGTTTGGCCTATCTACAAGCGGGTTTGTTTGGGCCACGGAGTTCGGCATGATTTTTTGAGATATACCATATAGTATAGTAATATTGAATCAGCATTGGTGAAATCCCAATGAAAGGGTTTGTGTATTGCTTACAAAACTCGCTTGACGATTTGTTGTAGTGTGTGCAAAGGTTATGAATCAATATGTAGAGTAGTATTCAGGTGAAGCCACCAGTCACCAAATCATCAAACCATGGGTAAAATAAAAAAAGAAACACATCGAGTTTGGTTAGAGAATAACTTTTTCGCCCTTACGCCATGCTGCCCGATGCCTGTAATTAGACAATATTTTTCTTTCTTGTTTTTCTCTGCCCTCCCCCCTTGACTGCCCTGGGACGCTGTTTCCACGATGCATCATAGTACTTGGAAGGGAAGAGTCCCCCAGTAGATCCCACCATACCTCATTTCCCCCTCTCCCAACCCCCCCCCCCAAAAACCCCTTAAAGCACCCACCGATAACTAGCATACCGCCCAGCCGTCTCACTCTTCCGAATAATCTTGACGACCTGCCCCTTCCGCAGCCCCAGGTACCGGGCGACGGGGTCACCGAACTGCATGCGGGGCAGCTGGGACTCCTTGAGGCGGTAGCGCTCCAGCAAGCGAGCCTTCTCGTCCGGGCTGAGCAGCACGTGCTTGGGCACCAGCTCGTGCCGGGTGATGTTGACCAGCAGATCCTGCTCCTGGAAGTGCTCGCAGATGCGGCCGGGCACGCCGCTGAGCAGGCGCACCGCCGAGGGGGAGATGGGCGTCTGCGTGATGAACACCCCCGTGTGGAAGTTGTTCTCGTCCACGAAGTGGTTGAACGCGCGGACTTGCTTCGTGCCCACGCCGGTGGAGTCCGGGCAGAATTCTACGTAGATCGTGCCGCAGTCGGGTTGCGGAGATGGGTTCGATTTGCTGGGTAAGGGCGTGTATTTGATTTGCATGGCTTCGGTGGGGCGCGCGCTGACTTTCATTTTGTTGCGGCTTGGGGGGGATTGTTAGTGAGGGTTTGGGGGGTAGAGGTTGGCTGGCGTACTCGGGGTATCCTAGAGGGTCGGAATATTTTCGCTTGAAGTCCGCGAGCGGGATTTGCACTTCGTCTTCGGTGACTTCGTAGCCCTGTTTTCCCAACGGATACATGAGTTTGGGTGATTGCGAAGACCGAAGAGGAAGCTGGAGTTGAGGCTCACCCGGTCCAGAAGCATCTCAAAGACTGTTCTCCATGTGCGCCAGAGTCTGGTCATCTCGCGGTCGGCGTCCACCGACCCGGTCGAGTAGTCTTCATCCATGTTGAGTTGGTAACACGTCGCGCGTGCGAGCAGGCGAGAAAAATCAGAGGGTGATAGGGCCGAGATGACAACGACCGAGAACACGCAAGTGGAAGTGAAAGAAAGCTGACCGGGCAAAAAGTGCAGGTCAAAGGCGGATGCGAGAGTGTAAAATGAGGGCGGGTTTCTCGAAAAATCGGCGTACCAGCGCTAATGGCGCCAAGCGGGGAACTTTTAAGCGCCGCCCGCCCAGACAGTCACAGAGAGCGGCCAGGCCGAGAAAAAGAGCACGAGTTCCTGTTGTTGACTGAACTGAACTAGACTGATTGCCGACGAACTTACTGACACTGCGGACGGACTCCCTTTCCTTTCCCTTTCTCTCTCCTCTTCCTCCCCCTCTCTCTCCTCCCTCTCTCAGCCCCCACTCCTTTCTCCTTCGGGTTGATTTCCTTCCAATTGACTGATTGATTTATTCCAAATCAATCTCTCTCTCTATTTGTCAATTGCTCTTCTCCCGCACCTCATCTCAATCATGTCCGCCGACGCCAAGGCTGCTCCTGCCACGGAGCAGAAGGTGAAGCCCACCAAGCCCAATGAGGAGACTTTCAAGGCCGATTTGGCCCAGGCCGAGAAGGAGCACGCCGCTGTGCAGGAGAAGCTGGTATGTATTTCCTTGTTTATGGCTTAATTGGCCTTCAACATGCCTCGGATTGTTTGGTTTACGGGGATTCTCCGTTGCCGCACCGTGGCCTCTTTTTCCTTCCTCCCGGTTCTACGGCTTTCTTTTTGTGCTACAATTCTTCCCATTGCCATGGTCCCGGTCATCACATGCTGGCATTGAGCTAACCCCCCACCCAAGAATGAAATCAAGGCCAAGATCGAGACCGCCAAGCCCAACAACCAGGACTCGCCCACCGCGAAGAGACAGCAGGAACTCCGCGCCGAGCTGTCCTCGATCCGCCAGAAGCAGTCGGGCTTCAAGGCCGGCCGCTCCAGCACCCAGGAGAAGATCAACGCCCTGGACGCCACGCTCAAGGCCCGCATTTCCGAGCAAAACAACTCGCGTGGTCGCATGTCGTTCAAGAACGTCGAGGAGCTGGACAAGGAAATCGCCCGTCTCGAGAAGCAGGTCGACTCCGGCACGCTGCGCCTGGTCGATGAGCGCAAAATCCTCTCCGATGTCTCCACCCTGCGCAAGCAGCGCAAGAACTTCGCCGGCCTCGAGGAGGCCCAGAAGGCCATCACCGACCTGAAGAACCAGATCGCCGCCCTCAAGAAGAGCCTCGACAACCCCGAGGCCAAGGCTCTCAGCGACAAGTACAACGAGATTCAGAAGGAGCTCGACGCCATCAAGGCCGAGCAGGACAGCGCCTTCAAGAACCTGAACGCCCTGCGCGACGAGCGCACCAAGCTGCACGCCGAGCAGCAGAAGAAGTGGACCGCCATCCGCGAGATCAAGGACAACTACTACAAGGCCCGCAAGGCGTACAAGGAGTACGAGGACGAGGCCTGGCGGGTCCGCCGCGAGAAGCAGAAGGCCCAGCGCGAGGCCTTTGAGCGCGAGAAGCGCAAGAAGGTCGCCGACAAGAAGCTGGAGGAGGCCTCCCGCCCGGCCTACACCGACGAGATCCTGATCGGCCAGGGCCTGATCCGCCACTTCAACCCTGCCTACGACTTCGCTGCTCTGGGTCTGGACGACAAGAAGGACGAGGGCTCCAACTTCCGCGCGGAGATCGGCCGTACCGTTGATGACTCCGGCCTGAAGGGCATGAAGGTCCTGAAGAAGGATGACGGCGAGGACTACTTCGTCGGCACCGGTGGCAAGAAGGGCAAGAAGGGCAAGAAGGGCGCCAACGGTAGCCCCGCCGCCGCCGCCCCGGCCGAGGCCAAGTTCAACCTGAACGTTGGTGTCATCGAGGACTTCGCCAAGGTCAAGATCGACCCTCCCATGAACCAGGCGGATGTTCCTGCCGTGATTGAGAAGCTCGCGGCCAAGATCACCGAGTGGAAGAAGAACCAGGCCTCGAAGACTGAGGAGGTGAGTGTTGTGTTCTGTGCCATATTGGTCGTCATCATTGCTAACTCTATGCGTAGAACATCAAGAAGGCTCAGGAGGAAATTGCCCGCCTGGAGGCCGAGGAGACCGCCGCTGCCAACGACGACCGGGCCACCGACGGCGCCAAGAAGGTAGCCATCAAGAACAGCGGTGTCAACGGCAAGGTCTCTGCGGATGCTGAGCTCAAGCAGGAGAAGGACGCTGTCGCCGACGTGACGGAAGAGCTCGAGCAGGCTACCGTCGAGGACCAGGCCTAGATGTGCCGCTCCAACGCATACCTAGTAGACCACTGCATTGCACCTGCATTTTGACCGCACCAGCGACTGCACATGGTTAGAACCCAAAAGCTGACTTTATATTCGTGTGACTTTGGTTCTTTTCTTTGCATCTACCCTTATAACTTTCCTATCATCTCTTTGTGTCTCCTATCACCCTCAACCCTACTCCTCCCTGCTCCTTTGATGGGAAGGAAGCCAATATACACGGGTATTGGTTACCCCCCGTGAAAACCGTGCGGTTGTTTGTTGGGACCGGCTTTGGGGCTGGTCTGTTTCCTTCCTGTGTAATCAATTTCATCTATTTCCTTTTTCTTGTCATACCTTTTTCTTCCTGAATCCGTTGTTGATGAACCTGGCGAAAACGATAGCGTTTAGCGAATCTAATTGCAGCGTGAAGTGGTTTTGGTGAATGGATCGCTGTAGATTAGGATACTGCGTCGGTGTAAAGTCATGTTCTAGATGGCGGTAGGGATGGAATGCCCCAGATTTGCGATAAGATAAGAGGGGTGTCGGGTGTCATGAACCCTCGGGAGACCTGCAGACCCGTCAAGATCAGCAGTATGCCAGTAATGCATGGATGTTCCTGTTAAGCAACTCAGAAGCACGTAAAAAAATCCCAGCCACCAAAGAATGAGCTGCCAATAGATCCCCCCTAAGCTAAAAATAGCACCGCCACACTTCCACGATTCCACGACTCCTGCTGCGCCATCGTCCCAAGACCCAAGACCCAAGAAACGAGGCCGAGGAATTACGTGGAGATCCGCCCAATCGGTTGCCTAATCCGGGATCCCGCCAAGGGAGTCCGCGGCTGCCATGGCATTTTCCGACTTTCTCCTCTTCTTCTGTCTCTCTTCCTCCTGAACATCTCCTACAGCCTTGCTCTTTCGCATATCTCACCCCCTGGACAGCTACTCTTCTATCCGATAGAACCGGATCCCTCTCATCGTCTCACCAGGGCAAATCACAAAGATGTCTTACAACAAACCCGTACGTTCCCAGCCTTATCCCCAACCCCAACCCCAGCCCCATCCCTACTCCACCTCACTCAAACTCAACAAACCTACACCATCCTAACCCAAGAAAAAGGACAACCCACCCCCCTCCTACCCCTCTCCCGTCCACGACGCCGGACCCTACCACTATCAACAGCAACAACAGCAAGGCTACCCACCCCCGCAAGGCGGCGCCTCCCAGGACTATTACAATCAGAGCGGCTACCCCCCACAGCAAGGCTACGGCCCCCCTCCGCACGGCGGTGGCGGCTACTACCCCCCTCCGCAGGGCTATCCGGGCTCGCCGCCCCCGCAGCAACAGCAGCCGATGTACTATCCGCAACAGCAACCGCCGCCGCCGCAGGGATACTATGCGGGCGGGGATCGGGGCGGCGGGTCGTCCGGTGGGGGCATGTGTGCGGGCATCATGGCGGCGTTGGCGTGTTGTTGTTGTTTGGATATTTTGTTTTAGGGTGGTTGACTCTTAGCCTGGAGGTCGATGATGGATGGGTGGGTTGGTGTGGGTGCTGGATGGATGGATGGATGGATGCCTTTATACCAACTCTTATTTATATGGGGATGGGTGGGGGTGTTGGGCGCGGGCGCTGCGTTTCTTTTGGCTGGCTGTGAGCATTGGGCTGTGCTTGTTTTGGGGTTTGGGTCTGCGTTGGTTGGTCTCAAACGGTTCTTGGTGTTTTGGGTTTTTACTTTTACTGTGGGAATTGCTGTTCTTGCTCTGGGTTGAGATGGAATGCTATACCACACCTTACCTTACTCTATTGACAATCGCCATATTGATATTCAAACATCAACCGTCATCATTATCATTAAGCCCAATCACTAAACTCTTCATGTGAATGCAGCATATCTCATAAATCATGCATCTTTAGACATCATCCTCGTAGCAATCCCAGCACGAATCACAATAAGGAACAACAAGAGAAAACAAGAATAAAGGGTATCAAAAACACCATCCTCCCATCCATCCCATCCCAGTCCCTAATCCCAGTCCAAACCTACGACCTCAAACTCCCATCAACCGACAACCCCTCCACCGCATCCAAATCCACCGCCCGATACCCGCCCTTCCCAGGCCTCCGGGGCTTTCGGCCCTGGCCCTGGCCCTCGACACTCGAATGCTCCTCCATGACAGTGACCACATCCGACCGCTCACTGGACACCACACTCGCCTCCACCATTTCCGGGGCCGGCGGGCGATGCCGCTGATGATGTTTGGAGTGCGGCGCGTGGAGACGCCCATGCCCCGGAGGCGGGAGGTACCCTTCCTCGATGATTTCCTCGCGTCGGCGACGACCCCCACCGCCGCCGGGCCGTCTGCTCCGTCGCGACCGATGCGAGCGCGGGGACCGCGTCGAGCTGAGGTTTTCTTCGACGATGATTTCCGAGTGCGAGGACGGCGAGGACGTCGTGCTGCCGGTGAGGATTGTGCCTGTGCCGTCTCCGCCGTTGGTGGTTGAGGGAGAGAATTTGCGGCCCGAGGTGAGGGCGAGATACAGGAGGTAGAGGAGGAGGAGGAAGCCGAGGACGCTGCCTAGGACGATGCCCACGATTGTGCCGGGTGCGAAGTGGGGGGTGTAGTTGTAGGTTGAGGGGAGGGTGGTGAATTCGCGGGGCGCGGTACGGGGGTGATTGTTGTGGTTAGTGGTGGTGATGATGGGTTGGAGAGGTATTCGGGGGGGAGGATGGGTGGGTGGCATCTTTTCGTTGTGGTGGTGAGGTTTGGACTTGTTTATGGTGGTCGTGGTTGTTGTTGCGGCGCGGTGCGGACGGAGTAAATAGTGGAGTGGAGTATGCGATAGTCGTGCTGGTTATGGACGTGGAGGGGTCATAGTCTCGTGGGTTTCAACCGGGCAACAAAGGTAGAGGTGAGTATTTGAGTTGGAGGGTCTGAGTTTGAGCGATAAGATGGAAGAAGAAGAAGAAGAAGAAGAAGAAGAAGAGCAGAAAGCGGAGATGACGAAGGTCAGGCAGTACGACAGCAGGAGCAATAAATGGGTGGCTGGGATGGGATGGATGGATCAACCGAGCTAAACAGCTCGACCCGCCGGGCCTTCCCCGCCGGGTGGAGTCTCGCTTACTATGCCGATGCCGATAGTGTAACTATACTGATCTACATCCATCAGTCCATCGGCCATGAAGGTAAACCACACAGCATGCTATATCGCATCTAATTTCATTTCACGACAGGGACCAAGCTTACATCAGGCCCCGTAAAGTACAGTCAGTACTATACCGCCTGACCAGTAGCTCATACCCCAGCTAGGTAACTTAACCGGTCTCTCACGCCCTTTTGGTATGGAGTATTGCTAACTGTCGGTGATATAGCCATTCCCGCTGGTATTGTGCACAAATGGGGTATGATATGCTTTCACTATCGTGTGCTCATTGTGCTCATTCATCCCATGGCCTCCCCGTCCAATTGTAACTTTGCGGAGCTTGTTCATATATGACGGGTAACCACTACTAATCTGCAGTTTCGCCATAAACACATTCTAGAAAGCTTCTCCACTATCGGAAAAGCTAACAAAAGCTCCCAGTAACCTTGACACTGGGCTGGGGAACACGTGCATAGCTTGGATAGCAGCCAGCACTTGACCACTGGGGGCCGACCCAGCTGCGTTTGCTACCGGCGCAACTCCAATGACGCAACAGCCTGTCCTCCAGCCCATGCCGCCCTGTCCCTCAGGACAGACCCGACTTCTGAGCAGAAGCTTATGCATCTCACAGTCGGGTGTCAAACAGAACGATGTCGACTCGATCGATCCCTCAACGCAAGGAATGACACCGAAAAGTAGTCTTCGAATTGGTATCCGATGCGCAACTGATGAAGAGCCGAAGCTCACACGGCGCCAATCCCAAGTGCTCCTAACATTGTTCGGCCAGCCAGTAGACAAGCAGCAGCAAGCAGCCGGAGGTAGAACCTGGGGCTTGGGGCTTGAGAAGAGGAACATGTCTGGAAACGCGAAGACTGGTCAAAAGTCCGTAGCGAAGCATGGCACAGCGTCCATGCGCATCTCCTGTCCCCAAAATCTGGAATTCTGATTAGGAAAGATCAAGAGCCCTCTCCTATGTCATCCAGCACGAACCGGAGGAGTTGTGGGGAAAGGTCCGCCCGAAGTAGTTATCGGTCAACTTTCCTCATTCTGGCCCAAGCATCAAGCTCACAGGAAGTCTTCCTTACCTCCGTCCTCCCTCTTTCCTCCCTCCTCCATCCACCACCACCCCTATCAAAACAACCTAACTCTTGCTCAAATCCACGAGAAAGTAATTGCTGAAGTAGTACTAACCCCTAGCACCACAAAACTCGCAATTCCATCCCCAACTAACCACCCACCTCACTCTCAAGCTCATCCAATATGGCCAATGCACCCACTCACCCAGACACCCGCGAGAGCGGAAACTCCCTCCCAATGTTTCTCTCAGAGCCAGAATATACGGCTGAGGAGAGGGCGCTGCTGGATGAGCCATTCCCCCCAAACTGGGCAAATATCAGTACCGTATACTTCCGCAACTGCGAGCTGTGTTCTGCCTACCACCCGCCAACAGGCCCAAGCAGGCTCATCTACCGCTGTGCAAGACCTGCATGTCGGGCCCTCTACCATCTAGAATGTCTCGAGGAGATTCTCACTAAGTTTACTGAGCAGGGTAGCCTCCTCGTGCCCATGGAATGTCTTCGCTGCGGCACCGGCTGGGATCTTGACTCTGACTTTGAGGAGCCGGAGCATCGCCGCAAGCTCTGGTGCCTTGGTGAGTTACGGCGAAAGACTATACAGCAGCTGCGGCAGGGGCGGCTTCAAGAGAAGCGGCTTCAGCAGGAGCTGCTTGACCAGAAACAGCTTCAGCAGCAGACGCGGAATCATTCTCAGATACAGCAGCAATACTGTCAATCCCAGCCCCGACAGCAGATACAAGTGCTTCCTCAGCAGTGTCAGCCTCCTCCACCCCCGGAGCAGAATAATCAGCAAATGCAGCACCAACAGCAGGTGCAGGTGCATTCCCTGCAGTGTCGGCCTCCTCAGCCCCGGCAGCAGGAGCAGCACTGTCAGCCTCAGCTTAAGCAGCAGATGCAAGTGTCTGCTCAGCCCCAGCAGCAGCCTCCTCAGCAGCAGCAGAAGGTACAGGTACAGGTAAAGCCTCTGCAAGTTCGACCTCCTCAGCACCAGGGGCAGAACCAGCAGCAACTACAGGCATATCATCTGCGGGGTCAGCTTCCTCAGCACCAGCAGCAACAGATACAGCTGCATCCTCAGCAGTATTCCCAGGCACCACAAAATTACCAGCAGCTTCACCAGCAGCAACCTCAGCCCCTGCTCCAGTACCAGAGCCTGCGGCAGATGCAACCTCAGCATCAGCTACAGAACCAGCAAAAGCTATATAAAGCTCAGTGCCAGCAGCTGCAGATGCAATATGAACTTTCAATGCTGCTACAGCATCAACGGCAGGTGCAGCATCCAATTCAGATGCCACAGCAGCTTCAGATACACCAGCACCCACAAATACAGCAGCAGCAGGTACAACATCATCCTCAGATGCTGCAACAGCATCAGCGGCCGGCACAGCATTCAATTCAGATGCAACACCCTCCCCAGATGCAGCAGCAGTGTCCCCAGCAGGCGCAGCAGCCGCTTCAAAGACAACATAATCCTCAGCTACACCAGCAGCTGCACCCGCTGCATCAGCAACAACCCCCTACCAAGCGCAAGCCCCATCGCACTGCACCGAAAATGGCGCCATCAGCGAAGAAACCCCGTAGGAACAGGCCTGATCCCCCGCGTGGTCAAACGATCATACCAATGAGCTTCGCTGTAATAGGAGACCGCATCCATTGCACCTTTGTAGAAGACGGGATGCCATGTCACCTGCATTACGGGAGCGACGATAGTCTGCGGCGGCATCACCGCAACATCCACGATGACAGTCTTCCTTGCCCTCACTGCCACAGTGGGTGGTCTACCGACGCAAGACTATCTAGACATCTCGCGGAAGTGCATGGGGTGACTGCTGTGCGGCGAGTGACACCTAGTCACGGGGCGACTCCTGTGCCTCAGACTCCTTTGCGTAGGATAGCACCTAAGCAGGGGAGGTAAGAGACGGCCCCCCCGGACTGGAGCCGAGACCAGAAGCATGCTGGTTTCGCGTAGAATGGCACGTAGTTTTCTCTTTCTCGTTTTATCAGCTTATCGAGACACCCGATCTAGTCTAGTTGACAGGATAATCTGATTTAAGCTTTAAGTCGCCACTTGGCTACATTTAACTCTACTGCAACGTATTCTCGACGTAAAAGTAGTCCTCAATTGAGATTACTGTAAAGGAAAATTCGGTTTAGATGTTCCTTCACTCTAACCTTACACCTCCCTCTCATTTAGCTATTCCAAGTGCATCCATTAAGCCTAAAGTGAACTTGTCATCGCATACTAGCCCCAGCCTCAGTGATCTTCGATCTTCAAGCAACAAGCGACTTTCATCCAAACAACCCTCAACACCATCAAAGCTGCCCCAGACTGAACTCCAGACGACCCCCCGACGCTTTGACCGTGAACCTGGCGAAGTCATCTTTGAACACCACATGCAGCAAATTCTCACAACTCCCTATACACAAACCAGTTAGCCCACTTCCCCATCCCCACACCACCAAGCCCAGCAAGCTCCCGTGGAAACATACCTTGCACCCTCCCCTGCTCCACGGCACAGAGCAGCACCACCCAATGCCGAATCTTGCCCCGCTCCATCAACCCTCCACACTGCCGCGCGATGGCGCGCAGGTCGAAACACGCGGCGAACCCATGCAGCAGCTCGATGCGCCAGCCCACCGCTGGGATCTCGACCGCCGTGCGCGCGCCCGTGGTGCGCGTCCAGTCGCGGGTGACCGCGCCGCCGAAGCTGTTCTGACCCCAGCAGCACTGGTAGAACTCGTCCTGGAACAGATCGGCCCGGGCCCGGACGCGGCCCGCGGGGCCCCGGCGGCTGGCGAAGGTGTTCTGCAGGGACTCCCGGGGCAGGGACTGCAGGATGCGGATGCAGAATTCGCGGATCTCTGGCCCGCCGCCGACGCCTTGGAAGCTGGGTTGGTCGCCGCCGCTGTGTTCGTATTCGAGGAAACTGGGGGTTGGGGTTGTTAGTGTTGGGTGGATGGAGGGAGAGGGGTAATGGGGATGTGGCTCACCGGGCATGGAGGTTGGAGGGGAGAACGCAGTAGACCTTGTCGGCGAAATCGAGGAAGGTGTACAGGAATCCGAACTTGACGCAGAACTTCAGATCTTTGTCCTTGTGGTTGAAGCGGATGTTGCCTTGGCGAAGAACCCGAAGCAGGATGTCGATCATGGCTTGGGTCAGGATCCCGTTGGTCATGTACTTCGATGGCAGGCTTTTCCCGGCGGGCTGGTATCGGGTGAATTCGAGGGCGTCGTTGCTGCTTAGGAACTCGCGGAACTCGTCGGTAGGGGGCGACAACATATCTTTGTAGATGTATTGTTGGAAATCTCTCCCTGCGTACTGTTGAGAGTTAGCACCGAGAACGAAGGGAGGTTCAATTGGGCTGCACTCACTGCGCGTATATATGCCAGCAAAGCTGCGACCATTCCAGGGTGTCCGTCTGTCAGCGACATCAAACACTCCCGACCGTTTTGGGACAGTTCAGGGCAGCCGGTCGTAGCACTGTACTTCTTAACCACGTCCTGTAGCTCGGATTGGGTGTAGAATACGGAATACATGGAGCTCGGCCAGTACGGCAGAAGGGTGACTGTCCGTGATGGCTTGAAGAGCGGCCGACGTGTGCTGAAGCGCGCCTCGAGGGACCCAGTCCTCAAACACTCATGTGAGAAGAACAAACAAAAACGAGGGCCATGCTGCTTGCCGAATCGGGCATCCACAATCTCGGACCAGATGTCGAAATCACCGTAGGTCTCGTGTGCGTCATCCAAGATGAAAACCAGCCCGCTGTTATGATCGCTCTGAAGCTCGGCTTGCACCTCGTCCTTACAAAGGCCCTGCTCATAAGCCGCTTGAACCAGGTATTCCACGGCAGGCAACGAGCTACCGTTCTTTTTCCAGCCTTTCACGAAGATGACCTTGCGCGTCTGGCGAAGGAAGTCCCGGAGCAGAAGCGCGAGGGTCGTCTTGCCTGAAACAGGTGTGCCTTGTACAAAGACGACATGTTTCGTGTCAAGCTCTTGTGCGATTCCAAGCAATGTCTCAGTTCGCGCACAGATCTCAGGTCCTTTGTGTATGTCCGGCTGTGGTGCCGATGCTGGCATAGGGTGTTGTTGCTTAACTAGATTTTTAAAAGACACTTAACGGACAAGTCTCTTAATGGTTTTCTGAGTAACTTACTTTCGGTGTATTCCAGGTGCTTGCTGAGTGAGTGATGGCATTCAGTGCATAAGGCTTCCTGATCAATAGCAGACACAGAGGACTCATTGATGCCCATCTGACAGATACACATGTAGCCTTTGTGTAATCCCTGGACAGTACACTTTCCAAATAGTGTCTTGACCTTCTTCAGATCCGTTGGTATGGTTGCTGCCGAGGATGTCGGAGTAAAGACACCAGACCCTTCTGATGAGGACTTCTCCATGGCTTGGGATGACATTATTGGGTTATTCTGTAGAAGTGAGAGAGAAATTAAGATGGAAATGACTCTGCAGGGATATTGATGGGCTTCTCTGAACAAAAATGGTCAGCTTCACATCTTGGGGTGGACAGATCAATGGTTAGGAAGATTGAACCCGGAATGTTTCTCCGTGAAAGTGAGAGTTGCAGGAAATGAAGTGAGAACGAACAGATGGCTGGGTGTCATAGGAGGAAGTGAAGTTCCGGGGAAGCAATGTTAAGTAAATGCGAATGCCTGGTGGGATGCGTTGATGTGTTCATGATGACTGCTGGTCTCCGATCGCTGCAAACACACTCCGACACTGCCCACGGCGTTGAATTCTGATTACCCACCTTGCATCTCTCATATCGACAAAGATTCAGAATGTACCATACGAAAAAAGGGAACTCTCAGAAACTGTGAATGGACAGCCTCGCCCCAAGCCTCAGTGGCAGGCCCCCTCTTTCCTTTTCCTCTTCCTCTTCCTCTTCCTTTTGCTCTTCCTCCTTCTTCTACCTCTTCTGCCTCTTCCTCTTAGTCGTCTTCTGCTTCCTTTGCTTCCTCTGCTTCATCGTCTATTATTTCTTCTCCTTCTTTCTCTCTGTCTTCTTCTTTCTCATCGTCCTCTTCCATCAAGACATCAACAGCATCACAGCCTCTATCAGCAGAAAAGCCGACTTCCTGATCCAAGCTCTCACAGAGGCCAACTCAGTCCGCCAGGGATTGCAAAGATCCTCAATGACAGCGCCGCGTCATTGTACAGCCTGCTCGGAAGACTTAAGCCAAGCCAAAGTGGCACGCGCACCTTGTCGGCATGAATACTGCTCATCTTGCCTGGAACGCTACTTCCAGTCCTCTCTATCCGAGGGGGGCCGGTTCCCTCCGAGATGCTGCGGCCAGCCCTTTGACATAACCGCTGTCGGCCAACACCTCACATTTGAGACCCTCCGGCGCTACGAGAAGAAGAGGGCTGAATTCGAGACTCCGAACAAAGTATACTGCTCTCGGGGGCGGTGTTCTGCCTTCATTCCCCCATCTTGGATCGTCAACACCCGGGCAAGTTGTCCCAGCTGTGGCCACAACACTTGTGCAAGCTGCAAGGAACCGTTCCACACGGGAAACTGCCCGGCCAACACCGACTACGAACGACAGATGAGCGCCGCGAGGAGGTTCGGATGGCAAACATGTCCTCGTTGCGGGCGACTCGTGGAGCTGGATTCCGGGTGCCATCATATGATGTTAGTCAGGCCCTCTCAGAATCCCCCTTTTTCTCCGCTGCTCCGATACTGACCAGAACGTGGCCCTTTTTAGGTGCCTTTGTGGGGTCGAATTCTGCTACTTCTGTGGTCAAGTCTGGAAGACCTGCAGGTGTACCGTTCCGCTGGACCCCAGGGCTGAGGCGTATGAGCGGATCATCGAGCGCACGGGGAACATCCCCCCTGGAAGCATCGGATATATAGCCCCCGTCTTTCCGGGACGTGGTCATTTCCCCCCTCCTGCAGGTTTTCCTCCCCAGCGAGAGTTCCCCCAAGATCCCGGCCGCCCTCAGGATGGTGGGCTTTTCGGTATGTTTGCCGGCCGTCCCCGTACTCGTTCCCGCGGACCTCCAGAATCTCCCAGACTGCTCGTCGCCACTTCGCGGGGCGGTCCTCTCCCGGGAGGCCCGCCCCAGAGTCCCGGCCCTACAGGTGATGGCTTCCACTTCCCCCTCATCTCTGAGCCTTACCCCATTTAAGAATTCTTGACTAACCGGTCCTCTTGTGGTAGAGCAGCGGCCTCGACCGGCCCCATCCCATCCGTCTTCCCACCTCTGGGGCCAACCCTTTCGCAGCCACCTCGCCGTGGGCAGTATTATTAGCAGCCACCTCCGCCAGCAAGAGCTTCGCCCCGGCGAGGTTCCTCTAGGAGTGTACCAGACCGAAGCGTACCATCTGGAGCGTATCAGACAGGAGGTCCTCAAATTTCGGCGCCAACATGAGAATGACTGGAAGCTCAACGATGCTTTTTGGTGAGACTAGTTCCTCCTTCACTCACTGCACCGGGGGGGGGGTCTTCCGTTTCCTGGTGAAGCGTGCGGTGAAGGAAGGTGGGAGGAGACCATGGAGGATGCGCCATACGTCAGAATCTAATTATACCCATGTACTCAGGAGGATCTGTGTATCTGCATGACTCTGGGCATGTGCATTTGTTAGCCCGGCGAGACAGGACGGAGCTGGGTGTTGGACTTGAGTCTGGAACTCAATGTCATCTCTCTTGTGTCAATCGTCTATATTAACTTTGGCGTGATTAATGATTCTGTTGGAGCTCGATAGGGCGTTGTTAGGTAGCTTGTTCATCATTATTCTCGGGTCTTTTTGGTCATCATGTCCTGTGTAGGAAAGCAGCAGAGGGAGTACTGAAATATATATCCTCGAGTTCAAGGCTCTAAGTAGAGGTCTCGATAAACCACTTGGGCTGCGAGTCAAGAGCATGATATAGGATAACATATTCAGCAGAGAGTTCACGCCAGCTGGAAGGACTGTACTAGCTGATGCTGTGCTCAGCAATGGGTTGAATCGTTGCGAAGTTTTAGACGAGCAGAAGTGGTGGACATATCGGCAGGAATCAAGATATATGAGTTTATGTTAATTAGCTTTGACTGCTAACATCAAGTAGCAGCATCATTGGTCTAGTGGTAGAATTCATCGTTGCCATCGATGAGGCCCGTGTTCGATTCACGGATGATGCAATACGATTTCCTTTTTAGGAATCCTACATTTTTTTAGTAGCATCCGTCCCTCGAGATCACCATTCGGTCATGGACCACGAACTCGGTCTCATATGAAGTAACTTGGCATTTGTAAGTAACTTGGCCGTAGATTGTACAGCGATACAGAATTCTTGCTCAATCGCAGGACTGCTACTGAAGCGCATTCATCATCTCAATTCAACTATATACGTGGGCAAATACTCGTACGAAACTTCCAGTCTCCAACTAGTACGCCCCCTTCCGAGCCTTGTACTTGGGCTGATCCACCGACTTGACTCCCTTCAGCGCCGTCAAGACCGGAGTCTCGTAGCTCAACTCCAGTCCCTCCACCTTGGCGCCACCCTCATTCTGGGCCCACACGCTGAGTGCAATCCAGTTCGTTCCTTGGTAGTTCAGAATACCCTGGGGAACCGGGAAGCTCGTCTGGGGCCCGATGTTGCTCACATACTTACCGTACTGGTACCCGTTCACATACAGCTGCGCACGGTACGCGTCAGGAGTCGTGCTGTTGGCGAAGTTGAAGAACAGCGGCACGTCCCATCCGGTTGGCAGGTCGAGCTCGAACTCAGCACTGTAGAACCCGATGCTGGGCTTGGAAAGACCGTCGAGAGGACTGGCGGACTTCCATTTCTGGCTGGGAGGTTGGGGCTGGTGGTAGCCTTGGCGTTCAGCGTAAAGACCACCCTCGTTGAGAGGACCGCGGGTCTTATCCTGGTAGTCCTCGCCGCCGAGGTTGCCCGTCAACTTCCAGGAGATGTCGCTGGCGTCGTGGCCGGCAAGGTCATAATTGAGGATACCACGGGGCGCCTTCATGAGTTCTGAACCGACGGTCCAGTCCTCGTCCAGACCGAGGTTATCGACAACCACCGTGAAGACGTATTCCTTGCCGGACTTCAGCTTAGGAAGAGTGACGGTTTGGTTGTAGTCGGCATACACAAAGAGACCGGTGAAAGAGCCAAGGAAGGTGTCGTTGAGCCAGATGGAGCTTCCAAATGCAGTACCACCCTGAGTATCGACAGTAAAGGTGGTCTCATCTCCGCTAGCGACGAAACGACCACGGTAGACCAGGTAACCAGTGTGGAAGCCATAGTCGGATGAGTATAGCGAAGTGGGGGTGGTCAGGGGGCGGAACGTGTTCTTGGTCTCAGCAAGATCAGCGGCGGTCCAGAGAGAGTCGTCATACGAGGATTGGATCTCAGGGAGTGTGTCCAAGTACTTCCAGCTCAAGCTCTTCAAGCTCGGAAGCGAGATCTTGGGGGCGCTGTATTTGACTTCCGTCGTCCAGGCACCGTTCTTTGCGACCGTATGACTGGTCTTCTCTCCGTTGATGTAGAGGTTGCGAGTGGTAGCCGGGGCACCAAAGACTTCGATAGGGGTGGTGGCGTTGAAGTCGGCAGAGAGGTAAAGGCCGTTGCCCTTGACATAGGCAGTCCGCACGAGGTAGCCTGCCTTGACAATAATGGATGAGGCAACTGCAGCCTGGGTGCTGAACTCCGTTGAGGTACTATCTTTACCGACTTGCGGTACCCAGTAATTGTACGCAGAATTCCGATCTATTCCTAGTCAAATTTATCGCCCTTATCATGAGATATGAAGTCTTACCTAGAAGATGGACCTGCAAGTCTCCAACCTTGATAATCTGACGAGTGGAGGAGACATCCCATCCGATCACAAGAGACTTTTCAGTCTGCTTGGAGGAGATGGCAGATGCCTTGCCTTCGACAACAGTCACATTCGACTTGGTAGTGATCGCGAGCTCATGGTGCTCATCAGATCCTCCGTACAGAACGAGGACCTTGCCGTCAGAGAACTTCTTCCAGGTGAAAACCTCAGCAGTTGAGTACAAGATGTTGGTTCCGGAGACATCATAGTCGACAACGTGGATCTTAGAATCGCGTCCGTTAAGACTCAGGCTACCTCCCAGCTGAGGGATTGTCAGACTGCCAGCACTGGTTGGAACCTTCAGCTTGTAGGAGGTAGAGGCCTGACTGGTGTAGTCTGAGTGTCTGACGACAAAGAAAGAGCCAGTATTGTTGTTACCGAGCAAAGGAGTGACGGTAATGTCGGAAGTATCGGCATAGCCCGAAGTGGTCAAGCTTCCTGGAGTGGCAAGGAGGTAACCTGGCGAGGCCTTGGCAAAGTTACCAAGGAGCTTCAGCTCACTGTACTTCTCCCTGGTAAGATTGCGAGATTCGGTCAAAGGCGAGCCATAGTCGTAGGAAGTGTAGCCATTTGCATAACCTAGGTTGCCCCAGTTGGTTCCTCCAAAAGTCTTTTATCATTAGTTGGCATGCGAACTTGAGGGAAGTGTGTAGAAAGCTCACCATGTACAGGTTGAGGATAGCAACGCCGAAGCTGAAGTCGTTCTTATAGAAAACTCGTTCAAACTCGTGGTTGACGAGAGCGGCACATTTGGCAAATCCAGGACCACCCCATGGGTCAAACGCGCCGGCTTGAAACTACTACTGATTAGATCTAGACTACACCATGGCAGTACACAACATACCTCAATAATTGAGTACGGTGTCGTGGGACTCTGTTCAAGATGAAGGGTGCGGAAGTTGGTGGGCAAGTTGCCAGCGGGCCAAGTGGAAGGGTTTGCCTAAGTGATATTAGAATAGAATTGAACCCCACAGCGCAAGTACATACACAATCAAACCCAAGCCTAAGCAAGTTAGTCATAGTTTAGCACAAAAAAGGGCCTTAACTTACGGGTAGCTATCGTGGCCGTAAATATTCACTGAGCCCTCACCGGTTCCCGGGGCGTTGTGCCCACTGGCAGAGGCATCGTTGCTGATGAAAGGCACCACGATACCCGCATTACGAGCCTGGTCAAGGACATATTGCATGTAGACGGGATCAGGGAACGTGACATTGCCCGAAGAGCCAGAGTACTCGTTCTCAGGCTGGTAGAGGATGATAGGTCCGCCGTTAGTGATCTGGTACTTGGCAATGGTCGCGGCGACGTGCGCGATGTAGCTAACCACTGTCAGAAATGCTGCTGTGCAAGGGGACCAAAATGCAATTCATACTTGTCAGTAGCTTCTAGGTATGGCTTGTCACTAGAGCGAAGGATGCCATCGACTTTCTGCAGCCAGCCGGGGAAACCTCCTCCGGACACCTCGGCATTGATATACGGCCCTGGACGGGCGAGAAGGTAGATGCCGGCCTCAGCAGCGGCCTCGAAGAAGGGTTCGAGCGCGAAAACGCCGTCCGCCCTGTATTCGCCCGGCTTGCCTTCCAGAAGGGCCCAGTCGACGTAGAAGGAAACAGTATTGAAGCCGAGAGCCTTGATCTTCTGGAAGATATCGATGTACAGGGTGGGAACTGGGATTCTGTTTTCAACAAGTCAGAAATGAGACGGAAGATAAGCTGCAGAAAGACTGACCGGTATGGATGGACTTCTCCGCTGAAGATCATGATTCTCTCTCCATTGATGAAAAGAGACTTGTCATCCCATGTGACCTATTGTTCCCCTCGGTCAGTCAATGCCCAATTGTCTCGTCTCCAGCTGAGCAACGTACGTATTTCTGAGACAAATCCCGCTTCGCAGCGTCAGGATGCTCGGTGAGAGTAAAGCCATTGAAGCGATGCTTGACCGCTGCGCCAGCTGCGTGCACCGCCAGCAAGGCAGCACCACAGACTGGTAAGAACCTCATGTTGGGTTAGAGCTTGCCGCAAAAGCTGTACCGACCCAGAGCAATTGGTACTGTACTACCGCACCCAATGTGGTCCAAAACAGTATTCTTCCCCGGAAAACAGGGGGACAAGTGACGCATTTTATGCCCCCCCTTTCCTCGCCTCCGGCAACCCCTCTTGTGTAGGCTGAATACTGGCTGAGCGCAATCGTTGGGATCTTAGCCGGGCCGCGACCCTCGTTTGTGGCCGCATTGACATCATATGGCGCGAGGTAGAAGAGAGGGGAAGTGGGACTCGCATATTAAGACGAAAGGTACCCAAGACAGGCATACAGGCAATCAACGGTGGCCGACCAAGTCTAGTGAGAAGATGAAGTGATGATGGAAGAAGAGAATAGACCAACGGGGAAAGCGGCCTGACGATCCTCCACAGGGGCAGTGCCCCGTTGGGTTAGACCCGCTGGTGCTTTACTGCGGGGTTTTCTTCTCCGCATCCTCCATCTTTCCCTTCCAACTTGGAAGGTTACAATTTCTTTTTCTTCTTCCCCTCTGCACTCATCTATTTCGGGTGGTGATAAGCTGGCCGTCGTGCCTGTGTTTGGGAATACCTATGCAGGAACCAATTTTTGGCGCGTGGTACCGAGACCACCCCCTTCATAGATGTCACCACAACGGTATCGCAGCGAAGTGGTGCCTCGCCATGGCGGAAGGACCCTGGACCCCAGAACCCAATCAGTCCAAGCTTCGCGGATGGCTGGACTGTGGGGTGCCACCGGAGAGTTCTTGTTAATTTGTGGATAAATTCTACTAACCACTGACTGTCATCATTTAAGATTGATCCACACTTCCATCTTGAATCATGCCACCCCACACCTCTGTCGGGCGCCTTCCCTCGAGACAAGCATGACTTGAGAGCAGTGTGAAATTCGAAGACTGATGGAAATTTATGGAGCTTGGCTTGAACAGACCGAGTTGCCTTGAACGATTTCACGCTTCAGATCCCTCAGCCCGTGTGAAGGTCATCCTGAGCTCCGCTGCACCATGGTCGAGCTAGCAACGCATCTTCTGCGCCCGGTAATCGCATCATTTTCTCCGACATTCACCCGGGCTGCAGCAGAAACAGGACCCCTCACTCTGACATTAACCGAGAGAGTTTAAAGTCAATCTAAAGAGTAATAAAACGAAATTATCCATCAATTCGAAAAGCGGCTCACTCTGCCATTGCTGGCCCAAGCTTATACTTTGCTGTGGCAGTCGAGGATGAGGCCCACTCAATGGACCCTGAAGGCTCCACGGCCTTTTCCCCCCCGACGTGCCACTTGCTTCCACCCAGAGCGTCCACAATGTCTAGTTGTTGCCGCGAGCCCGCAAAGTGACAAGGTCCCGCACATATCGCTTCAGGTCCCTCAGTTGCAGACTTGGCTGTTGGAACGCGACCTGGATTTCCTCCAGAGACCGGCCGCGGGTTTCGGGCATATAAGCCGCCAGGAAGGCGACGGTGCCTAGCGCCAAGCCACCGAATAGCAAATACACCCCGAAGGGCGATTTGTCCAGGATGATTGGAGTGATAATTGCGACCAACCAGTTCGTGAACTAATAAGCACGCGTGTCATGAGTTACAAATTCCCGAAAGCAAGACAGAAATGGAAGCGAGGAAGTCTTACAAAAGCCAACGCTTGCGCCACGCAATTGGCGGACGCGCGCACATGGGCTGGTTGGATTTCGCTGGCGTAGATTTTGCTCATGATTGCCCAGCTGACCGAATATGCCAGTCCGAATACATAGACTGCTGTGATAACCACCCACCGCGCCGCACCGGTTTGATGTACCACCCCAGCAGCATAGAGGCCTCCGATGAGAAGCATGCATGTCGCGAGAACAAGCCCTCCCGTTATGGCCGATGTACGACGACCCCAGCGATCCGCCAGCAGGAAGGCGGGGATAGAGACGGCCAGCATTAGGATCGCGGATACTCCAGAGGCCAGAAATGAGGCGGTCGCGGAAGATAGGCCGGCCTGGGCGAACAGGGTGGGCGCGTACTGGGTTCTTGTTATTCACTTTTGTGGCTGCAAGGGAAACGCAAAGAATTGTCTCCATTGAGAAGACCGAGTACTCACATACAGAACCCCGTCTATCCCCGAAAGCTGTACCATTCCCAAAACAAATAGTCCCAACAAAGTGCGTGGTCGATACGCTCGAGAGAATAGCAGCATAAAACTCTGCCAGGGCGACAGGTTGGAGAAGTGCTCGGTAGCGGTGAAGCTGCTTTCGACTTCGTCCAAAGGAAACTGTAGACGCTGCAAGGAGCGTCGAGCCTCAGTGCGTCGGCCGTGGAGGATCAACCAGCGGGGGGACTCAGGTAGAGTAAGGCAGCTGATGACCAGGCAAGAGGAGAACACGCATTGGGCAAGCAGCGGTAGTCGCCATGCTATGCTAGAAGGAATAGCAACGGTAGCGTAGCAGGTAAAGTAGCCAGCACAGGTGCCCGTTACGGCAAAAAACTGCGGTAGTCCCGCGAGAGCGCCGCGGAATCGAAAGGGGGCAATCTCACATATGTAGACGCTCATGGGTCCGAGAAAAATCCCTTGACCGGCCCCAGCTAGTGCTCGGCCTGCCATGAAGAGCGCCAGCCGTGGTGCTATGCCCTGAAGAAGTGACCCGACTGCAAACAACGCCGCACCAAGCAAGATTATTCGCAACCGACCAGATCGGTCCGCCATATGGCCGGCTATAAGAGATGGAAGGACACCCGCCAGCATCATGAGCGCGACTGTGAATCCTAACAGAAATGGGGACAGTGGGCCTATCGATTGGCTGAACTGTGCCATGGAAAGCAACGCGCCAATCGAGCCCGTATCATAGCCGTTGGAGAAACCACCAAGGGCGATAAGGACCGAAGCGAAAACATATTTTGGAGGCAAGTGCAGTGCCATGGTGAAATAAAGAAAGATAGATGAAGAAACGGATGAGTATCTGAAATTGACAGGCTGTACAAAGCGAGGAAGATGGCGGAAGAGAGCCAGCTACCCTCTGTATTTGCTTATTGTCGATCTGTGCCCAGCTTGTATCAGATGCGGGGTTGAAGATAACATTTTTGCGTCTAATATGTCATCGATTAGGGCTGACCTACGCCTGGACCCAGACACACCTGACACTTGCTCGTCAGAATAGGTATCCCAAGAGCTGATCTTGTCTGTGCACTAGAACCATACCTTGAAATAGTCGCAGCACTGCCTGATGGGCACTGGTCGTCGAGACTGTTAAAACAGGTTGTCTTTAATCCTCTTTCTCCTCGCCTTTTTTGGCCTTGTATTCCAGTTCAGGCTGGACGAAAAGGGTATAAGCCGTCAGCGCATGATGACGTTTCCTTAGCATACGCGGTAGTAGTATTTTTGATAGGAACATGGTCCGAAAGATTATGGTATACGTTTCCTAGGAAGTCCACAGAATCCCAGGCCACAGGTCGAAGTTTTCTGTGCCGTCTATCTGAAGATCGTTTGGGTTGACAAGGTTGATATCGTAATCCGACGTGCCAAGGAAGTCCTGCATGGTGGGCTCCAGGAATGCCATTTCCGTAGTATAATTTGCGGGGGGCAACACTCCGTTATTATGACTCTCTATTTCCGGGTCTGTGACCGTAGCTTGAACCGATGGAATAGATAGCCTTGGTGCATGGCTACGGGGCTCTTGTCCCTCGCGTGCATCATCCGAATTGGCGGGCAACGCCTGCTTAACGCGTTCAAGGTTCTCATGAAATTCTGAAGCAGCGAGATTGCCTTGATCGCTCATTCGGTGTAAGATTTCGGTTGCCGTTTCCAGGGCCTCCAGGTCCGCAGGGTTCCCAATAGATGGGAGGAGCCCTGAGATCACCAGCGCGATGCATGAGGAGAACAGATACTGGGCATAGAAGTAGCCGTACATTGGCAGAGAGCCATTAACCCATTCCTCAGTGATCAAAGAATGTGAGTGCCGCGCAGCATGAATGCATGCTTCGCTGATTGTGATCACGGGCTGTGGAAGGTCTTCAGAGGGTTCTCGGTGGCCGCTTTGGAAAAGAGCGTGAAGTAGAATCGGGCGGGTGGCTAGGATCACACACTGATGCTTGTGATGAGAATCTGCATTTCATTTCAAAGAAAGGCAGATGATTACCTGATTGAATTGTAGATGCAGGGAGACAATGTGCTTGGGAGGTGCGCTGTCTTCCTGACGTAACCGTACATGTTCTGGGAGCGACTGTAGCCAATCTTGTAGAGCAAGTAGCAATTGCTGCTCTCGCTGCAGGAATGGTTCTATGTGGTGCTTCCTGCCATAAATCTTGTCTATCGTCTGCCCTATAATGCGAGACAGTCGAATGCTAGCCACTAGGTATGCAGTATCCGAGAACTGCTCCTGGGCAGTGGGATCAGCAATCTCTGCTGGCAAGTCGACATGGATGTCTTCGTCGCGGATCTGCAATGGAAACCCAATTTTCGATGTAAACATCCGATCAAACACATAAATCGCCCACCAAAGTCGTACCCGGTGTTCACGTTCTATAGCATTCGTACACTGTTGTACGGAGATATTATGGTTGAGTCCGAGAACCAGACCTAAACGCATCGCGCTGCCTATCAACATATACCCGGAATGTCTTCGGTTGAGGAAGTAGGAGTATAGAGACTAGTAGCCAGTTAGATTATCCTTCGCACAAGCAATGTAGGAGACCTCGTACCAACGACAAAAGACTCTCCACATGTATCATCCCTGGCCGCTCCGGCATGATGGGTATAAGACTCATTGCTCGAACGTAGTAGTTGGTTCCTGGGACCTTGCTGGTGGGTGATGCACTTGACCGGGAGGAATATACTTCACCCAGCGCAAAGAGCCCGAAGAACTTGCACGTTAAGGCGGGATCATCTCGCAGCGAAGGGGTCCGATAGACAGACTCCAGCTGATCGAGGGTTGATTTGCGAAGGACCAGATGATAGACACGACTCAGTTGGTTGAAAGCGATGCGGACTAGCAGACGAGCCTGAGCGAGTCCAGGCCACTGATTTGCGCCTTCGAGCAGGGAAGACTCAGGCGTATACTGGGTTCGCGCGACGTGGGCTGTCTTTGGGTTTCCTGTCAGAAATTGACGCAACCGAGTCGAGAATGCTGTGCATGCTGCTTCTCCCATGTAGATGGGAGGGGCGGATGAGTCGTATGGGTAGAACCAAGCGCGATCTCCGATGAGTGGGTTCTGTACTGTGGGGTAGGTCTCTGACGACGGCACAGGGAGTTGTACAGAGCTGGAGGGAGAGCTATGAGATGTGCTGAGCGCGCGCAGCTGCTCCTTCAATAGAGAATTTTCGGAGAGGATCTCATCGATGTAACTGACCAGGGTGGTTGATCAGAAACGAGTGATATGAGGGAAGCAAGGAAACAAGAGAAAAGGGAAGGTACCTTTCCTGAACTTTGAGCTTTCTGTCGCGAACGGCATACTGGCACGATTCCCCACATCCAGCTTGCCGACATCTTGAGCAAGGCTGTTCACCTGAGCACTTGACTTTGAGAGAGTGACAGCGATTGCAGCTGTGCCGAATGGGTCAGGTCAGACACCGTACCTGCATTCGGGAAATCAGGACATACGCTACAGATTTTTTGTTGAGTCTTTTCGGTGGATTCTTGACGACAGGCATGAATACTAGAATCGCTTCAATGACCCAGTGCGAATATTCAATTGTGAAGTTAAAACAAACGAGTTGTGGCGGATGCTGTCGGCAGGTTGATCTGTCGCCGAGAGGAGAGTCGATGACAGCGTGCCTTACTCAGCATCGGCATATCGGCAACAAACCGATCCCAGATGAGGAGTACAGTAAGCTCTGACATATGTACTCCTCGCGACATTTTATAATGAAGTCAAGGCTGCATCGAGCTCTGGTTATAATGTATCACTGTGGTACATGCCATTATAAAAATGTTCAGTAACTTTAAGCTCAACGGCAGAATAATACCAGAAATCGAGCAACGTTATAGGTGAGGTTGAATTGTCGAGCAATATGATCTAGATTTTGGTTCGGCAAGTTCAATGAACTTGCCGAGCGTTCAATGATCCAGACAATAAAACCATGAACTAAATCCAGGCAAAGTTATGCAATGATGTCTTGAGATACTAACAAGCATAGTTTGATACAATGCTTCACAAATCCCACTTCCGTGTCCGGTTTCACTTGGAAACCCCTTCCCAGACTTTCAGCATTGGGGAGACTATCAGAGGTTGTGTTTTGCTCACCAGCCATAGGAGCTCTTCTCCACCCCAATCCAATATTGCATTTGAAGGTGCCATACTCTTGATTCTGACAGGTGCCCGTCACTAACAGCTGGGCAGGCAAGGTGAATGTACAGGTGGACCTTAGCGAGAACGCAGTGCCGCTACCACAACCGACAGCATCAACTACTTTTCTGCACATGAGCCAGCCTCTTGATGATCCCTCCATACAAGCAGCAGGCGAGGCCCTTGACGCCGGAGTCGAATACTGCCTGCCATTCAAGTTTGTGGTTCCTTGCGCGCTACCACTCCAGGCCTGCCAGCATAGTTGCCGTCATGAGCAAGTACAGGAAGGACATCTCTCCCTTCCTCCAAGTCTTGGGACACTAGGCCGCCGAAAAAAGCCATTACATGGCAGGAATGATATGGCTCCTGAGACAGCAAGCATTGCTTACCATATCGCTTTCCAAATAAGCAAAAAGTCTCCCAAAGCCGGGACAACAGCCCCGATTGCCGAATGGGAGCACCCGATATACATTCGTCCGTTGCGCGTGGAACGCGCCCCAGTCCTCGTGCCAGGAGAAAGCAAATTCTATTGCCTGCGGCGAGAGGTTACAATTACCCGGGGTCTTTCCGGAGCACACCAGGGTGTTCTGTCAGCCCAAGCAGTCCAGCCCACCGCGATAGCGCCAAATGAAACCCCTTTCCGCCTGGTACCCATCGACCTACAATACAGAGCCCTCTCTGGTGCCCCTCCGCCCAAACTGTCAGCAATCAAAGTCGAACTCCAAGCGATCACTTTCTTCGGCGCCAAATCTTGGTCAGACTTTCCCGACCTGACAGATCCGGTAACCTGGGGCCGCCACCAGAACCATTATACATACCCGGTATCGTTGGCAGACATGCAGCCCGGCCCGCTGAAGTGGCAGCAGAAGAACACAGATGATGAAACCTCGCCGATCTTCAGATCCACAATCCAGGTGCCCGTGGAGCTTCCTGGTAAGTTCGACTACTCTCCAACTTTCAACCACTGCTTCATCTCCCGGGTGTATGCTTTGAAGGTTGATATATGTTATCGGGCCCCGGGTGGGTGGGGAAGAAACCGAGTGTCCTTGACTGTTCCGCTGCAGATACTATAATTTGGAGATAGAGATACCCACCACATTTGTATATTATGAAGAAATATGACCTATTAATTGATGTCTTTCCCCACCACCTCCATATGCAATTTTCTTTAAGCGCCAGTCTAGATACGCTTTGGTGTACTTAATCCACTGGACGGCTATCTACCCAATCTGAGGGATTTTAAGGCCCATGAGCTGTCCTGATCACGAAGAATAATCGATTCTCTGCTTCTGAGGCCGCTCCACAGAATAGGCTGGATTATAACCCATTTTATTCTCAAAGCAGCGTTCACCGAGCGCACAATGACGCTCCCGATACCTGCTTACCACGAACAAAAATGAGTCTAAGTTCGGATTGATGCTCCCGCTTGTATTATACCGACCCCCAAGACGACATCACAACCCAATTGAAGACCACCTCCCACAACCCCTTAAAGCCAAGGCTTTATTCGGTATAACAAGGCGTCCGATCCAGCGCCGTGAACGCACTGATACACTCGTACTTGCCCCCAGCATTGCAGGCCGTGCCAGCCGTGCCATCCGCGTTGCTGACCCCATCCGCGCGATGAGCGTTGGCGCAGATGGCCGCGCAGTCCAACTCCCCGGCGCTCGCGTCCTAGACATCCCGAGTTGGGTTAGCGATACACTCTCATCACTGTGTTCCGAATTGAAGTGGCAGGTTGCTCGGGGGGTTAGGATCTCACCGAGTACACGCAGCAGTGCTCGCTGTTGGCGAATTCGCATTGGCAGTAGGTGCATGCCTGGGTGGTGGAGGCGAGGGCGCCAAGGAGGAGGAGGCCGAAGGTGATGAGCTGGACCATTGTGACTGTTTGTGATGTCGGTGGAGAGTGAGAGCTAGGTTGTAAGAGGTGAGTTGCTTTGAGCTGATGGAATTTGAGGAATGCTGGTGAGGAAAGACGAGAACAGGGGCACTGTGTCTCCTTTTATCTTGTAGTTCGAGCTGAGCAGCTGGTAAAGGTCGGGTGCGTACTATCCGTTCCTCAACTTGAAGCATTGGGCAACAGACTGTACAGTACACCACTGCTCTACCTCCGATGCCCTTGAAGACATGTCTTCTCGTCCAATGATCCGTTCTCGAGGACGGTCTCCGCGATTGGGATGGCTGTATCATGGGTGTGCAGCTATACCGATCTTCCCAAAACGGTGATCTACGCGGCCTACGGAGCCATCGGTCCATATCAACAGGATCGCTCTGGCTGATAGTGCAAGCTCCGATGTGAGTTTGCGTGGGAGCTTGTGAACATGATCGACACGATCCTATTCAATTTGGGCTCGGCACACTCTAAATAACTTTGGCTTTTGACGCTAAGCTGAGACTAGCGCTGGCGCTGACTTAAGGAGGGCAGTTTCTAGTCCCGCATGATACTATATGCTTCAGGTTTCAGCGACATTGTTCCGTTGGAGTGAGACAATTAATCTATTGGGCGATCCTTCTGTATCTGTGGGTGTAGCCTGTGCCGCGTAGTCCGTCGGGCACTTTTTGCGGTCAGGCATGAACCATATGTATGGTCTGACGTCTCGGGGATAAGGCTTAGCCAAAGTTTGGCTCGAGTACACAATCTGTGGTTCTTGCAGCTCGTTTGCTGCTTAGAAGTTGGTTATTATCTCTCATGTCAATGGTGCGGCAAAATCCTGTTCTGGGGATTGATTGGGAAAGATGGAAGGTCTATTAAAATAATACACTCAATGATCGATAGAACATAGTTATATGCTGTGAGTATCTGATTATATAATACAGGCGATTAAGAAAAAACCTATCTACAGTAGATGACTGACATGGCGTGAGATACAAATGAGACTCTGTGAGTCACCAAAATGGGCTTGTACTAGAGCAAGCAGACTCCAGACTAAGCCGAAGACGCTTCACTCACTTAGCAAGACGCAACAGAGGGATAGTTCTTGCAAGCACTGGACTTCTTGCCGCCGGTGACCTTGACATCGGTCCAGGTCCAATCCTTGCAGCTACCGCTGCCACACAGGAGGTAGACCTCCGTGGCACCGCTGGCAACACTACCGGTCACACCATCCAGAGTGATATCGGTGACCGACACACCGTTGGTAGGCTTACCAGTAGGCTTGCCATCCTCGTAGTCCTGCTGGATGACCACTCCGTAGTCGGTGATGCCGGACATGACAATGTTAGTGTATTTGACGTCGGAAACAGAGCCGGTGGCGCCGGAGATGGTCTTGATGCGGACGGCATTCTCGGAGTTGGACACGGTGGAGTGCTCGATCGTGACGTTCTTGACGGTGTTGTCGGAACGACCACCCACGGAGCCGATAGAGAGGCCGTGGCCACCGATGCAAGTTCCGCCGGTGAAGTAGATGTTCTAAGCAGTAGACCATGGGTTAGTATCAGAGCGGGGCTGGAGAAAGGGGCTGACATACTTCGCCAGAGTTGATTGCGAGACAGTCGTCCTGATTGTGAACCCAGGGCTTGATGATGTTCACGCCAACCGAATTGCCCACGTCGAATGCGTCGGTGTTGTGACCACCGAGGCTGTCGCCATCAGCATTGTTGATGGTGATATCGGTGAGGGTGAGATCGTTTGCCTCGATACTGAAGGCCATGAGAGGGGTGTTCTTGATCTCGAGTCCAGTGATGGAAGAGGAGTCGAGCCCGTGGGCATAGAAGAACTTGGGCTTGGTCTTTCCGCTGGTTCCCTTGCCATCCCACCAGCGGGAGCCATCGCAGTTGATGAGATGGCCGGAGGCTCCGGTGACGGTGATGTCCGTGCCACTCATGGAGATCAGGGGGCCTGCCCATTCCTCATAGCCAAAAGTGGTGGTGCCCTCGAAGGTTACATGGGTGCCGCTCTTGAGGCCAGTCAAGTCCAGCGTGGTCCCTGCAGGAACAGCAATATTGTCGAGGACGATAGTCGAGCAGCCGGCCTTACCCGCCTTAGCCGCAGCAGCCGTGGTAAAAACGCAACTGCCGCGAGCCTCGATAGGGGAAGCGGACACAAGCGTAGCCCCAGCAGCCAGGCTGTAGGCCATAAGAGAAGAGAAGGAAGGCATGGTGGTTTAAGGAAAGTGGTTCTATAGAGAAAGAAGACGAAAGAAACAAAAGTGGTAGAGAGTGATTGAGAGAAGGAATGAATGATCAAGGACTGTTCATCAGAATCGAGCACCATGTTGATGTCTTAAATAGTCCTGCTGTGTGAGCCTACTACAGCACTGCTCAACAGTGTGTACCCCTTTTTGTCAACTGCAAACACCTCTCATTCTGAGGGCTCACTCTACCTGAAGTCCAGGCTAAGCTTTAACGGCATAGCTAAACCTCCCTGCAATCACTTGACCCTGATATCGATTGCAATGCAGACCATTATAGGGGTTTTCTTCGGCACACAGTACAGCCACGAACCGCTTGCCTTACCTGTAGTGGTCCAATGGCTTGCGTTTCAGGGTCTCGATGGCGCCTTCGGCTCGCCTGCAGATTCCCTGGTCTTGGGTCTGTTCAACTTGGTGGGGCCTAGTCAGGGTTCCAGTCGCAGTCCACTCACTGACCACTGATTAAGCAATTTTACAAGCTTCGGCCTAGCGCTCTTGGTAAAAGCTCGGCTATTTCAATCTGGCCTTGTCGCTTATGGTGCACATACTAGCCGGTGACAGTGGGAGTTTACTCCTTTTCCCTTTACAAAACACAGGCACCAATTACCGCTTGACTAGGTGACTTATTAAGAAACGACGTGTTTGGGGCTCTTTTCACATTTCTCTTTCGTTGATCGGACCATTTTGCACCTTTAGTTAGGGCCAACCTGCTGCTGACCAGCTGATCTCATATTTGTCCCAAGTAGAAGTGACCTGTACATACAGTACCGTACAGTCCCAGTCCCTGAAAATCATTGCAGGGTGAAATGTGGTCAAGCCTCGGTCTAGGTTGGGTCTTTGAAGAATCAATCTGGAACCCACCAGTGGCAGCCGCTAACCGCATCCAGTTAGTCAGGGAAGCACGCGGAAGCCGCTCGTCACGCCCGACCGCTTAGATAATCTCTCCATTGGCTCACACGTTCATGAGGTAGGAAGAAAGAAAGAAAGAAGAATCCCATGAGATGATAATCCAGTCAATCAAGTTTCCCCGTCTCCAAAACCATGGGAGAATCTCCTCGGGTGAAGGAAGCCTTTGCGGCTGCCACCAGGTTTCTGGATCCTGTTCTCCAAAGAGGCACGCAGACCTGACCGTCCTTTCGTGCCGTTGATGTCGAGGCTAACCTAGTCTGAAGAGGAAATCCAGAAGCATCGCGGAAAGTCCCTCCTGGACATTCTGCTAGGCAACAACAGCTCTGAGACATGTGGGGAAGACGTGTCGAAGCGAAGGACTGTTATTGGCAAGGCCTTGAAGATCCTGAACTTCGTTCATACCGCCTTTGTGACACCACTGAGTGATGCCGATAACGAGGCCCTTCGTCAGAGCTCGGCAGAAGCAGAGGATGCTGCACTCGAAGATGCCAAGCGACGGCGGCTCCTCCATGCCCTGCTGGATTTGATCTCTCTAGAGGGTATTTATCCCTCGCTCTCACAGGGAGTTGCGATCCCGCTTCAGAAAAGAGTCATATCGGTCTTGCCCGCAGGCGTCATCGCCCAGCAAGACCAAGCTCCTGCCCACGAGAGGCCGCAGGACGAAACCATTCTCGAGCAGATCATAATAGCACTTACAGATATAGTATTTGACCCACGACCGAGTATTCAGCCTGTAGTCCGTGGTCGTATATTAAGTGATATGATCAGCGGGCTTTCGGATCTAGGTTACAATTCGACAGGGTTGACTGATGACAAAAGGCTACATTATCGTCATGGCCTTACCAAGCTGATCGAAGAGTAAGCTGCCGCCAGGAGCGTATATCTTCATCTACTAAGCCTCGGCAGAACTCCCAGCACGGTAGTCCTTTCTACCCTCTCGCCGTATCTTCAATCGGAGCCAGCACCATGGTTCAAATTAGTTGTCTCTGGTTTCTTATCTCGAATACCCCTCCGGCCAGACGGGGTATTGCAGACCATGATGTTTCTAGCTTCTCAGCTCGCACCCTCCCTCGGGGTCGAGTCGCAGACTCAAGTGTCCAATGGTCCTCATTTCACCGTACAGGCAATCATGCAAACATCCCGTCTACTATCATCTGTACCACAAGGAATGGAGGCGGATGAGTACTTTACTAAGATTGCTCCACAGCTGTTGAACTTGATAGATGGCGAAGATCCGGATCTGCGGAAGACCGCAGCATACGTCGTTGGTAATGGTATCTTATCGAAGCGATTGTACGGGTCTCGTGGAATGATAGGCCACTCTATCTTCTTAGTACCTATCTTTGAGGCGCTCACCGCCAGCCTCAGCTCATCTTCGAGACTATGGCTGACTCGTGAAGACGAGTCTAACGAATCATCAGGACAGGTTCTGGTGGATGAGGCAGTATTAATGCTGGCAATTGACAGGCTGACCAGCCTAGTCCTCCAGCCTCCCAATCCAGGCCTCGTCAAGAGAATCGTCCATCCAGTCCTTCTTCCCCTCTGGGGAATGGCTTGCTATGCATTGGAACATCAGGAGACCGGGCTGCACGAGAAGGTGCTGACTATCTTGCAAGCATACTTTGGTCTGTCAGGCGGACTAGAGCCATTGAAGAAGCTAGTCGATAATTTGCTCTGGGATGGGGGTTCTGCCTGGACCTACGGCATACAACCTGAAAAGTCTGTATCGCTGGTCAAGCGTGATCCGGCAGAAACAAGCCGTAATATTATCCGTCTCGTGGACAATATGCAGTTGCGGGCGAAGCTGTTCCTAAGTGTCCTAGGTGCCGATTCTAATAGCGAGGAAAGGACGGGCGATATCTTCCTCTATGTCAGCGAGCGTTGGCTTGTGAACCCCTCCAACGAATCAGCAACTCTTACCAACATGAGACTTACACCGGAGGACGAAGACCCCTCCGATTTAGTTCACAAGCTGGTTAGTGCTAAGCTGGCTGAAACCCTACTCGATAATTTCAAGGATACACTCTCTCGTCGTCCTCTTAGGGTGCTCGAACTCATCAAACAAATCATCGACGGCGAGCTCCACAGAGCATATACTCGAAAGAAAAAGAGAACCGATCTGACATCCGGGAAAATGTCCCTTTCGTCTCTAGCCAGCATTGTCAACACCGAAGAAGCCGGACAAGAAGCAGACCCGCAATCGGACTCGACTGAATCCTTGCCCGCCGTATTCAGTCTGTTGTCAACAGTCCTCGCATCCCCCGAATTCACCACCTCCCCAGGAACAGTGCCAGTGCTCGAAAGCATCAAATCCAAACTTGACGAACTCATCCCCTACCTCCCTGGCTCGCTATCCAAGGCCGGCACAACCGCCGCCATGCTCGCCGAGATCCAACTCAGCGAGCAGTCCAGCGACAGCTCCAGTACCGCGAAAACCTCCTCCGAGATCTCGGACTTCGAAACCCACCGCCGCGCACTCACCAACCTCAACTCCGACCTCGCCCCCATCCAAGCCGAGGGCTTCTCCCTCCTCTCCACCCTGATCAAGAAATCCTCCCCGGTCCTCGACATCCCATCCACGCTCACCCTCCTCCTCTCCATCATCACCGACCCCTCAGACGAACCGCTCACGAACGACGAATTCGTCTACCTGAACGCCATCAATCTCATTGGCACCCTCGCCGCCCGCCACCCACGCACCGTCCTCAAAAACCTGGTCGACCGCTACATCGACCGCCCCGAAGCCAGCGGCGGGCACGTCGACCAGCGCCTGAAAATCGGCGAGGCCCTCCTGCGCACCGTCCAGGACCTCGGCGAGGCCCTCACGGGCGAGCCCGCCCGCCTCCTCGGCGAAGGGATGATCACCGTCGCCGGCCGCCGCGCCCACAAGCCCGAGGCCCAGAAGGCCCGTCGCGACCGCCTCGCCGCGGACCAACGCAAGAAGGAGCGCGAGGTCCGCAAAACAGAGCGCGAAGCGAAGGAGATCATCATGCCCTCCGGCTGGTCCCTGGGACCGTCACCACAAAACACCACCGACACCAACACTAACACCCTCGACGACGAAGACACCGCCGACGACGAAGCAAACCCCACCCCCGAACAACTAGCACACTACGAAAACATCATCGCCGCCTGGGCCGCGGGCTCGCAATCCGACGCCGAACCGGACGATCTGCGCGTGCGCGCGTCGGCCCTCTCCATCCTCGCCACCGCCATCCGTACCAACATCCTCGGCCTGGGCGTCTCGACCGTCGGCGCCGCGGTAGACCTCGCGCTGGCTACGTTGACGATGGAGCCCGAGCCCGAGAGCGCGATCCTGCGCCGCGCCAGCGTCGTGCTCCTGTCGGATGTGCTGAAGGCAATGGACACCGTGCGCGAGGAGAAAGGCGCCGACGCGTTAGGGTTCGGGTTCTCGTTGGCCGAGCAGGGTGCTACGGGTGAGATGGGGGGAAGCTCGACCGTGATTGGGAATATCCCGCGGATGCTGCGGACCCTGATGTTTGTGGAGAGCGGGGAGACGGATCCTATTGTGCGGGGCCATGTGCGCGTCGTGATTGAGAGTCTGGAGGCGTGGTTGGAGAAGGCTTTGCTATGGGGGATTGGGGCGGCGTCGTCGTCGTCGAGGAGTGCTGGGGATGATAATGGGGGTCCAAGGTTGGAGTTGGGAGATCGGATTGCGGGGCTGAGGATTGATCCTTTGGCTGGAACTAGAGAGGCGAGTCTAAGGCCGAGGATTGAGGAGATTGAGTAGGAGATGCGATCTTTTGCTATGGGTTGTGCTGTTTGGGTTGAAGTTGGGTTCGATTCCATTTAACAGCTTGTGTCCTGGATCCTGGACCTTTCGAGGCTTTGTTACCATTTATTTATATGTTCTCGAACTCAAAAAGTCAATCGAAGAGATATCAATGAAATGCACAAGAGTCCGATGAGAATTGATTGCCTCATAAAAGCAAAATGTAGTCAGTATTTGTTTGTCCAGTGACAAGGATTGTTTTCATGTTACACACGAAACGACAAAGTGAAAATGAAGAGCTGTCCCGTCGACCCCAGCTACCGAGTCAAACACATCACACCATAGAAATCATTGAGGAATCACTAAGAGCAGAAGCCTCCCTCCCAGTACGCCTTCCTTTGCACGACACCCAATACTGAGAGACAATAAGCATCACAAATGAAATTGTCCTTGGTTCAACCCACGGTCAGGGTGAACAAAAAGTCGTGTGTTTCAGTGCTGAAATCCGCGGCCACCACCACCACCACCACGCCCACGCCCACGCCCACCCCGGCCGCCGCCGCCGCCACGAAATCTGCCGCCGCCGCCGCCGCCGCCTCGCCCAAAGCCCCCACGACGTGGGCCTCGATCCCGTGGTCTGAACTCACTGGGTCGAGGGCCTGCGGCCATGCGAGCTTGGCGTTCCTCGTCACTCATATGGAACTTGTTTTCGATCCCTATCAGCTCGCAGAACTGCGCAGTTTGCGGGTTAGTGTACTCAATAGGCTGTTCCTCCGTGTTAAGCGGGACAGATGGATCGTAGACTGGGGCGGTTAGGGTGAAGTTCTCCGGGACGTCCAGCTTTCCAGTCTGAACCACGTGTTCGTCCACCCATTTCTCCTCCTCCTCGATCAGCGGCTTATATACCTGATCTCCCTTGTCAGCCGGGGGCTTCGCGGCGGGGTCTCCGAGTTGAAGGTCGTCGGCGAAGACACGGGTAATTGCTAGCCATTCTTTGTCGTACTGCAAACGGTAAGGGCGTTCGGCACTGATGCCTTCTTGGTCGGAGATAGCTTCGATCTCAAGCAGCTGTAAGAAGTGGCGTTGAGGAAGGCATTTGTCAAGTGCCAGGAAGTTGGTGATCTTGTTGACAATTGCATCAGGCAACGGTCCGTTCAACGGGTAAGGATCGGGCTGGGGGCGGGCGAAGCTGGCAGGAAGTTGGTTGCGAAGATCTTCAGGAATGTCAGTTCCACTAGCCGGCAAGGCCAGGTCAGCCTGTGTAGTAATCTTCGAGACATCGCTGGGGACCGCTTCGTTTGCAGAGGGCTCGTTGGTCCGTCCAGTCACAGGAGTAGAGACTTTGTGAGGAGTCGTTTCCGCATCGGAGTCACTGTCCAGGTCGAGATCGATCTCGTCGGAGTTTTTCACGGCTTCGGGTTTGTGTTCGGTCTTCAGCTTCTTGTTGGCGCTATCGCGTTCGATGCCAGTGTAGAGGCGGCCGGATCCGTCCTCGCCCGTTTCGATTCTTTTCCATGTCAGATCGTGCGAAACGCTCGGTTTTAGAACTGCATACTGAAGGGATTGATCTGCCAGAAATCGAGAGTTTTCAGCCGCCTCAGCTTCAGCAGCCACGGTGTGGAAATTATTCCATGCTGAAATCTTACTCTGGTCATCACTGGGCTCATTGGGGGTTTCCTTCTCAGATGGGGCCCCATCTCCTTTGTCGACAGCCGAGGGTTGGCTTGCTGTTTCTGCGGTCTCGTGGTTGTCTGAAGGCTCTTGTTCCGCGGCAGGTCGAGCTGGGAGAGTACGCCCGGCCTCGGGATTATCATCGGGAAGCGCAAGAGCCGTGAGGATAGCACCGTCCAAGCCGAATTGGTGAGAAGCATTCGGGGCGGGAAGAGGATCGGGTAGAGGAGCTTCAGCTTTCCTTTTAGCAGCCGGGTGTTCAGGTGTAACATACTCTCCATGAGCGACTATGGCGGCGAACTTCACATGCAAGTGGGCAGAGAACCAATGGGCCGGACGTAGACGGTCAAGGACGTACTTGGCCGCAGGGTTGCCCAGTTTACCACTTTGGGAGTCTTCACGGAAGCCTCTCTTTGTGTTGAAGAGATACTCGGAATCTCCGCACAGTTCAATCTGCTTGGGCCAATCGTGAGACAAGCCCAGGTCAACCTGGGTACGAATCTGAAGTAGCTTCCGAACATCAAGCTCTCTCACGTGGTAGATGCCTGAAACATCGTCTCGATTATAAGGCAATCTCTCCGAATGCGGCTTTCTGTAGTCGTAGCCCTTCCAGATACCAGACATGCCGGCGATGCGGAGGGGGCCGAACCGAAGGACGTTCGCTGCACCCAAGTAGTAAATATTCGGGGCAACCCATCCTCCGTAGTGAAGTTCGAAGAGATGATTGCCAGCCTCATGGTTACCTCCGATGAAGATAGTCAGATAGGGTGCGGTGCGTTTTCCACTGTAGTATTCGTGAAAGTCGCCCAACTCCCTGTACTTCTGAGGCACAGACATGCAGGCAAGATCATTGGCATTGCGGACGGCCTGGAGATTCAGTTGAGGAAAGGGTTGTTACTGAGAACAAGCGAGGCGATCGCGGAAGACTCACCTGGAAATCGCCACCTATGATGACCAAGTCAACGCCATCCCATCCTTTCAGGGTGGCAGCGTTCTCAACTGATGCATATATGTCATTGAGACAGCCATGTCCCTGCGAGAAGGGTGTTTATTATTATTGCAGCCTTGAAAGGTACAGCGCGGGCCAAGCAATAGGACACTTACACAGCCTTCGAAAGCGACCCTGACGGAAGCCTGACTAGAGGTTTGTTGGGCCTCCATCGCGACTGGAGAATGGCCTACTTATGGGCCTACTTATGGCCAAGTAGCCAAGTAGATCTGGGGCAGGCGGAAGAGAAGCGAAGAATCCAGCAAGCGAACACCCGCAGTTTGTTGTCAGAAAGAATTTTTGAAGACTTGATCTTCTTCCAAGTAAGATTGAGGAAGATAAGTAGCTAGGGAGTGAGAGACCGGAGTCGAGAAGGTGAAAGAAAATACAAAACAAAGAAAGTGAGTGGGCGAGCACGAGAAGTGAGGGAGAGCAAAGAAAGTAGGTAAAAGAGGTGGAAGTACCAAAGAAGTAACACAACCAACGGACTGACTGTTTCGGGTATTTGATTTGCTTGCTTTGCATCCGCCAATTCCTCTTCTTTTTCTTGGGGGGAGCATTTCAACCAGTTCAGGTTCCCAATTCACAACCTACCCTCTATCAATTCGCCCTTTTCCACTCAACTGAATTCGTATTTGTTGTTCATTGCTTAGGCAACATCTTGCCAAACAAAAATATGCCACTCAGCGACCATGCACCTAGGCTGGAATATCTGAAGAGCTCAGCAAGCTTTTTAGAGGCCGCAAGCCCATCGACCGCGGCCCATCTGATGTCCGTTCACAATAACATCATTCGCGACGAGTTCAAGCCCTTAAATCAGCGACACCAAGAATTTGCATGTGGAGCATGTGGGAGTCTTCGAAACTCCAAGTCGACCAGGACTATTCAGGTTTCTAAGAGGAGAAAGAAGCTTGCAGGCTTGAGTGCTGAGGGGGCTACGGTTCTAATCTGTCTTCGCTGCCGTCGACGCACCGTCAAACCCTCTAGAAAAGAATCGATTCGCTCCAATACTCCAGTCGTTCCGGTGACTACGGTCCCGAATGCAATTGCGGCTCAATCCTCAACGTCTACGAGGCCTTTGCCCGGGCAGCCAGTCCTGGCACCCGCGGATCAAGATAAGGCCGTTAAATCCGCGGAAAATGCCAGTAGCAAGAAAAGAGCCAAGTCTCGCAAGCAAGGTGGTCTGCAGGCACTAATGGCCTCGAAGCAACAATCTCGCCCAGCCTCGTCTCTCGATCTCTTTGATTTCTTGCAGCAGTGAAAATCACATGATTACCGTATATCACGTGATGGACACGGAAAATCGGGGGCGATCTCCGGAACACTTTGGGGCTAGCGCGGGGTTTCCTCGGCTTGTCGGTTGGTTCCAAGTGGTTCCCCTCGTAACTTACCTTAACTTATCGGCTGGCTGGAAGCTCCAAACAGAAGCCGCTGCTTTTGACCTCCTCCAGCTGCTTCCTTTGTCCCTCTTGCTTTCTTGCCGATTTTGTCCGCACCTTAGCTTGGCTACAACCTGTCCTCATATAGCCTGCCTTCTCGATCGTCGGTCGCTCCCCGCCTTGCCACCGCAATGTCGACTTACTCTCATGATGATGATGACGAGCACGATCCTCAAGCTGATGAGCTCCGGGAGACCGCTCTGGTCACGCTGGAAACGCTTATCAGTGCCTGCGGTCCTCAAATGCAGCCCTACATGCCTTACGCTATCAACGCCGCCCTACGCTACCTCAAATACGACCCCAATGTGGCAGAAATGGAAGATGAGGAAATGAGTGGCACTCAGGACGACGGCTCCGACGATGACGTAACGGAGGACCCTGATCTGGATGACGATGAGTTTGAAGACTTTGAGGAGGAAGGAGGATACAGTGACATTGATGATATGAGTTGGAAAGTCCGCCGATGTGCTGCCAAGTTGCTGTACAGCGTTATCTCGACCTACGGCCATAGCCGCGCGCTCGATGAGGCTTCCTTGTATCAACAGATCTCCCCCGCTCTTATCGCTCGATTCAACAAGGAGAGAGAGGAAAGTGTGAAGCTGGAAGTCGTTTCTACTATGACTGCGCTCATCCGAAAGTCTGGTGAAGGCTCCATGATCATAACCTCCAATGGCTTCCTTGAGGCTGTGGGTGGCTCGAAAAACTCTAGGAAGCGCAGACGCCAGGATAGCGATGCAAGCATGATTGACTTTGAGCCAGGCATTGGCACCTCTTCCGCTGCCAGCACACCTGTTATTACTCCGGCTTCCCCTAAGTCTGGTGCGCAGGCAGAATTGGCTCGCTCCGTACCTACGATTGTGCAGAGCGTTGTCAAGATGTGGAAACAAGCTTCCGTGCCTCTGAAGCAAGCGATTATCGCCTTACTCAGAAGCTTAGCACTGGTTCGCTACGGCGGCTTGACTGATCACCTTCAACAGATCGAAGATCCTATAGCTGATGTCCTCAAATCTTCCGGTTCTAGCAGCTCCTCTGCTTCGCTTGGGGCCTCTGCGAGTACCGGTACTCTTCAGACTGAAACCCTCGGTCTCATCTCCGCCATCGCCGAAACACACACGTCGGGTGCTCTTCTGCCTTTCTTGATCGCCCTGATTCCTGGTGTTATTGGCGCTGTGAATGATCGCAACTACAAAGTCAGCAGTGAGGCACTGGGTGCCGTTGAACAGATTGTAAAAGCACTTACGCCTCCTCGAGTTGCTAGCACAACCCAGGACCTCGCAACTCAGCTGGAAAGATTGTACGATGTTGTTCTTGCGCGCATCACTGACACCAGCGCTGATCTCGAGGTTCGGCAACGTGCAATTCACGTCTTTGGCGTGCTCCTGGCGCGCACTTCCGGCGACAATGGTTCGACATTTATCTCCCTCGACCGTCGTTCGAGAGGCCTCACAGTCTTGGTTGATCGTCTTCGAAATGAAACCACACGCCTTGCAGCAGTTCGGGCAGTCGATGATGTTGCTATTCTCTGCACTCGTGAGACAGATGTTACTGCATCGTGGGTCGCCGAAGTCACAGCAGAGCTTGGAGCGCAGCTGCGGAAGTCAGATCGCGTTCTCCGGGGAGCCAGTCTGGAGGCTCTGCGCAGCCTTGCCATGAATCCTAACACAAAGGGCCATTATGATTCTAGCACCATGAAGGAGCTGGAGGACTGTCTTCTGCCCCTAATAAGTGCTGAGGATTTCCATTTCCTCGCTCCCTCACTTATCATCCTCGGAAAACTTATACCTGGCAACGCCGAGCTATTGGTCAACGACAATCTGGTTTCTGCACTCTGTTCCGTTGTCCTATCGCCCCTAGTCGGGACAGTACTTAAGGCCATGCTTCTGGTGGTGAAAGTCATCGGCGAGGCAGGTGCAGGAGCGGCATTGATGAAGAAACTTCTGCGGGATGTTGGCATTAACGGTGACACCTCTGTTGTCGGGCGAGCGATTGGGACGCTTCTCGTACATGGCGGGCCTAACTTGGGTGTCAAGATGGAGGACTTCATGACCGAATTGGATACCGCACCGGACGCTCAGCGAAAATGCCTTGCGCTCGCGATCTTGGGCGAAATTGGTCTTCGAATGGGCGGTAGCTGTTCGCTGACTCCAGAACTTTTCATTGACCACTTCAATTCCAAATCAGACAAGGTTCGTTTGGCTGCGGCTGCAGCTCTGGGAAATGCGGCGGCGGGCAATGTGAAGGCATACCTGCCTACCATCCTGGGTGGGTTGAAAAAGAGCGATCCGCAGAGCTACTTGTTGCTTCATTCGGTGAAAGAATTGTTACAGCATCCTGAAATCGTCAGACCTGACCTAGCTCCTTCCGCAGCCAAGCTTTGGCAGGCCCTGCTGGTGGTCTCCGAGCTGGAAGACAACCGTGCTGTTGGCGCGGAATGTGTTGGTCGCCTGGCCCTTATCGATCCCAGTGCCTACATCCCCCTATTCCAGGTAATCTTCCGTCCCAAAACCTTCACCCATAAGATCCCAGCGGGGGCAGGATCTAACAACGCACATAGGATCATTTCTCCAACTCGGACGCCAGTATCCGTGGTGTTGTCATCTCTGCCTTCCGTTACACTCTCTCCGACTCCCGAGACACCTACAACGATGTCCTCCGACCCACCATTGTCCCTCTTCTCGTCAACATGCTCAGTGACCCAGACCTGGGCAACCATCGTCTCGCTCTGACCACGCTGAACTCCGCTATTCACAACAAGATGGACATTCTCCTTCCCCACCTCAACGAACTCCTCCCGGCCGTCTTCGAGGACGCCAAGCTCAAACCTGAACTCATCCGCGAAGTACAAATGGGCCCCTTCAAACACCGCGTCGACGACGGCCTAGAACTCCGCAAGGTAAGCCGCACACAATTTCCTTCACACCCCTCTCTCTCTCCCCACTCTACCCTCTCCTACGAACCAGACCCAAATTGACAGCTCTTCCCTTGAAAAGTCCGCCTATGAGACGCTATACGCTTCCCTCGACACATCCTTCACACTCCACCACATCGGCGAATTCTTCGACCGCATCCTCGCCGGCATCGACGACGAGCAGGACATCCGCACCATCTCCAACCTGATAACCTCGAAGCTCATCCACACTGCGCCCGAGGAGACCCAGCGCCGCCTCGACGCCCTCTCGGAGCGCTACACCGCCATCCTGTCCTTCAAGCCCAAGGAGAACGCCGTCAAGCAGGAGCTCGAGAAGGCGCAGGAGGCCTCGCTGGGCGTGCTCAAGATCAGCCGCGAGTTGAGCAACGCCTTCCCCGGCGCCGAGGTCGCGGGAGACCACCACAAGTGGAAGGCCTATGTGGAGTGGACCCGGAAGACCTTCACCGCCCAGATGAAGACCCTCGAGGCAGAAGCGTAGTGTCCGTCGTTCCTGGCCTCGACCGCTCGATCTTAACGTGGAATGGCTTACTAATGCCGGCCGACAAAAGGCCTGGAAATACCTTCGCAGCTTTTAGATCGCATAAGCAGAATCATAATCACAAATTACAAGGTGCACATCATCTAGACCAGACGTATACGATTGACACTAGTCTGCAAGTGGTCAATTCCTAATTTAAAGACATTAGCTACATAGGTCTTGTAAACTACAGAGGAAGAGCTTTCCTTCCGTGTCCATGCAGTGAGGTGAGAGAGAGTAATTAGAATTGTATTAGAACAAGTACCAACGAAATGCAATGCACAACAGAAGCCCGGGGGTAGTCCGCTCGAAAGTCAAATGCTCAAGTCACACAACTCCTCGTATGCAAGCCTTTTGGGTCAAACAAAAATAGAGTGTGACGCCATCCATCCAACATGAAGATCGACACTGAGTAAAAAAAAAATGTGTACACGAAATAAAGTAGCAAAGCAACCCACCTTCAAGGGCCATCAAACTCCGTATCCTGCAAAATTAATGTCGCCTGTCTCATGCCGTGATCGCCTTCTTCCGGAGCACACCAAGCTTTTCGAGTTTGGCCCAGGCCCGGTCCATGTCAGAACCGTCTTCAAGAGACGGCCGTAGTTTTAATCCATCAAGGATCTTGATGGACCCTCCACTGGCTGCATAAAGCATTAGTTCGAAGATACTGCGCCGCAATCGTGTTGACTCGTCCAAGTGAGACAGGTGCTTCTGGTCTGCCACCGGATCCGCTAATGGAAGGGTATAGGGATCATGGATTTCGAGTTCTTTTATGGCATCCGTGTTATCATCTTCCCTCACAGCAACCGATGAATTCAGGTCGAAATCCTCTAATTCGGCTAGAGCCGATGGGATGTCTAAGCTGGCATTGCGCTGGGGCCGGTCCTCCCTGACAAGCTTTTTTGTGTTGGCTGTGCCGCTTTTGATGACTGCAGTTGGATAGAAACGGAGCGTAAGCGGGTTTCCTCGGGTATCAATTTTCTGGAGAGAGCAGAGTCTCCCTTTGTTAGTACGTCCGATGCGACCCAGGACTTGACAGAGACGCCTGAGTCTGGTAATCTTGTTGCCAGCAATCGTCAGTCTGGAGAGACATTTCATGCCCACCAATTCGTTGATTTCCTTGAGTGAGTTAAAGTTCATGTTCAAGACCACCACATTGGGAAAGCTCGATGCGAAATCTTCTGGAAGGTCTTGTAAGCTGCATGAAGCAATATCCAGGAGCTGCAGGCTCAGAAGCGCGTTGGATGGCACAAGACAGCGCGGTGCCAGCCTATTAGAGGAAAGAAATACTTTGCGTATGTCTTGCGCCAAGCCCAAGTCAATATCAAATAGACCGTCACTGCTACCACTCATCTGCTCTCGAGCAGACAGGACTTCCAATGAGTGACATGTAGCGAGCCCGGAAATCGTACTCAAAAAGTTCTGGTCCGCGTAAAGGAGTGTCAACGACGGGAACATCGAGATGTCAAGGCTGCGCAATACATTATTCGAGATTTTGAGCGACAGTAGGTTGAAAAGAGCCGCTGACGCAGCAAACTCATACAGTCTGTTATAACGAAGGTCAACCGTTGCGAGAGATGAGAGGTAGCCGATGTTGCGTATAGACGTGAGCTGGTTGTGGCTAAGATCCAAGGTCTCGAGCCGAGTCCTGTTGGCGCGCGAAAAGTATTAGCTACTTTCAGCAATGGCATCCAAGCTCTAGACCACTTACAGCTCCGCTCGACCAAAGTCAAGCTCCTCAAGCTCATTGTTTCTGAGCTGCAAACTTAATAATCCATCCAAGTCATAAATGCCGCTGATGTCCTTGATGTTGTTGTCATTGGCTCTGAGCTCCCGGAGGTGAATCAAATTGCTGAATGCACCGAGACTCTCCAATCCATTGCCAGACACGTCCAGATATTGCAGGTTCGTCAAGTGGCCCCAAGCCGTAAGGTTGGAGAGACAATTATCTTGGATATTGAGTATCCTAACACTTTGGGGCACGCCACTTAATTGGCCTATATCATTGCCGCAGACGTCCAGCTCTTCGAGACAAGGGCAGTAGTCACACAGTTTATGGAGTGTAATCAGGCCTTTGTGTCGAAGAATCAAACGGCGAACGTTCTCCCAGTGTGGCTCCCACGGCTCCGCCTCGGTAATATGTTTAAGCAGTTCTTCCGTTGCCAGAGCGAAAGTTCCATGGACCTGGCGCAGCGACGTAGGATGAGTTCGCTGTGCAACATAGCTTACCTCTAGATGAAGGGACGGGTCAATCTGATCAACGGTGAAGTCGGGTAAGGAGCTAAGGTGAAAACTGTGAGCTGTTTCTTGGCCATTATTTTCGAGGCATGCCACCGATGTATCCGCGTTCTTCTGTGAGATCCAATCGATCGACCCCATGTCTGTCCGAACCAGACTCAGAGCCTCGGGAAATCCCTCTTCCTTTGTCCCTTTGCCAGGAGTGAACGATTGACGAGTCAAGGATGTCTTATTGTCGGGTGATTCAGGTTGGGGTAACAATAAGCTCTTCTGAGCTTGTGTGAAGCCCAAAGGACTGTTGCCAGGTACGTTGGAATTCATATGAGGCTGAAGGTTGCCTCGGGCTTGCAGAAGCTTGGCAGGACTCTCTGCATCGCTGTATGCAACGTGGGAGACAAGGGGGGACGAAAAGCTTATTGTCACAACACGAGCTTGCTGGCGGCCATTCCCCAAACGTTGAGGTGGCTTCGATAGTCGTCCTTCGTGAAGCTGAATCTCATGCTCCACCTCGCTGATAGTTTTGCTCGTTTTGCGGGCGTCTGTACCCCAGGAGGTTGCTTTGGTTTCGGAGTCGGAAACGTTGGAATTAATGGGTGTTTTGGACCGCACTGAGCTGCCGTCGACCGAAGTGCCTGTATCTCTGAATTGTGACTGGCGCATCGATGATTTTGTTGAAAAACGAGGTGAGCTTAGTGGACTCGAGTGGTGATCATTCTCAAGCCGAATAGAGTCCTTTGTTCTTTCGGGAGAGGTAGAGCTCTGCATTCGCATCATCTCTTGCAATTCATCAACACTGAGGTCAGGAATGTCCTTGAACGGATCGTCTTCACTATCTTCGCCCTTGGGCCTCTCGGAAGTTGGTTTGGGTTTCTCCCGAACCCACTGATTCTTGTCCCGGTCATAGGTCAGCCCATTCACCTGTTCGGGTATAAGTCGCGAGACGATATCGGATGAGAGAACACCCTTCGCATGCGAGCTCTGTGAAGAGCCGGTGGGGACTGAGCGCGCACTGAGGCTCTTGGACGATACTTGCGTATTGATAGTCAAAAGTTCGGGCAGGTCATCATCCTCCTCGGGCTCACCAGCTGAGAATCCATCACGCCCGCGGAAGTCTAGGTCAGCCGACTGCAGGTCGAGCTCATGGCTCTCACCTTCTTCTGTTTCCGCACCGTGTAGAACGCTGTCGTTCTCATTCGGGTGATCTTGGTCTTGGTGCAGATTCAGAGACATGGCGGATGCGTTGACACCAAACTCATGGTCATCAACCTCCTGAAACTTCTTGAGATGGCTCAGGATTCGTGGGCTCTGTTGTTGAGGCTCCCTCAGTCTCCGCATGTCGGTCCCTTCGCGACTTGGAGGTCGCGAAAATTCCTCTCGAGTCGATTCGTCTTCATAGCTCCCGCTTTCGTCAATATCTGCCTCGGCGTCAGATTCCTCTACGCTAGACAGACCGCCTGCGGACCTGCCTTTGGATCGAATAATGTCCATAATCTTGGTCGCTTCGTTCAGGAAGTCTTGAGTGGTGATTGAGCCCTTACGGCCACCGTCATTGATACCATTCACTCTTACCATGGGTATTGCGCTGTCCTCGGGAGAGCCTAGGTCAATGGAATCGGAATACCCAGCCCGCGAGTAAGCCTTGCCTGATGACGGCCTTTTTCGTGAAGCAGACCGCCCTTGACTTGTGGGTGGAGTTCGCGGTCGAGAGGACGGTCTGGAATGGAGTGAGATTTGATGATCCTGACCTTCATCACATCTCACTCCTTGCTGAGCCAAGCTCCGCTGGAGCAAGGACATATTATCTGGATCCTGAGCGGTACTTTCAGCAGGATCTTGTCTCGAGTTGTAAGACCTAAGGAAGGTTCTGCGCCTCTTGGGGGTGGGGTCTTTGGCAGGCGTGTTCGGCGTTGTATCGGTCTCTGACGGGTACATCTCCTCTACTCTTGCCAGCCCTTGGTTTCTTATAGCCTTGGAACTTGAGGTGATGTCTGACAAAGCTGTAGACCTCGAGCCTCTGTTCGACTTGTTGAAGTCAGAGCTATGGCTGCTCTGTCTATACGAGCGGCGCCGAAGAAATCTTCGCTCAACGGATTGTCGTCGTGGCGGTTCTTGAGTAGACTCCACTATCTCACTATTCAGGAATTTGGGTTCATACGGACTTGTGTCGGAAAAGTCAAAATTGTCCAGCTGGCCGTCACCAAACTTGTTGATACGGGGGGTGGGGGTATTGCGCGACCGCGGTCTTTCATGTCGCCGTGAAGATGGCTCACCCAGAACCTCATGATTCACGGTAAGAAAACTTCTTCCTTCGCCCTTGCGTCGAGCTTCCTCTGATGGTGAGTCTGGTTCATCATCCTCGGACATACCCCCAAATGTCTCTTCGAACTGGCTCATCCTGCGCAAAAGACGGTTGTTGGTGAAGGTATCATGGTTTCCAAAGAGCTTGAGCGGGCTTCCAGAGGGGGGCATGGCTTCTGGTTTCAAGTGATCGGCACTGGATTGCAAGAGCTTCGACGCCCCAACATGGGCAGATGAGGGCCTAGGGAGCGTCGGTGGGTCGGCTAAAGGATTGGGTTTTTGGTAGAATGGGGGTGAGCTTCGGATTCTGGAGCTGGCAGGAAGAAACGGTGAGAGTCGCTCAGAGGGGAAGGTGGGCGGGGAGAGACGGATTCTTTGGAAAGAACCTTCGTTCACATCCTCATCCCTCCGCAAGTTTGCGAAGGCTCCTCTTCCCCGGTAATCTAGCGTCCCCATGGAGAGGTCTTTTGGTAAAGAATGACTCGTGACATCAAGCAAGTCATCCTCCGGCATGGTATCCACCGCGATTTCTGGCTGTGGGTGAATCAACAGGCTGTCACTCGCTCGAGATTCCGGTCGGTCCCAGGGTGAAAGGTGTAGTCTCTCGAGCTTGTTTGTCACCTGTTTCAGTGCCGATTTGATGACCTCCGACGTAGTCTGTCCATCAACTGTGTTCGTGCCTGTGAACGTGATTGGTGTTATATCTTCGTTGCGCAAATCCTCTATGCCGCTTGCAGTTCTTTGTTGTATGTCGGCGAAGGAAACGTCGAGGTGTTCGCTGTCTTCTGGTGAGGATCGCTTCGATTCTTTGCTCATGGATAGCGTCCTACTGCGCGAATCTGGCGACCCTGGCGATCCTGGTGACCCCGGTGACCCTGTTGACCCTGGTGATCCTGGTGATCCTGGCAAAGCTGGCGGACTGCTCCGAGCCTCTTCCTGCTTCGGTGACGACTTCGGACTGTGGCTCACTGAATCTTCGTCGTCGTATGCGCCAATCGAAGAAGGATCTTGGAAACTGGCATCATCATAACCTAGTGGGGTCGTAAAGTGCCACATACTGTCTGACTGTTTCAATCGCGATAGCGCCTCCTCGTGCGTCTTTTCAGTGCCCGGGGTCGGAGGTTTGAAAACACTCTCCAGCCCGATCGGCGCAAACAAGTCCCGCTGCTCCCCGGCGGCGATATTTCCATGCACCAGTCTTCTCCTCCATTCTGGCGTGCCTTCCTTGCCCTTGCCCTTCTTTGGTCTAACTTGAACCGTGCTTTGTTGCTCTGATTCACCGGAGACGTTCGAAACCGATCGCAACGGCGACCTCGTGTCCATGGCAGACGACTGTTTCCGGAGCGAGGGCGGATTCGGGATCGGTTTCGGACTGCTTTTGTTGGACTTCTCCGGGGGAGGGAGCGGCGATCGCAGCTTGGAGGGGGTCTTGGGGGTACGAGGGGTCTTAGGTGTAGGCGGCTCTCGTTTGATGAAGTGGCACGGTCTGGAAACTTTCTTCCTGAAAGACTCAAGAGAAGGGCCGACGGAGCGACGCGCGGGAACAGGAATGCGACTAGGAGAGTTTTGTAGGCTAGACCGTCGGGAATGGGTGAATGATCGGGATAGGATTGGACTGGTGGGAGTGCCGGGCGTTCCAGGAGTTCCAGGTGCAGGGACTGGCACCCAGTCGTCTGTAAGATTCTCCAGCCATGGAGGGTTGTTGCTCATTTTCTGAACGGTTTGCGATCACCACCAAAGCTGGGGGGTGGGAGTTAAGGAGGGGGTGGTGGTCTCGGAGGTTGGGTGGAGGGCAAGCTGGGGCAGCGCGTCGCGATTCACAATGTCCGTGAATGCAAGCACAGCGGAAATTAACAGCTGCAGGGCGACCATGGGTCAAGGAACCCTCATCCAAGAATAGAAATAGAGGAATAAATCAGAAGCATTGAACACCACCAACAATGAAGGCGTATAAGGATGTTGCGGGAACATGCGAGACAGAGCGACACAGAATAAGGTGGGAATAATCAATAAATTATTGTTTGATGGACGACAATGCGGGAGTAATATTGATAACAGGTCGAGCTAAACTGTACTTTACTGTAGATGTGGTCGGGGCAACCTTACCGTATTTAATACCGGGCTGGCTAGTTTTCCTTCCTACTTTTTTACTTCTCTACTTTTCACTATCTTTCGATCTTTCCAATTCCCAGTTTCCAGTCTACGTACTTTTCTTTTTTCTTCCCCGCCACGATGGAACTGTCAGCTTAATCACTTTATCCACTTTTTATCTCCCCGTGATAAATCACAGGTGGCACGCATGTGCTTCCCCGAGACCGTGCTCGTCCCCTACTTCCCATCTAATTTTACCTTTTAGAACCCCCCACCCCTCGAAGGGAAATGATCAGTCTCATGCCTTGCTTGGGCGCGATCCGCTTTCTTTAGCTGTAAGCTAATGCAGTACTGTACCTACAGTATTCGAGTGCTGTACGGCGTAAATTACAACCTAAGAGCCGAAAGCTTGGATTCTGGTGCGTTGGCATTGAACCCTGTCCAACCAATTGCAGCTTCATGTCCGACATAGCTAACGAGCACCTTGTCTAGCTCATATATATACAGTACTTCAGGACTCAGTGCCTACTGCAATCTTTCCTACTAGACTTCCTGTTGACATTGTATGAAGGCGAGGGATCGATGAGGGAAAATCCCAGGCCTACCCTGCAAGGTTGCAGGTTGGGTGTTTCAGGTTCCTCGACACAATTTGCCCCAAAAAGTATGGCGTTCTTTCAAGCACCAAACCAACCTCTTGTGTTGGGTCTGGAAGAAACTATCCGCAAGATGGGCACAAAACTGGCTTTTCCTTGCTATCGCTAGCGTTGAATGAGCTAGTAGGCAGCTATCAAGAACCCCAGCGAGTTCTAGGGCTGATAGGACCTTGTATACAGCACACGATTGGCCAAAGGATTGAAGCCGATTGGATTTGATCCCTGTATACTCCGTAGACAATGATGAAGGTGGCCGTAAATATAATCATGGATGTTCAATAGACTATCAGCATCTGCCCAACAACAACCATGGCTGGCATCGAAAATACAATGCCGAAAAGGGTAAGTAACTAGTCAACAATTGACGGGTGCTGACATAACCCACGCCAAACGACACGTTGCTGGGGCATCCACTCAATTCACGCGTTAAGTGGTTTTTCTTCTCGCGTGACAGCCAGCCAGCCAGCCAGCCAGCCTAGACACTTCTACCAGTTTGGAGTTGAAGAGGAAAGGATGATGTCCTGACAATCACTTAATGTCGGAAGCTATGAGGGTCACTCTACAATACGCAAATCCCCCATCCTCCGCCAGATGCAGCCAGTGCCAAGCTGCTGCACCTTCGAATCCCCCCTATTCGAACGATCAATGAATGCATCATTTCACCGATGCCACCTCGTCGCCCAATATCCCCGCTCTCCTTCGATTCATGCTCGCTACCCCCACCAGACAATGACCTCGATACTCTTGCTGCCTCCGATGACGACCTAGATTCTACTGAGCGTCTGGCTCGACGTCGGAGAATTGAGAAGCTTGCTGAAGCTTATCTACAAGGCTCACCGCTTTTTCTTTTGTCTGCATCGCTTCGAGGACCTTTCGACAATGGATGGGTCAATCCTTGGAGAAAGGATCGACGCAGGCATGACGGATTGGAGGGTAACGAGGATGAGAATAAAAAACGACCAGTGATCCCGGAGACGAATCCGCGAAAACGACCACTATACCACCACGAGTCCCGTGAAACACAACGCACGCAACTTTCCATGCAACATTCCGAGATAACTCCAAACCTGGAATCCGGAAAGACTTCGACCACAGAATCTTCTAACAAACGAGCGCGGGGTAATAGCAGAGATATAAGAGTTACAAGCGCCACACCAAAAGATACATTTGTCTCCAAGGGCCAACCGTCTCCACACACAAACAGAACTTGGCTGAAGAAGGACTGTGCCGGAATTGGGTTTCGAACGGTCAATCCGCCGACATCTCCTACAGCAACTATATCATCTCGTCGCCAGGGAGCAAAGGACAATACTATACAAGTACCCGCAACTGACTACCGATGGCCAGTTAGGGATCATCGGAAAGATCTTGATCATTTGCGGGAGGACAAACGTGATGTTCATCGGGTACCGGACAGTGTCAAGGTTGCTGCCTTCAAGGAGCAGCGCAGTAGTCAATCTGAACCTCAAAGAATTTCGTCCGATGCAGCAAACCAGGAAGGATCGCTCTATGTCCTTTCCTCGTCCTCGCACCTGCCAAAATTCGAGTACCGTCGCGCAAAGACCTCCAGCCACGGCAAGCAGGAGCCCGAGTCTACGTCTGCGCATCAGGAGCGAGAAGATAGCCCCAATCACATAAATATGGCTGAGGACAACAACCATCTATGCCATGAAAATCAACCCTCGCACGGCGCGTCTCTGGAAGAGGCTATCCGACCCGACTCGCCCGATCCCCCTGCCGCAGATGAGAAAAGTGCACATGCCTCTCAGCCGCAGGCTACAAGTGAAGTGCAAGTTACAAATGCTGCCACGTCGCAATCCATCTCACCGGCACAGAGGGCACCGGACAACATTGATCATGTAGCGGCAAACGTGAGTGACAAACTACCCTCAGCACAACATAACCCCTCGGATCCAGCCGTCACGCACAACGCTACCTCGCTACATACGATCTCTGCCGCAAAGGCTCATACTCAGAGTGACGAAGAGACTATTCCCGACCCGCAATTCAATACGCAGGCCGCTCTTCTTCACGCCCAGATATCATTTCAGAAAGATCTTGAAAGCCCAGAACATACCCCTGGTCGGGCTGCAAACCCAGGTTCAGTATCTCGCAATGATATCACGCCGTTTTGCAGAGTGGCTACACCCGGTGGGTTCGAGAACTTGCCAGGCAACAAGGCCTTCGGGACGATGAAAGGCCCCATGATGAGCACACAATACCTCATTGAAGCCGTCACGCCATTCACGCTCAGTACTGAGAAGAGGTCCAAACCTCGATTTTTGACTCCACAAGATCCTGAGTTTAGCACTAAGCTCAAAGGATCTTCTTTCGCGGGGGCGTTGTCGTCGCCCGTCCCGGACTATGCCAACGACGGGAGTTTGAATATCGTATCATCTCAGCCGCCGGATCATGCGGATCTCTTAGATCCGCCTCAGGCAGAAGAATTGGAGATTACCTTCTCCGGAACTATGCCTACCACGGGTGAGGACGGTCAGGGAGGCGTGATGGGTGCTGAAAGTTTCAACCTCAACGAAGCAATTGCTGAGGCCGGGAGCTGGTTAAAGGAAAGCTTCGACATAGGTCAGGAGATCCAACGATGCGCACACCCGAATAAGAGAGGGTCACCCTCTGGCATTGGCCGGTCAGCAGTAAGCCTCGATGCTTAGGAAAATTATCGATGATTACTTGATTTTAAAGACGATCACGACAATCACTTGCTTTTGCGCCATGAGGCGGCCTCGGTTCTCTGGTGGTCCATCCATACTTTGGGCTTTTTCTTTATTTATCTTTTTACGGGCATAGCTTTCATGCGGGCTTCATAGCGACATAGATGCACATTATGAGATATGATATCCTTGTAAATATATTTTATTGAATACTTGACGTCTTTTCTCCCCAATCCCTCTTCCCATGCACTTCGAAGTGGTTTGAGACCATTGAGTATTGATTTATCATGGTGTAATACATTCTGAGCAATCCAGATTTGTGTCTGCAAGAATATATAAACATGCCATCCTCATGAGCTCACCACACAATTTGACATCAGAAGCGATATTAAAGCAAGAACATGACATGCAGCTCGCAGACAGATTAGCCAGAAAGCTATACCAAGCTTGCAACTGATCGCAGTGTACCTAGACCTCCTCAAAAGCAAAAGATGTAAACAACCAGAGAAGCTCCAAGAAATGACCTCACAGTCGGAGATACGGGCGGGCGGGCGGAATTAGCGCGGCGGAGCTCATCCGGCGGATGGAGACTAGTCGACGGCCTACGCAAGTCAATGTCACTCCAGCCTGCACTTCCTCTCCATCCCGCCAATCGCTCACCTCCTCAGTCCATGGCGAGGGCTGTGTCCAAATGGCTTTGACATCAGTGAGACTGAACGCTCCAAATTTTAGCTCCTCAGCTTCACCATGTTACTAATGCGCCCTGAAATAGTGGAAAGCGTTCAACTTCTTCGATGTCTCGTCGGTGAAGCTCCCGGAGGAGAGCTCATCTATTCTCGGTGTATGTCTCTCGTGCCTTTGTTTGCGTCCGACCTAGTCGCTCTGTTTGCTGATACATACGTCCAACATAGTCTGATATTCTCTCCCTCTGCTCGGGCTCCGCTCACCTCTTCCTCGGCTCGAATGACGGCTTTGTCCATATCATCTCCTCGTCTTTCAAACTGGTCCGCTCGTTCAAAGCATCCGAGAATGGCTCAATCGCACACATCAAGCAGTTAGACGGGTCCTCTTTGCTGTTGACCATCGCGGAAGATCTTCCGAATGAACCGATATTGAAGGTCTGGGCCCTCGATAAGATCGAGAAGAAGACCGGTGTTCCACGATGCCTGTCGGCGACGTCCATCCAGAATGCGAGGAGGATATTTCCTGTATGTGCTCTACACTATACATTGTGATGCGAGGACACGATACTGATGGGTTAGGTTTCTGCGTTCACTGCTCTGGACGATCTGTCCCAGGTGGCAGTTGGATTTGCAAATGGGTCTGTCACGATTATCCGCGGCGACCTGATCCATGACCGCGGAGCAAGGCAGCGCATTGTGTTCGAGTCGGAGGAACCAGTGACGGGACTCGAGGTGCAAAGTGGCCCAGTCGCGACCTTATATATCTCGACCACTAGCAGAATGCTGGCCCAGATCATCTCTGGCAGAGGTCAGGGCCAACCGGCGCGCATCCTGGATGACACGGGCTGTGCCGTTGGCTGCATGTGCCTGGATAAGGATACTGGCGATGTCCTGGTTGCTCGGGAGGATGCGATATATACCTATGGGTCACACGGACGCGGACCCAGTTACGCTTTTGAAAGTCGTAAAGACTCGATCAACATTTTTAAGGACTATATCGCATTGGTCTGCCCGCCACGCGACACATCATCGCGGCCCGACGCTTTGCGCAACCTCAATGTCAGCCAGGCGGATGACATCTTCAAGACGACCATGTTCACGCTCCTGGACACAGATTTGAAATTCATCGCGCACTCCGAATCGCTCGTGTCTGCCGTCAAAAAGATATACATCGAATGGGGCGATCTCTTCCTTCTTACCACGGATGGCAAGGTATGTAAAATTCCGCTCGGACTTGACTCGATACTGAGAGTTGGTAGCTTTACCGGTATCGTGAAAAGACCCTCCAACAGAAGCTTGAGATTCTTTACCAACGCAACCTATACATTCTGGCTATCAACATCGCCCAAAAGACTGGTGTGGACACTCTGCAGCAGAATGCTATCTACCGAAAGTACGGAGATTTCTTATATCAGAGGGGCGACTACGACACTGCAATGCAACAATATCTTCGAGCGATTGACAACACAGAACCCTCGCAAGTCATTCGAAAGGTAGGGATGCCTCCATTCCATGTAACACATCAGTGTGCTGAGCAGGATATAGTATCTGGATACCCAGCGAATACACAATCTCATCGAATATTTGGAGGAGTTACATGACCATGATAAAGCCACGGTTGATCACACCACGCTGCTACTGAATTGCTACGCCAAATTGAAGGATACGACCAAACTAGATGAATTCATCAAAGCCCCTGGAGAGCTGAAATTTGACCTTGAGACTGCCATCGCAATGTGCAGGCAGGGTGGGTATTACGAACAAGCAGCCTATCTGGCCACGAAGTATGGGGAAAATGATATGGTCGTTGATATCCTGATCGAGGACTCAAAGAAATACGCTGAGGCTCTGGAGTACATTTGGAGGCTGGATCCAGAATTGGTCAGTAAATATGCACTCCACTCTATATTCTAGACTGACATATCCAAGGCGTATCACAACCTGATGAAATATGCCCGCGTGTTGCTCTCCAACTGCCCGGAGAAAACCACAGAGCTCTTCACGAAGTTCTACAAGGGACAGTACAGGCCAAGGACTGATGTTGAAACGCCTGTTGAACCACAAGCGCAGCAGAGTAGCACTTTACAAAGTCTAGCTGCCTTTCTCCCTCTCCCCCTAATGAATGCCAGTGCTGGATCGAAGGCTGAACCAGTGGAAAGCTCACGCGAAGGCCAAGGTGAAGACGTCGAAGAATTCATTGAATATCAGGTTCCAAAGCCAAGAACCGCGTTTTCGGTATTTGTCGGCCACCCCGATGAGTTTATCTCATTCCTCGAAGCTCTTATCGAGAAAGAGGATCTGAAAGAGGATGAGAAGGTTGACCTCTATACAACCCTCTTTGAGATGTATCTGGATACTGCAGGTCGGAAGAAGGATGCCGCTGAGAAGGAGGCTTGGGAGAACAAAGCCAAGCAGCTCATCGAGGGGAAAGATGTAGGAGAATCACCCAGACCGAACTCACTTCGTTGCTGATATTCTTAGATACCTATATCCACCTCGAGTGTTCTGCTGCTATCCGACTTGTCCGGCTTCCGGGAGGGATCCACTCTTGTCCGCGAGCAAGAAGGTCTGCGATCAGACATCTTCCGTTCTTTCACATCGGCAAAAGATACCAGCGGTGCTATCAAAGCGTTGAAGAAATATGGGCCGGAAGATCCCCAGCTCTACGTGGATGCGCTTACTTATTTTGCTTCAAGCCCCAAAATTCTAGTGGAAGCCGGAGACGAACTGGATGCCGTTCTCAAGCGTATTGACGAAGCTGGCCTTATGACCCCGCTACAGGTCATTCAGACTTTGAGTAACAACGCAGTCGTTACAATGGGTCGTGTCAAGAAGTACCTTAGCGAGAACATCGAACGTGAAAGGAAGGAGATCTCTACGGTCTGTTACCTCACCTGATTCATGGTTGTCTCGCGCTGACTTTAGTATTCAGAACCGCCGATTGATCAATAGTTACAGCAAGGAGACTGAGAGTAAGCGAAAGGAGCTGGAGCAATTGGGGAATCAACCGGTAGTATTTCAATCGCGCCGGTGTAACTCCTGTGGTGGCGCACTCGATCTGCCTACGGTTCACTTCCTTTGCAAACATTCTTTCCACCAGCGGTGCCTCAACAGGGTGGACGAAGATGCGGAGTGTCCAGCTTGTGCACCGCAAAACTCGACCATCAAAGCCATTCGAAAGCGGCAGGTCGAATCGGCAGATCAACACGACCTGTTCAAGGGAGAGCTGCAGCGCTCGAAGGACCGATTCGGGGTTATCAGCGAGTTTTTCGGACGAGGAGTCATGCGACCACAGAGTACTATGGAATGATGCAAGTTTTTATTTTAGCATAGCCTTGCTTTTGAAGTGAATAGATCATGATGTCACAAACCTGGTGTTTTGGGTGTTCAATTTCAACTATAACCTACTGTATTCAAGAGTTTGGTTTTGGTCTAAAGAGGAAAGTCTTATCACCACGTGATCTCGCGTCATCCGGGGATTTTCGTATCGGCGGGACGCGCCAAACCAAATATTATTGGAACTCACTGAGTCGTCTCATTAGCAGACGACTGTGTACAGTACAGCAGAGCAGTGCGTCCTGGCCTCATTGATGCACGATTTCAGCCGAAACCATGTCTTATGACCGTGTGATTCAAGACTCGGATGATGAGGATGATCCTCTTGTGGGCCCCCATTCCCCAGTGCAGGAATACGATACCGCGCATGCCGACGACTACCTCCAGGCCGATGTAAAAAGGCACCAGGAGATTGAGGGCAACTATGATGCGAGCATGAATATTGACTTCGACCAATACCTACAATCTCAGGAAAGATCACCACCTGGGCATTCGTCTCCACAGCACCAACAACCAGAGAGATGGATTCCGACGAATTCGGGAGGTGGATCTATGGGTAGGAGGACTCTTGGATTGCATGCAGTTTGCTTCACTCAATCATGAACAATCATCCTAATCAAGAATTTGCAATAGGCTCGATGATGACCGAGATTGGCCTCGCGCAGCAACGACTCTTTGACGACGATGAGGTTCAGATGGTTGACCCGTCAAGGCAGCATCCCCGTGAACACGCCCATGTGGAATCGACCCACGCAGAAACCATGATACCCCGACATTCAGAAGAACAGGTCAGCGTTGACCCCACCGGTTATCCATACACCAGCGATCCGTCGTCGTATAGCGCCATAGATAGCAATATCAGTCCGGCGCAAGCGGGGCTTTCGCTATCGTCCAACACACATCCCAACACCTCCAGCCTCAATGCTACCCCGCCACCCCAGCAATACGAGGCACCTCTATCCGATCTGCAGAACGAATACCCCATGCACACGCACGTCGAAGTGCCGATACGACCGCACCATCACGACTTCTCCTCTATCCCAAGCTTCGATCCCTCCTCCGCCGCCGCACAAACATCCTCATCCTTCAACGTCTTCGAGGCGTCACTCCCACCTCTCCAGAATGTGTACCCTGAGGATACCGACCACCATCATCATAACAACTTCAGCTACTCGGCGGCAACCGTCCCCACCGAAGTTGCGCCGACTTCCTCTCCTCGTCGTGTGGCCTCCCTCCAAGCGACTCCCTTCTCTCCGCACGACACTCAACCCTTCTCCCCCGTCCCATCAGCCGCCAAAGCAAGCCGTTCCAAAACCGAGAACCAACACAAAAGCACACCAACGAGCAACCCAACCCAAACCCGCACTGCCGTGTCAACGCCACTCTTCCCTACTCAGTTGAGCACGGACGAGCTGGTTGCCATTCAAGTGCCTGCGATGGAAATCCCCGTGGTGGAAAAGAAACGCGGCCGAAAGAAGAAACAGCAGCAGCAGCAGGAGCAGCAGGAAGCACAATCTCTGCCAGAATCTCATACCTCAACCACCTCGAACGTAATCGTCATCGACGATGACGCTGGAGATAACGAAGCCGCCCAATACACTACCACCACCACCACCACCACAGACATCCCTACCCCCTCACTCCCCCCTCCAGCCACAATCGATACCACCAACAAACCCGAAAAACGCAAACCCGGCCGACCGCCCAAGAACCCCAAGCCCGCGCCCACCGACCCCCCAGACCCATTGAATCAAGATCCCCCACCGCATCCCACAACAGCAACGACAACCGATCTCTCACCCAACCCCCACAATCTGATCAACAACTCCGAACCCCCAAGCGTGCAAACAACCAGCCCCACCGCCCCCAAAGAACCGAGAAAGAAAAAGCTCAAACGCGGCAAAACCACCTCCATCACGCTGACCAAGACCTACGAATCCGACATCGAGCCCGACGTCCTCTGGATCGAGGAGGACGCCATGGAGGGAAACCCGACAAAACCGCGTCGCGGCCCCAGCCCCGCGGTCGAGCTTCCCCCACCACTAGAAAATCAATCCACCGAGACTAATTCTGGCATCAAGGCGAACGCGCATCTCGAGTCCGAAGCAGCAGCAGCACCCAAGAAACGCGGCCGCAAGAGAAAGAATCCCGACCCCGACCCTCCGGCTTCCGAGCAAGAGCCGATCCGTCTCCCTGAACACAGCGATACAGTGGAACCCCAGAAAGAGCCGGGGAATGAGTGCCTCGGCATACCCAATATTTCTCAACAGCGCATCCAAGAAGGAGAGGAAGCCGGAGAGGAGGAAGTGCCACCCCCACGGCAAGCAGATCTGACTCCCGATCCGCAGCCAGCCCCGGAGCCCGTCGTGACGGTTCCTGTCACACCGTTGAAACCGAACAAGGGCCCTGACAAGCACAGTCCCATTTCGTCGACGAGTAAGGTGCCCTTACGGGTGGGGCTCAGTCGGCGGGCGCGGATCGCCCCGTTGTTGAAGGTGGTCAAGCGGTGATATTCCATTCCCAGTTCTCCGGGCTAGAGAATATAACGGTAGTTGGGGATAGGATTAGCGATTACGGTCTTCTATTTACGTCTATTCTTTCAAGATACGTATATTGTTTGGGGGAGGAGCGACTCCAGACTGTATAATCGCATCTACGCATGAGCTATGTCTTTACGGAATACCCACAAGGGCGCACTTTGTTTTTTCCTGTACTTATACTTAATTGTTTCTCGATTGCTATATCTGTCATGGATCTCGACTTAGCCACGACTGGACGCTTCTATAATGTGTACGGTTTCAGGAGCTGCCAATGAACCAGAAATGACCATCCTTGCTCTTCAGTGACCCTTCTGGTCAAGCTTCATAACTTTCTTATCAATGCCCAAAGGAGTGTACAAACGTCTTACAAAGCACAGGCTCAACCTATCTTAACATGCACGACTCACAACATAGTGATCAGGCAGCACTCAGGATATCAATGATGTACCAGGACAAGTCTGGTCTGCTAGGTTCTTGATCTCCGAACTATCCCATCAGCACAGCGAGCAAAGGCAGTACCGCAAGCTCGATGGGAAATCTCGAAGGCTGGAGCATACGACTCGCACCCGACTTGGCAGGCTTGCCCTTCGAAATGACTTTGCTAGATGGTCTGAAGTCGGCGTGATCTTCTTCAGCGACAACAACATCATTTTTGCTGTCACAGATTCCATTATCATTCTGACAACCCTCGCCACAGAACGTGGTCAAATTGCCGCAGAAGCCGGTGCCACTGCAGCAAGGCCCAAAGCGGGACCCATCGCATGTAACATTGCCGCCACACATCCCGTCGAATGAGACTATCTTCGAAGAATCCTGGACGACGTTCTTTCTCGAGTTGCGGCCATCAGGAGTGTTGTCTTCACGGTACCAGTACTTGGGAGAGTCCCCCAGACACTCACCCACCGTCACTGGCCGGAATCCCTCGGCGATAAGCTTTTTCAGCATGTGCTCCGTCAGGTTGTGGACCGTTTGCTCATGGACATCATGAGCAATCACAAGCCAGGGGCGGTCAAAGGCAGTCCGAGCATCCAGACTACTGTCGAAGATGTCCTTGGAGCGTTGGATCTCCGTTGGACTGTCGTGCTTGTAATCCTCTGTGTCAATATCATAAAGAATGATATGGTAGCCAAGCTCTCCCATATCCGCCAAGCAACCGGACTCAGCCGTGCAGCTAGAATAGGGAGGGCGCATGTATGTAGGGAAGAATCCCAGGATGTTGCGCAGAGCGGCTTCGTTCCACAACAGCTGAATGCGACGCTGAGAACGTGAGATCTTGCTAAGATCCTGATGAGACCAGGTGTGGCTGGCAAGCTGATGGCCACTCTCATGCATACGTCGAATCAAGCCTGCCCATGGCATTCCAGGGCTGTCAATTTGACCTTTGGCATTGTTGTTGCCGGTGATAAAGAAGGTCGCCTTCGCTTCGTACCGATCAAGAAGATCGAGTAGATCCTTTGTGAACTCCTTGGGACCGTCATCGAAGGTTAGAGCGACAGTACCCGGGACAGTGCAGGATCGAATGATATGAGGTCCATAAAGGGCAGTCCCATCAAGAGGACGGGGAATGTCTTCGGTGGAGGATCCGCCTGGGGTCATGTGCGCGTCACAATAGCCGTAGTCGATCTGGCAGTCAGGCGAGCTGCAGTGGTCCTTGGAATCTCCACAATAGCCTGCAAGCATCAGAATGGATCTTGCCGGTCAGAGGCACAAGAAAACCTACCGGCAGTGGAGCAGCAGAGTTTCTCTGGACATTTGCCGACCCCGGAGCCGCATCGAAGGCCAGCTGGTGCACGTCCCGCAAGTGGTTGAATGCTAACATCGTCCTGGGGGTGAGGAAGGATTGGCGACACTTGGTGGTTCGACTGCAAAGTGATGATGTTCCGGGCAGTCGTGCACGCCGCAAGACCCCAGAAGGGGAGGGCCCAGTTCAGCATACGCATAGTGCCGACTCTGAAACTGGTAAAGTGTATACGAAGGCTAAGATGCAGTGTAATACAACACGATAAGAGTCTGGTGTGGAAGATAATATGTTGAAGGTGTGAGATGGAATAGGAAGAGAGCTGGAGGAAGAAATGTCAGAGCTGCTTTGATTGTGTTGGCCGACAACGCAGAGGAGGAAGCTGCGATTATCAAGTCTATGGACAGGAAGCGACCAGCTTGACCCAAACATGACCATGAGGCAGTAGCGATGGGAAAGGCTTCCAAATCTCCATTCGTGCTGAGACACTGTCGTTGCCTGAGATATTTTGGCCTGATTTCAAATGCTAGACTGCAATAAAGACAGGCAACTAGTCGGGGGAACCACATACCCTGCTTCCAGATATTCCTCGTCAAAACATGCGCATCTCGACTGATTGACATAAACACAAGCCCAAAGCACAATCTATGTCTCGGTTCAAGAAGGTTTCCCCAGAAACCCCCCGAGGTAGCAGTTCATATCCAAATGTCGGGAAGTTACGCGGGCACGGCAGTGGCTGCCACCCAGTCATGGCGAGCAGGAGACGCGCATCGTTAGTGGTACCAGATAGTCGTCCAGAATACAACTGTGGTGACCTTGCATAAGTGAGCTAGTTCTGAAAGTAGATATGAGACCATTATTTTCATTGAGGGTATAGTAATCCACGAGGTCCAGAGCTGACCGGGAGTTCATCAATCTATCGAGACGAGGTCCTACATTACATTGGTGTTTGTGCTTTGAGGAGTCCGTCGGAGCATCATAAGAAAGTCAGCTCAACTGACTGGGGCCACTGCATCCTCACCAAGGGCCGAGAACACGAATGGCGCCAGCGTTGGAAGGTAGGGGCCAAACTTTGCGGGGGCGCTCTTTGCTATGCTGCCCACGGTGGCGACAAGGTGACGTTGGTGAATCGTGGTGGGTTGAGACTTGAACTTGTTGGTGAGGTCTTTCACAAAGAGGTTGAGCTGGTGGTCGGAGAAATGAAGGACCAAGGCTGAGATGGCTGCCAGTGCGCGCTTCGTCACCACGGTACCAGCCGTGTCGTTATCGACAATGGACATGACGGAGTTTTGCAGGGCGCTCAGCTCAGCTTCCTGCAAGAGCGGTCCGAAGCATGTGACGACTTGAATAAGAACGTCAATGGCATCACTACTGAAGCCCTTGGATGGGTCCTTCTCGAGCATTCCCTTGACTACAGAGCCTCTTCTGCTGGAGGGGGATGGTATGGGGCCGGTCAAACGAGGTATGAGCACACGAGACACCGCCGAGTAAGCCGAAGTGGCCTCTTGACTGGGGGTTTGTCCAGCCTGAGGGCGAGGGAGAGCAGTAACGATGTATCGTAGAGCGGTATTGGGGACGGATGTATCGATGGTTTGGGAGGCTGTGAGGTTGGTGAGTTTTTCGAGAATAGAGGCGAGATTCTCAAATGGCAGTCGATGAACGAGGGGACCAAGACTAGTTTATTACAGAGGAGTCAGTTGTGTGTGTGATGATTAAGAGACCAGGGAGCATGCCATTTCAGTGCTTGGTTTTGGACATCACCGTGTTGATCATCAAGCGCCTTGAGGAGGCCGTCGGCCAGCTTCGAGGCGGAGAGCTGGTCATGGGCCAGATATGACGAGTTTGGGTTGTCCAGGAGACCAAGAAGATCATTGAGGGACATGTATCTCATGTCCGGATCGGGATCATCCAGCTTATGCAGCAGGTTGTTCAAAGTGTGCTGCACTGTTTGTCTGTCCGCCATGATGAAGCCCCGCACTGGAATTTGAGGTGTAGAAGGTGGCGCTTTTGAACAGAGATGAGAAAAAGAAGTGCAACTCCTTGGGAGAGATAGTGTAGAGAAGGAGAAGGATTCAAGAGGCGCAAGGGACTTGAGGAAATGGGTCAGGTTGTAATGGGGGGAAGGGGAGGGAAGTGGTGAGGGGAATGAAAGTCCGATCGATAGTGAATGTGATAAACTGCGGATAGTCAAGTCGAGCTGATGCTATCGGGGCTTGGTGCCTGAGGCCACAGTAAGCTTCTCCGGCAGGCGACACCGGCCATCAGCGCCATTCAACCACCACTTCCAGCGAGGACTGCACATTGCTGGTGTTGTTGAAGCTGAGAGATGTACACTTGGAAGAAGCAAATAAGGAAGTAGGTATAGGCAAGCAAGTAAGCCAAGTATAGAACAATACGGAGAAATAACTGGAAGTGAAGACGCACCGCGGCCGATCTCCGCATGGGGACATTACATCATTTGGTGTAATCAATAACGTTACTGTACTCTATAAGCCAGCCATAAGATCACGCCGGCCATTCCCGCTCCGTCAGTGTAACTGCAAGTACAGCCAAGTCCAAGTCTATAGTCGAACTCCCTGGCCATTAAGTCATACCATCATCGTTCCTCTTCCCTCCGAAAATCCAGCCAGCCTCCTCTTTTCACACCTTGATCCCTCCTCTCCTTCTTCCTTCCTTCCTTCCTTCTTCCTTCTCTCTCCTCTTCTCTCCCATAATATCATACCACACCAATTGCTTCATTCCTACCATCCTATACACTCAATTCCTCCCAACCCACCATCAAGAACCACTAGACCCAACCAAAAAAGCACAATGGTTCTCGCACGCCCTCAGATCCTCCGCGCCTCCGCCCGAGCCCTCGGCACCGTGCGACGACAAGTGCCCACCCAGCAATTCGCCCGTCGAACATACGCCCAAGCCACCGAATCAACCAACAAGTCCTCCGACCTCCCCTGGTGAGTGATCACCTCCCTGCACCTGTATCCATCTTCTTCAATTGGCCTCTCCTCTTCCACTCCCCAATTGATATCTCAAAAACCCATCCTCCTAACCTCCTCAAAAACAGGCTCATCGGCTCCCTCGGCCTCGGCATCCCCGGCGCCTACTACCTCCTCGCGACGGGCCCCAAAGCCGCGGCCTCGTCGCACGACACGCCCGACACGCACCACCACGGCGAGCCCAAGGGCAAGACCTCGACCTCCGCCCCACTCGAGAAGGAAGAATCCGCCGCCGCCAAGGACTCCGCCCCGCAGCCGGACCGGGACGCCGAACAGAAGACTGATTCGGGGGCCGCGACCGCCTCGACGGATGGGAAGGCGCCGTCGGAGGCTGATGAGGTGGGTTTTCCACATCCTTATCCGATCAGATAGACCGTTTTTATAGAAGATGCTGACCCACTGCCACAAAAAAACAGCCCTCAACCCGCAAGGAACCTGGCAATTCGGCAACCATCTCCGGCAAGCAGGAGGGTCTTTCCAATGCCACGACGGATCATCCGCATGTGAACGAGCCTGGGAAGAGTGTCAAGGGGGAGGGCGAGACGGAGACGGCTAAGGTGAAGGGGGCGGTGTCGCCGGATCGTCCGCAGCAGTAGATCGGTCGAAAGATTCTCGTTGCTTCAGGAGGAAGACGGGGGTTTTTCTGTATGATGCAAATGTTCTTTTCATGTATAAGATCATGAAGTCTTCCTGAAGAGTTGTGCCGTTGTTGAAATAGCAACGTACTGATATAGTTTCGTATGCTGTCTGATTCCTGCATAGCATAAAACATTGTGAGCCTAGGTCTGGAAAAGGTTGGGACGTAAACCAGCGAATGCTACAGCCAATTGGCATGTGATTATGCACGGGAGTAATGTCAAGCCTGCAGTGGAGGAAATCGAAAGTGAATCGCACCGACCGATTGTCAGCCTGTGCGGATCTATTACTATATTAGATTAGACATTTGCAGGCGGTCCCAATGCGCCCTTCACGTCTCCGGGGAGAGGAGAAAAGATCTGCTCTCCGCACGGCCATCAGAAGAAAACACAGAAACAGAAAAAGGAAGTGCGCAGTCATGGCAGATTCGTCGCTTATATCCATTTCAAGGTTGCATCCGCAGGTACGCCCGCCCAGAATGACCGACACCACAAAACACTGTGCATGCAAAGCCAGCCGTTACCCTCATACACCCACTTGCACTTGATGGCCATGCAGAGGGGGAAACACATGGAGAAAATACAACTGTCGGGTTTGTTCACGAAAAGAAATTGAAAAATGAAAAGGGGATTCGAACATGGAAGCCATAAAATGTTCTTGGGGAAGTTAAACGTTATAGACAAGCCTCACCCAAGGATGGGCTACAACGATCCCAGGATGGACCGCTCGAATGCGCACTTTCGCCACAGCTCGATAGTAGGAGACCGACCGGTCTGCAATTCGCAGTTGACTAGTGCTTGTTGTAAACCGGCTGACCGTTTACAAGAACTTGGGGGGTCTTGTTCTCTTTGCTGCGGGCACTCAGGGTCGGCTCCTCGATACCTGTTGCGATGGTGGCATGGCTGCTTGCATCGGGAATAGGAATCTCCTCCTCTGTATCCTCATCATCGCTTCTCTCGTCCTTTCTGATGTCGCTGATGATGTAGTTCTTCAGGATACGCAGAATCAGGAAAAGCCAGAACAAATTGACAGCTTGCAGACTGGCCAGCAAGGCGAAGGTGATGTATTGACTGATCCAGCACTTGTACTGCTGAGTCTCCCAGTTAAGTTCGAAGGGTCCAACAGTGCGAAATTCAGTCAGAACAGCCCAGAGGATCTTCAGGTTCAGGTAGTGGCGAAGATAGATCCACATGCCAACGAACATACCGAAGTACGGCGCGGTGATCCAGTGGTCGAGGTAGTTGAGTGTCTTGGAGGTCTGTAACATAACCATGTTATTATCAAATTGAGCCAGGTAGAGGTTGGAGTACATACGGCAAGGAAGAAGTCAGAGATGTCGTGCGTAATATACACGGCGATACCCATGTAAGTGAAATGGAACCTGTAGCTCAGTCCAATCAGGGCCAAGGTGATGATGTGGTGTGCCACCAGCTCCTTGAAGTCCTTGCGGGGCTTCTCCAATTGAAGCATCAAGACAATCGCCTGTTGCGCCCAGTAGCTCGCCTCGAGCAGGTAGTAGGCCTTGAACAGCGCCTCATGCTCTCGATGAGGGAAGCCCTCAAACATGGCTGTAGTGTTGAAATACCAGATGTCGGATCTGTACATGACGTACAGACCAAAGGGACCGAAGATTCCGAAGTAAATCGCTGTATATACCTGCTCCATGAACCGAGCGGTTTTGCCTTTCCCGCGAATGCCACAGTATACCGCAAAGGGTCGGATCCAGCGCTGCATCATGAATTCACGAGTGAAAGACAGGACCACCGTGTAGAAGGAGACGAAAGCAATATCCTTGGGGCCCTTGCCGTACATAATCGGACCGCCGGGGTACTTCGGGGGTTGCGGGTAGGACAGGAAGATGGCGCTGTGCAGCGGATTCGATGTTGTCGGGTTGATCGCATACAGGGACAGAAGAACAATGAGGATCAGCAACGGCAGAAGCCAGGTGTGCTTCAAGCAAACATCCTTGAAGCGGCGCAAAGAGGACTTCTTGCGGCGTTTCGCGGGCGGCTTCGTCGACTTGTCATCGGAGGCACTGGACTGCAGCACCTAATGGTGAAGTGAGCGGAGTGGAAGGGGAGACAAAAGCTAGTGAGAGCCAGCGATGAGGCCTGTTGCGATCATACCTTGTCCCAGCTCGGGGCTTCAGCATCAATTGGGCTGACTTCATTCATGGTCGACATGGCCGGTGCGCCAGTGTCACCGCGGATGTCCGCACCCAGATTACTCGACCTCCGTCCTCGAACCATGCTGAACAGAGTGGCGGGATGTGCCTGATAGTATCTCGCCTGCTTGTATGTTGGATAAAGGACCGGTGATGCCTCCCTCTTCGTATCCAACGGCCCTCTTCAAGCCACCGAAAGCAGAAAGGCGGCCGGGGAAAAAGTACCGAGCGGAGCGGAATGTGAAGCGCCGGGAATTGACAGAGCGCGCGGGAAGGGGGATGATCGACCAACAGAGCGTACTGAAGGAGAGCGACCCAGAGGGCAACAGTAAAAGACAAAAAGGGCTATAAGAAGAAGAGAAAGGAGAAAAAAAAAAAGGGAAAAGAAGCCGCAGACGCAAGTGCGAATTGAGGAAGTCGAACCGTGAGGAAGCAGGAGGTTGAAGAAGAAGAAGAAGGGAAGAAGAAGAGACGGCAAGACGGAGAAAGTGTAGTGCTAACCTAAGTTAACTTAATGTTGAGTTGTGTAGACGACGGATGGTCCAAGCATCCTTCCGCTCCGGCCTCGCAATGTCTTCCTTTTACGGGGCCCGTCTTTCTCAGGTTGTTTCCAGAGGGTTTCTTTCTTTTTTTTTCTCTTTCTCTCTCTTTTTTTCTTTTTTTTCCTTTTCCAACCAAAAAGTTAAAGTTGGATCGGTTCTCGGGCAGTTCAATTTCCCCGACTCCTCCACACGATCGTTACTTTGTCAGACCATTGTCAGGCTAACCCCTGATTGTCGTGGTCTTCTTCCGTCACTACTCCGTATGCAATATGCAGTACTGCACATCAGTGTATAAAGATATGATCCACGTTCAAGGTTGGTTGTGCGCGCGTGCCATTGGGTCGACTCTGATTTTTAGTCTTCTTGGCAGCGATACTGACAGAATCATTAATCTTTCATTGGTTGCGAGGCCTCACCGCCCCGAGTTCTATGTGTGGGTAGTTCAAGTAGTACTCCTTCACCAGATACGATTACGACAGCCCACCTAAAGAAGCTAAAAAACGATTCAAAATTTAATATTCGAAGCAACATTTTGATAAACCGGAAAAATACAAGCCAGTTGGTGAACGTTTTACTGAGTATATGGCATATTGAGTCGTAGGCATGTACGTAGTTTACAAGTTGTCGAAAATGTTGGGTACGAAAGTCTTTGAGGAGGCCATTGAATCCACAGTCCTGATGATTAGTATAGTAGCTCACCTCGTCCTCGCCTAAATGGTCGCTCGTGGTCAGCAACACCATCGCAGATTAGCGAACAACCAGTGCAAATGAAAAGGCGGTGGCAGAAAAGGGCACGAAGTCTAGCCAGCACCTAGCCCATCATAATCATTCATCGATTACATGGACAACGACCTAACCGGCGGCAAGTCGCAAGAGCTTGCAAGACTTCGAAAATCCCTTCTTCGCTACAAACTATTCCGCCACTTTCGATACAGGTAGTCCGGAGATAGCTGATAGCGTAGTCTCGGCTGCAAACCAGTCGCATCATCGCATGGCCACGAGCAGTGGAGAAATGCCTAACTCATTCCAGCTAGGTCAATATGCACGGCTGGGATACCGTTTTCCCAAATAGGCAATCAAGTATAGGCACATGCTTCACACCTTGTAGTCCACAGCATCCTTCGAAAGCAGAAAATGGCTCACTAGAGCTCGAATCGGTTGATTGTCGAGGTCATGGAAGGACATAAAAGGCGCTTCACTTCTCTCGAATCTCCATCTTTCAAATCATAACCAATCCTCACCTCGCAATGATAGCCCAGCCCGAATCCTCTCTTAGCCTCAAAGGCAAAGTGGCCCTGATTACTGGATCAGGCAAAGCGAGAGGCATCGGTGCCGGTATCGCCACGACTCTTGCACAGCATGGTGCATCTGTTGTCATCAACTACGTCTCGGCGTCAACAGCTTCCTCCGCCGCAGCAGTGGCTGAGGGTATAGCCGCTGCAGGCGGAAAGGTACTTGTCGTCCAGGCAGACATCTCTCGCCCTGAGGAGGCACAGAGGCTTGTGGCTGAGACGGTCATCGCGTTTGAGAAGATCGATATACTAGGTGAGTTCTGTCCTAGCGCTTACCGAGATCCAGTGGCTTACTTGAGGCTTGCAGTCAACAATGCAGGAACGGGGTTTCCTGGTCCCGCACTGAGTGCGACCCCAGAATCTATGGCAACCACCTTCGGCGTAAACGTCTTTGGGCCTCTCTATCTGGTTCAAGCTGCCGTGGCACACATGCCTCCGCGCAGCCGTGTCATTAACATCGGCTCCGTGGCGTCAAAGTTAGGAGTTTCAGGGTCGCCGATTTATCTCGCCTCCAAGGCGGCGACGGATGCATTGACACTTGCTATGGCTGGTGAGGTGAGATGAGACAGCATCTCTAATCCTGTACCAAAATGTAGAAGAGCGTGCTGATTATTCTTAGCTGGGCCGCGGTCATGGCGGCATAACGATCAACACGGTCTCACCTGGTCCCGTGGATACGGACGGTGTGCCACCTCATGTGGCAGAGAAGATTCACAAGACTATGGTACCCATGACCCGGGTGGAAGAGAGGGTAGGCACTGTTGAGGATGTCGCGGACGCGGTGCTGTTGTTGTGCTCCGAGAGAAGTCGGTGGATATCGGGGCAAGTAATCTCAGTCAGCGGCGGAATAGTGGGTGGTTGAGGATGGTTTAAAATCAGCTTGTCTGTGTACTCAATCTAGGTACATGTTGACTTAGATAAATGCGAAATGAACTGGTCGGTCTGAATGTGCAACGCGTCAACCCAGAGGATGCTCTTAACTAATTTCAAAGCGTCATTGACATCGATGCCTAGAGAACTGATTGCGGACCTGATTTCCGCTATATGCAAATCATTTCTTTCCGCGTCCGCGATTAGTGAGACGGTCACCAGCGCCCAAAGGTATAGCCTAAGACATAGAGCATCATACTTATTCACGGGTAGGAAAGCAACAAGAGCTGTGAATTTGCGCTGCAGGTATGGCCATTCGCTTGAAGTGAACCGAAAAACGTCTCTCTTCAAAGCTGCAAGGAACAGCAGGAGAGCCAAACGTATGGCTTCTCTAAGGAATTGAGTTCCTTGCGGGCTGGAATCAAGATCCATTGGCCTCGTCATGGACAGAAGGAAATGTGTTGCTGGTCCGAACAGTTTAATTATGGTGAGACTGTCTTCGCGCTGCCAGGATGGCTCAGAGTCACATTCTTCAACGGCGATCGCGACGGATGTCACGTAGTAGAAGGCAATCACCACATCACAGAACGCCCCGTCCCTCATAGACAAATCGTCGAGCAGGCCTCTTAGCGAGGGCGCTATAACATCGGGGGGAGCCGCATCCAAGTATGCTGCAAGCCCAGATGGCTTTGGCATTCGAGGACGAGTATCCTCTGCCACACTCCCAACAACATCAAGCCTAGTCATGCAACCGTCAGCTAATGCTCAACCTCCTTGAATGTCGGAATGACACCGTGAAACATACCAAAAGGCGAATAAAGCCACATTAGGACTGAGATCATGATAGCCTCCTCTACATCGAATGATACGCTCAAGGCCGGTGAAATGAGTGTTCCATCGATCGCCCATTCCAACATAAAGCTTCAGCACTAGTCAGTCCTCCAATACAGTCGTTCCAGAAGAATAAGCCTGCCTTACATCATGACAGATCAATCCCAGAATAGCGGTAATCACACCTTCGCTGAGACTTTCCTTGACGCTTCCCAGCCGGGCCCTTACTTGCCGCACACATCTTCCGTAGTACGCTAAGCACTCGGAGCTTGTCTCATATCTGAACTCCTGCGCGCGGACTCGTTGGTCACAGAACATAGCCGCGTTCGCCAGGGCCACGAAGATGGCGCTGGGATCTGTCAGCGCCATGGAGAACCAGACGGAGCGAAACGGTCGGAAAACGTAGTCCTTGTCACTTGTCACTACGGTTGGTAAGCTTGGCACTCAGATGATAAGGTGGATTGATCTGCGGGGATTGTACTGAAGTGCATCAGCTGCAGTCCTCGGTCGTCGAGATCAACGGGGTAGTAAGCGGTATTGCATGGGTCAATAGAAGCTGGAATGCTCGTGTTTGTCAATGATGGAAGAGAATCGACGGCCGTTGTGCTTGGATTGACGGGCTGTCTCACGGACAAGGCCCAAGTTCGTGGCTTTCGCTGTGTCCGACGCGATCTCCCAATGTCCCGCATGACCGTACGTCGGATGGTGCGTTGGGTGGAGGCGGTCTTGATTTCATCGGGTCGCGATATGTTCACGAAGACGAGTTCGTCTTGTTGAGTGTGTGGTTGCTTCATCATGCAGGAAGTGTTTGTAAGTGTGGGGGAGGAAGGCAGGAAGCAATCGCAGAGGTTTGAGATTGGGTTCAATGCCGCCGACGTAGAAAGATCCCACTAAGCCGGGCGGAGGATAACGCATCCTACTAATGACTCCATCGTCAGCTGTTTGGATCCACTCCCTAATCTACAGAGGTGGCGGCACTTTCTACTTAGTGATGTGGTAGAAGTTACTCTAGAATAGGAACACTCTCATAAAGCCTCCGTTTATGTAGCGTGTCGTCTAAGACGACATGATCAGGTATCTCTGCTCCCAAGGTTATTTTCAATCTCTCTATCTCATTCAGGACACACATGACTCTGCATACCAAGGATCTGACTATGAATCTCCTAGATACCCTGGTCTGCCTCTGGTCTCTAGCTGAGCAATTGAATCAAATGATCTGCGATCAAATTCCCAACTAGATCATAACCATCTGGTTTCATATGAACCCCGTCATCCCAGATCTTCTCCTTGAAGTCCTGTGCAGCGCTATGATAGGGAACCTCTTTGTGGAGATCGAAGGCATAACTACTCGGTCATTTTCAATCGATCCTCACCTTGAGGAGGTAGAAACTCACAAGCTATCAGCGTCATAACTCAAGATTTGCGAGTTGAGCTCCGCCCGTGCATTATTCAACCTCTGATGCACCGCCCCACATTCAGGGACTGTCAGAGCAAGCACGTTGGCGCCGCTTTTTATAGCCGTGGTCCAGGCCTGAATCAACCCGGGAAAGATCTTTTCGGCGGGGTACATGTAGCCGAGGTCACTGCATATATCAACGATCAGTATTAAACCCAAAGTAAATCAGGAAGAGGAAATCCCCGACTTTGTCCCACCAAGCATAATCACCCAATCATAAGATGCTGCTGCGCCTGAATTGGTTGGATTTCTCGGTTAATTTCTCATCGATGTATGGCAGAGGTAGGTAGGAAATGTCGGACGCTTGGAGGCTTACATTTCTGCTCCAAGCGAGGCAGAAAGCGCCCCGGAGGGCTATTGACTAAGTCGCCCGGCAGCCCGTCGACATCAATCCGGATGGTGTGGGTTGGAAATGCAGCCTTGAGGCGTTCTTCCAGTTTCCATGCGTAAGGGTGGTATTCCAGGCCCCAGTTGTAGTATCCTGCTGTCAGGGAGTTGCCGAAACAGAGGATTGACAATGATTTGCTCATTATGCGGTGGGTTATGTGGAAGCTAGACGAATATTTGAGTGGAGAGTTTTCTTGTGGAAAGGTTATGGAGTAACCTTGAAACCTTGAAATTGGTAGGAAGACGAGACGAGGCTGCAGTGGATGGCTGAGGGCGGCTGCGCGGGGTAGTTTTGCTCTTCTTCTGCTGTTGCTGTGGTTGTTGTTGTTGTTGCTGTAAGCTGGCTGTGTCGGACCCCCTCCTTCTACCTTCCAGTGAAAAGAACCGTGACTGTTTGATGTCTCGGTCTAATTTCTGAGATAATCCTCCTTATCTTATTACATGAGATGAACTGCAAGGCGTCTCGACCTTCGCCTCTGCAGCACAGATGAGTTAGACAATGATGGATATTTTGATCTGTGATCAGCTGAAGAGAATAACTCCGGCTCTATCAACATGCACCTCGAGGCATTCCTGCAAGACATTATAAATGAGACTCTACCTGCCAGAGATTAGCGACTAGGATCGATCAACGAAAATCATCCATCCACTGCTTCAGGTCCTGCTTTTCTCCCTCATGAGTATCGCTTGTCCCGATGCTCCACCGACAGCTGAAGTCAGCAGTTATCGCTACCACAGAATACTTATCTGGCATGGTTGAATTCTTCACAGCGATCGCTCAGGCACCCAGTTAACATGGCACAGCCTAGTGAGATATCTTTCAGCTGGCTACAAATCTGCTGTGGAAGCTTGCTCTGGGATATTCCAGTCGGGACATGGTTGCGAATCATGGTTTGCCCGCTAGCCACGGCCCTTGTCGCTTGGGCATCTGAAACCGATCTAGTGCTCTGATTCACTGACTGTCAGCCCCGGATATACCAAGCAAACAAACTTTCGTGAGATGACCACTGAGCAGTGAATAACAGAGGATTAAGCTTATCAGCTGATCTTCCTTTCGTGTCGTTATATTTTAACACAGAATGTCTCCCTCCCTTCCTCCCTCCCTCCCTAATCTCCACCTACCAGCCCCAATCTGAGTGCCATCATGGCCACAATGTCACAGAACATTCCAGAGCGTTGCGCTGTTCTTGTGGTTGGTGGTGGACCAGGTGGCTCATACTGTGCTGCCGCTCTGGCTCGTGAGGGTATTGATACAGTGTTGCTGGAAGCAGACCGGTTCCCTCGGTAAATACCATTCTCACAGCTCCTTCTCAGCGATCTGTTCCATTGCAAGACTGAAGTCCTGTCCAGGTATCATATCGGGGAGAGCATGCTGCCATCAATGCGTCATCTGCTTCGTTTCATCGACTTGGATCAGACATTCGACCATTATGGCTTCATGAAGAAGGTAATTTACTCTGTCTCCTACTAGCGACCCCAAAAACTAATCAAGGGCGTATAGTCTGGGGCATCTTTCAAGTTGGATAAAGCCAAGCGAGCCGGGAGTATGATACTACAAAGTTTGAGTCTGTCCCGTTGCTAATACGTCTCTGTGGTGGATAGATACAGATTTCCTTGCCGCTGGGGGGCCCGACAACTACGCGTGGAATGTTGTCCGCTCTGAGGCCGACCATTTGATGTTTCAGCACGCAGCGGCATGTGGTGCGAAGACTTTCGACGGTGTCAAGGTCAAATCCATCCAGTTTGCCCCCGATGCGAACTCTCAGCTTGGCAGGCCTGTTTCCGCATCATATGTGAGCCAACTAGACGAGTCTCATGAAACCAGAGAAATTGCCTTCGATTATCTGGTCGACGCGAGTGGTCGAAAGGGCTTGCTTAGCACCAAGTACCTCCAGAACCGCCGCTACAACGAGAGTCTCAAGAACATCGCCCACTGGGGATACTGGAAAGGAGCTGAGCCTTATGCAAAGGATACCCCCCTGGAGAATCAACCTTTCTTCGAGGCATTGCACGGTAATCAGATTTTCATCCTCCATCCTTCTCCATCACGATACTAACCGTTCTTGCCTCAATCATTAGACGAAAGTGGCTGGGTTTGGCTTATTCCTCTGCACAATGGGACCGTCTCGGTGGGGATAGTGAGAAATCGCACGACCTGGACTGTGAAGAAGCGCGATTCTGGCTTGGGGCAGGAGGAGTTCTACCATCACACGCTGAACTTGGCACCGGAGATTCAGCGCCTGCTTTGTAAAGCAGAGCTCATCAGCCCTATCAAATCAGCATGCGATTACTCCTACAGCGCCTCTGCGTATGCAATTCCGCATGCTCGCATCGTTGGTGATGCAGGATGCTTCATCGACCCCTACTTTTCATCGGGCGTTCACCTGGCTCTGGTCGGTGGTCTTTCGGCTGCCACAACCATCTGTGCTGCTCTGCGCGGCGACTGCGACGAAGCGGTGGCTGCCTCCTGGCACTCCGACAAGATTTCTGACAGCTACATTCGGTTCATGCTTGTAGTTATGAGCGCATATCAGCAAATTCGCAGTCAATCCAAACCGGTCTTGAGTGATCTTCACGAGGACAATTTCGACCGCGCATTCAACATCATTAGACCCAGTAAGCCTGTTGCCTCTCTTCTTTCATGCCGTGCCTTTCAACGCGCTAACCAATGCATGTATAGTCATTCAGGGAACCGCCGATGTCAGTCCGGACAAGATAACCCAAGAAGAGCTAGATCAGACAATCAAGTTCTGCGCTGCTGCCCATGGAGCAGAGGATGAGATTCGTCATCATGTGAGAAAGCTCTTGCGCACTGAAGACACTCTGAATATGGACAGCTTCAGTACGGATGAAATAAATGGTTTTGTGCCGAATCTGAAGCAGGGGAACCTGGGCTTGATCAAGAGTGCTGCCTAGCTGTGATATTGGTTTTACTGTTGGGCGTGTCCTTTGTTGTCATTCTTTGGTTCTTGGTCTCACCCTTAAACTTGGTTATTGACTCAAGTTGATGTACAGCACATGGAATTGCCCGAGCTGTCAAAGTATCAGATTTTTGTACCCTTTGTACCTATCTTCCAGGTTACTGCGTGTTTAAGGTGACACTATTTGCTTTATGACAGTGTAAGAAACTCATTAAGTAGTACTTGTAGGTCAATAACATTGTTTGTGAGCTGTTTTCCTCCAAGCAATCATATCATGGTAGCATTTCGCATCTTGGGTCATGACTGTACTACCTGCTAACCTCAACCCCATGTACCAGCAATCCTGTTTCGATTCCAGACCATGATCGGATGATTATACACTAAAAGCAAGCCCTAGCACAATGTGCTACAGCTTGAACCTTCTCAATAACTTTCTTGCTCTGACAATATAAACACCGTGTGCTCAATGCACTCATTCGGCAACACAAAGGGACGAGCAAGGACTGAAAACAAGCATACCACACACAGAACATCAGAGCCCGCAATTGATGGGACTCATCCCCAGCTACCATGGCCAGATGGACAAGTCCTCATGTGCCCGTTATAGGTCCTTCATGCCACGGCCCCGGAGACGGTCTTTGTTGCTATTACCATTCGTGGAGGTGGCGCCGGGTCCTCCGGCCGGGGAGGCAGGGCATAATCTACCAAGCACAAATGCCGTCAATACTATGGTCATCGTAGACATTGCTTTCTCATGGGGACATATAGTACCGGGGTGGTTGAGCTTTTTCATGACACGAGAAAGTTCATATCCATCTTGCGGAGTATAGGCGATGTGGATGCTGGACATAGGTAAGCTGTTTTGTATGTCTGTTGGTTCTTTATGCATTATGTAGCATAACACAGAGAATTCAGAGCGGTGTAAGCTTCAATCTGAAGGCTCCTATTTCACACAGCCAAGATAAAAGCTGGGAAAGCGAGACATTGTTCACGTGGACACACCTTCAGAGAAGAGATACAAAACATACCGTCGATCGTCGCGTGCCCACAGCCGCAGCTCACAGTGCTGCCTAAGCCAAGCGCTCCCAGAAAGACACAGAACAAATACTGATGGGCAAACAATGAGGAGGAGGATGTCACCGTAGGTCAGAGCCAATTGGGCATAACAGGGAGGGGGTGAGGCAAGAACGAAAGATAGCTTTGAGATAGGCGTTGGGAATGAAAGATCACTTAATGTTGCAAACAGTACCGTAGGTTCCAGTCTTGATGGGAGAGTGAGGGTGATCGAAGGTGTCTTTGAGGATGAAGTGACCAAGGCAGATGCAACGGGCGAGCGAAGACGAATTAAACAGCATGCGACTGCTTCGGTTGGGACTATGGATTAGCCCACCGCAGACATTGTAAATAGAAGGAGAAACTAGTCCCCGGTGAGTTACCCAAGAGACTGAAATGCGAGAAATATAGTGGGCTCTTAGGTTCGTGAGACGAGGAAGGGCGTGAGGTAGAGCCAGATGCCATTATTTGAAGGGGCAACCTTCAAGGACCGAACCTTATATTAAACAAGACAAACGAGTCATTGATCTCTGTATACGACTATTCGATGCCGTAACCTTCGTACTCGTCGAAGCTGGATATCGCCCAATGGTTGTCGTTTGCACGTCCGGAGACTTCCAGTCCTTCGATAAGTATTGAGACGCGGTGGCCGTGTTCGAAAATTGGAGCATATAGATTTCATATATATGATGGACTTGCTTGGATAGGGTTGGAACACAGAGTGTCCATAGGAAATCTATAAGGCAATGCAGCAGAGTCAGATACCTGATAGTGCTGAAGTAAAGATCCACTTAACTTCTAGAACTCTCGCCCAGCAGGAGGATTCCGCCTCAATGACTTCGACTACAAGACTGGTTGTTCCAACTTTTCTTGCTACCTCCTCAATTGGCTCGCACAAGCCTCTGCCTTATTTCGATCTCCCCTATCAGGCCACAAACCCACTTCTCCCGGTTTGCTGCATACTTCCACCACGGCACCGGCTCCAGTCGGCGCAGGCATCGAAACTCAAGCGGCAAGTTCTACCAAGCCTTCGCCAATCTTCCATTCCCTCTCGCGCCGCAACTCTTCTCTCTGTGGTGCCTCACCCTCATCCTCATGATGGCCTGGACTTGGGGCCATAAAGACCTACTACTCGTCAGACACATCCGCGATGTTTTTCGTGTCATCGAGACCTTTAAAAACAATTCACTTGACTTCTGAAAGTGCATACGTTATCTATAACATCCTGACTCTGTTCTAGGAGGAAGAACC